TTTGGTCTCGCCGTTGAGGAAGAAGAGAACGATTTCGTTGGTGCACGATTTCAGCTCGTAGAGAGCATCCCAACACTCCATTAGTCCTCCTCCGTTAAGCCTCGCCGCTATGTTGGTGGAATCCTCCGTCGTCGTTAGTGTCCTACCGGAGATGTTGAGGACGAGGAGGAGAGCTACGGTTACAAAGAGAAAACTTGTGTTAGAAGCCATTGTTCTTTTTTGGGGTTTTGATGTGTGGTGATGATTTGTGAATGTTACGAGAGTTCTGTTTATATAGTGTGGTGTTGGATGGATTTGAAGGTTAGTGGTGATTTAAGAGTAATTAAAAGGTTAATTAGTGTGAGGAACGGGAAAGGATTTACGGTAAATGATTTTACTTAATGTCGATCATCATGGAACTTTAAAGCATAGTTAGTGAAAACGTATATAGCATTCGCTTGGAGATTATGAGTATCGGTCCTAATGGAAACGAAGGGTTAAATCTCATGTTAACATCATGTGAACAAAGAGATATATTTTCGAACATTCGTTTCTAACATAAATAGAGAAGCAGACTTGTTATATGAGCAAATTTTCGTCTAATGTTAATGATCAATAAAATTTGTCTAGAATGTGTCAGACTATATATTATGGTTACAACCTGTCCTATCTATATATTAGTTTTATATAGCTTTTGGTTATGTTTCAAATACATCTTAATTTGTTGATCTTAACTCCAAAGAAATATCATTTGAAAACCTAATTGCATCTGACAAAGCACTACATAAGCGTTATTCTGAAAATGGATGGTGATGAATGCGAAGGTTTAGGACTCCATTTCGAAGTAGATATTACAAAAAGTCGGGAAAGACACTGGTTGATCTCCTAGCTATCACAAGTAAGAACAATCAAAGGATTCAAATCTACTACCTAAAAAAAGTGTCATAACAACTTAAACCATTATACCAAATAAATGTAACTGATCATGATACCTCCAAATTGTGTATATATTTTGGTTTTGGAAGGTGCAGATTTTTCATAAATAGAAATTTTTCAATTTCAATCTCTGTATTTTTTAATCCTTTGATTTTATTTATTGCATAAAAAGGTGCAAATTCTCCTGTAAATATGAAGTAGAATAGCTTATTTTGATGTTATATCAGTAATATATATCTTAAAATTACACATTATCAAGTCATTTTGTGAGTTTTAAATTATAAGATATGTAACTAATATTTGTTAATATAATAATTTCATTAAAAATTTTAAAAATCATAATTTTCTAAAAAAGATAGCTTATATATTGATTTAAAGAAAATCCTAATTTAATATTTTTTTCTACACATTACATATATTGGAACTAAAAGATGTATAGCTAAGGACCAACTAGATTCTTAAAGCTGTATACAAAATTTGACCAACGTTTGCACACGTTTATACTTAACCAAATTAATCAAAAGATCGATCATAAATTTGCAACTAGCAAACATTATTGTATGTTGCAAAAAAAAAAAATGAAAGTTGGTTAAATTTTGTTCTAGATTCAATTAGTTATGTTTGAATAACTAAAACATGGATAGGTTTTTGATAAAAAGAAATTGATGTTTCTAAAACAACAATCCTTAGTTCAATTGCAGAAGATCCAAAATGAAGAAAAGATCTTTAATCAAGATGAAAAAGATGAATAGATCCTCAATATAGGGAAGAAGAGAGGAAGAAGATCATTTGAAACCAATTATTTGTGAATTTTCTTAAATATCCTTCTCATTTTCTTTTCTCTTTCTTTTTAAACATTTTTGGCCTTTTTTCTTTTCTAATCTCAGTCGTATATTCATTCTTTTAATCTCGATCCTCCACATAATCATTATTGATCTCATTTTTAGTTTTGTATGATTCGAAATTATCTTTGCGTATGGGTCAACATCTCATAAATATATCATATGTTTATGTCACCAAACTCTTTGTATGTTTAATTGCCACTGCCAATAAATATTGTTATGGATTTGTATAATGATGGTTTATGGGTGTTTGTATACCAAGCTAAATAATAAATCGTGAATTTAAGTCAAATAGGAATTAAGAAAATCTAAATACAGTATTTGGTTATATATGACAAATTTTAATTTATGTTATTTTTACTCATGTCATACCAAAAACGGGTTATGGTAGCATTTCACCGGTCTGATTCGGTTTGGTTTAAGCTAATACGTATTGTTGCCCATATCTTTTGCACAAAAGCCCACTATATCAGTATGAGGCCCATGTAAATTTAATTTGGTTCATCGTTAACGGTACACTATCTTAACGGTCATCTAAGGGATTCCAAATTTATAAAGACTAATCCCTCCGTTAAGCCTCGCCGCTATGTTGGTGGAATCCTCTGTCGTCTGGAGTGTCCTACCGGAGATGCTGAGGACGAGGAAAGGATGAGAGCTACGGTGACAAAGAGGAAACTTGTGTTAGAAGCCATTGTTCTTTTTTTGGGTTTTGTTCTGTGGTGATGATTTGTGTCACGAGAGTTCTGTTTATATAGTGTGGTTTTGGATGGATCTGAAGGTTAGTGGTGATTTAAGAGTAATTAAAAGGTTGATTAGTAGGAGGAACGGGAAAGGATTGACGGTAAATGCTTATACTTAATGTTGTTCATCATGGAACTTTAAAGCATAGTTGCTGAAAACGTATTTAGCATTCGCTTGGTGATTATGAGTAACGGTATTAATGGAAACGAAGGGTTAATCCTCATGTTAGCATCATGTGAACAAAGAGATATTTTCGAACATTCGTTTCTAACATAAATAGAGAAGCAGACTTGTTGTTGTAAATAGTTCTTTCAAGAATTGATGAGAACGTTATTTTAATTAGTTTTAAGGAAAACACATATATACAATTATACTGTTCGTACAGTAATTTATAGTATAAGTAAGCAATCAAATAAATAATTTAAACATTAATGAAAGGAACCCAAGTGGGAATCATTGGTTGTATGTCATGGTTTTCTAGGAAAAGTTTAATTTGACATTCGAGAAATATGTAATCACTATTATTCCAAATTAAAAGTAGACCACCATAATGATAATGTGTAAATGTGGAGTTAGGCCACAGTTATATTCCACAACATTCGTATGAATGAGTAATTGAACTAAAGCATATAAAGATATTACTATATTTAGAAACTTACGTTTAAATTTTGAAGGAAAAAAAAGAATTATTAAGGATTTAGATTTGTTCGTAGAGTTGAATTATGTATTTTTTTATAATTGAACTTTTGTTTAGTATTGCGGAAAAAAAAATCATTTTACATATATTTTAAAAATATATATAAAATACTTCATAAAAGCTAAATTTGTTTTATTTTTTATTCTAAGATACTAAAGCCATGCATGCTTACATACATGTTGATACTTGATACCCATTACCCTTCGGTTTAAATACCCATATTATCCTAATCTGTCTTATTATAATATAACCAATCAAATGATTAATTTATTCAACTGGTAAGCTAGGTGTTAGCCTAGCTTTACACACATAGGCTACACCATAGGGTGTGATTCCCATTAACCCATTTTCATTAAATTAATTTAAAACCTTAAATTTGTTAGTACAATAATATTAACACTTTTAGGGGAGGGAATAATTCCAAAAAGCTAATGCTAAAAGGAAATCGCACCATAAAATGTACGATCTCGACACCTGTTTAGCGAAACATAATTTAAGATAGAAAAAGTCATCATAAGAACGATTCACTAATATAGGCATAACACATATAATCAATTAATAAAAACCCTAAGCAAGAACATGCAAGTAAAAGGCGCACACAGTCTTTTATGCAAAATCGTGATCAGGCAAGCTAATTGAGTGTTCTCATCACCAGATAATATCTTCTCTCCATTTTTGCTTATGATACATTGTCATTGTGAATATCATAGATTCATCTAGTTAAGCCACGATTATCATTTAATTATATATAAATATTTATCAAGAATAGTATTTCAGCATATGTAATTTTGTATAGACATCGTTGGTTTTATATGTTCAGTTAGGATCATATTTAGTTTTATTCATATAACTTGCAATACAAGAAATAAATTAACTCAATCATAAGTTCATAACAATATAATTTTAGTTTATATCTGATAATTTATTTACAAAGATCAGTATTAATTGCGATATGGTTTTCATTATTATACAGTACTCTTTTATGTTTTCATATAGGAGTATGTAGTCATGCATGATACATTTGTGAAATGTTTTATTATTGTGGCTAGTTCCGTTGTTGATAGCTAGATTGTAGGACAGGTAGCGCAGCCTGATGTAATTTATAAAAGAAAAATACTCAATTATTCATTAATGCACAATTAAATTAGTACTAATCGAGAAAATTAAATGATGTAGGTTAGTAGGTAACAAGACAAAAGTTAATCCCTCTCAACGGCCACCTGTTAGCTTACTTATACTATTTGTCTATATTATTATCATCACAATATGTACTCAGCATCAAGTAATAATAAATTTGGTGTTAATATTCTGAACTTCATCGATATATTGGTGCTAGGAGATACAAATGTCGTGCTCAATAGGTTCAGTTAGCTTTTATAGTTTGTAGACTTTGATTGTTGTTTCATGTTAACTTAAGAACACATTATAAATGAGAACTAAAACAAATAAAGATATTATATGATAAAGTATTATATCGGAGCTGGAAAAATAGCAAGTATACATTAATTATGTTACATATATAGCTAATTATGAATCATGATGAGCCCTAATTTGGAGTAACTAACACTATATAATATTTTTTCTGTTTTATAATAAGTGTCATTTGGATAAAATGTATCTGCAATGTATATGGATGTATTAAACTCAAAATATATCTAGATACATACAGTTATAATGCAAATACATTTTCTCCAAATAATACTTATTATGAAACAGAGGGAGTAATTGATAAGAATACAAGAACTTCGTTTATATTCATTTAAATTAATTAATTTACAATGAAAAAACATTCAATTTTATTCTTAAGACTTTTGGTGAGAAGAAAATTGGGTACCGGACATGAAGTCGGTAAAAGGGCTAGTTATCATCAAGGGACATGAAGGAGGAAGTAGCTCTTGATCTTGATGGTTATTATGACGACGATGAGCAGATTGATGATCTACGTTCACTTTTTCTAGGCCTTGATCGTGAAGAATCCCTCTGAAAATGTGTCCTCCGATGTGCACCGTCGTCTGATAAGCGTATTGTTCTTTTCCGTCGTCGATTGAACTCACTTTTACGCATCGGAAATCCGCAACAGAACTCAACTCCGCCGGAAAATGTGCAGCAGTGTCGATTCTGACACCTAGTGACCAGAATGAATGGTTCGATCTAATAAGTTAGATGATTGAGCAGTATTGTTTAATAACTTTAGTTGCATCAATTATTTGCGTAGTGTATAATTTTTATAAATAAGCCATCAAAAGAATAAGCAACAAATACTAAACCAAAAAAATTGATTTCTCGAACTTGTCAAAGATTATAAGAGACTATTGATATCTTTTTTATCTACATGCTAATTACCAGTAAATCTACTTATGTATTATAAAGATCATAGCTATAAGTATTAGAAGATCAAGAATAAACAAATGAACTATGACCAAAAAAAAAAAAAATCAAGAATCATAAGCAAATGGCTTGTTACCATTTAAAAAAACTAATTCATCACTAAATGTATTGAGAAGTTAAAAAATTAATACATCATCACATCTCCTTAGGTATAAATAAACACACATGAACTTATACATGAGCCATAAGAGTAGGAAGAAAGGTAAGAACCAGATGATGAAGGGGAAGAAGATGGGTGTGGTTCTCTGAGACGTTTAGGGTTGGTAGTAGAGAGCGGTTGCGTTTGTGTTTGCGTTTGCGGTAGGTGTTTGTGGGATCTTCTATAGGCCGGAACCCAAGTGCTCTTGATGTGAGTTTGGCAATGAAAGGCTTTGGTTTTGCAGCAAGTTCTGCATCGCATATACACACACTCTTTCTTGGCTTGATTCCCACAGTCTTCACACCTTCTTCCCATTATCATCATCGTCACTTCATTACATGTGCCTTTCTCATCATACTCATAAACATATATATATGTTGGAGCCGACCATTTTAGATCTCTTTGTTTGCTTCCTCTTTATGTCCAAAAAGAGAAAGATATAGATATTTTTTAAATGAATAGTTGAAAAGTTATGGCCACTATATAGATTTATTAAATTATTAGTTAACTTCGATTGGTAACTGAAATTTTGGAGATGTGGTACATTAGGATATACCTGTTCAATAATATGGTTTATAATTTATAAAGAATAAAATTTTTAAAACAATTAGGAAAAGAAGAGAAAACAGTCGAAATTACAAAAGTACAAATTAGATAATTACTTACAAATAAAAAGGAACAATCAAAATAAGCGAACCAACAACCCTTAATCAAACCACTAGAAATAGTATACAGTAGAATCTCTATAAATTAATACTCGATAAATTAATAATCACTATAAATTGATAATTTTTGTTGGTTTCAGTGTAAAAATTGACAAATTTCGATAAGATAATAAAATACTACTTTTTTAAAGTTATATATAAAAATATGGTCACAATAATAATATAAATTAATAATTATAAATTTAGGTATATATTAGTAATATAATATAGTAAACTATGATAATATTGTTATTTCAAATTTATAAAATTTGTTTAATTTATCTTCTAAATTTATTATTATAATATTTTTTGAATGAATTTTATATTGTTGAAAATATTGATTTTGTTTTTTTTATGAATATTAAAAATTCAAACTAAAAATATTTCTATTAAATTTATCGATTAATTAATAATTTTATAAATTAATAAAATTTGAGAGTCCCAACATTATTAATTTATAGAAATTTTACTGTATATCACATTGTTTTTATAGCAAGTTTGTGGTTTTCTTTTTTCTACCTAAAAAACAATTCAATGCAGTTCTATACGGCTACATTTTTTAATGATGAGTGGGGCTCTTATGGTAATGTATATGATCGATGCTTTTGTACTATTGTCGGCCGCAACTTTATTCATATTCGTGGTAAATTACAAAGTATCACTAACATTATTGTTTTTGTTGCATATATAGAATAGCACCCGGCAGGTATACGAAGTATCAATTTATCGAATAACACAAAGTATCACTCCGTTGATCAAAGTAACACTAGAAACAAAATTCGTCAACATTTGTCATCATAGATAACGAAATAGATGTTCTTGAAGATGTAAATATACCAAACAAACAAAGATATAGGCGAAGAAGCTAAGTTCTCATGCATTGTTATTAAGAAAAGAAACAACTTAAAAGACTTAAAAAGAGTAATAGAGAAAATTTAACAAACCCGACTTTTAAGTACACAAATCATAAAACACCAAAAGCTCAAACACTCTTATTCCGTTAAAAGTGCATCTCGTACTTACCGGACTTGAGACGGGGAGCATAGCAAACCAGAGGCGTCTGCGCCAATGACGGCAAGATCACAGACCGTGCAGATATTCCCTTCCTGGCTTGGTACAAACCGGGCGGTGCAGTACGGGCAGGAAACGTCTTTCTGTCCTCTGTAGATTGGGACATAAGTCGACCCGCAAATCACAAACGGGTTCCTGAAGTCGTAGTTGAGCTTTGTTTCATCGGTCATGTTGCGTTCGGCGGCTTGGACAACTTGTCTAGCCATCTTGGCCTGGCTCTCCACAGGGTTGGTTTCCAACAATCTTTTGGCGAAGTTATAAGCAGTGGCGAGGTTCTTCGACTTGTAGCAGACGCCCATTGCACTAAGCAGCGCGAGCCGTAAGTGAGGTGCCTGGAGGTTGCAGTGAGTGAAGTACGCGGCTAGCTCCTGCTGCCTCACCGGATCATCTTTAGTCTCTCTTCTCTTCAGCTCCATTTTAAGACCGAGGACGTATTCTTTAACGAGAGTGACCAGTTCCTTAACCTCATCGACTTCCCTTCTTGACTCGACTACCACTAGTGGGACGGTGTGGAGGATAGAGAGGAAGAGACGGAGAGCCTCGATGAACTTCCCACTTGTTGTGGCTTTGTAGCCGGATTTGAGCTTCTCCTCTAGCTGAGAGAAATCAAAAACAAGAGCTGGTTGGCCACGGACGTTGGGGCTGGAAGACTCGCTCCATCCGCGCTCAATGGCAAGCGGAACCACAGGAGATGAAGGAAAAGCACGAAGATAGCTATGGCTGCCACTGAACAGATCGAGAAACATGGATTTCAAAGGCGCAAAGTTCTTTATGCCAAGCTGTCTGTGGAGCAGACGCATTGCAGTGTCGAAGCTTCCCGCTGCAGCCTGCTCAGCAGCAAGAGAGGATTTCTGGCTCCAGATCTGACTTACGGGCATACCTTGAGTAGGTGTCACAAAGACCGATGAACGCGCGTTAGAGACCTTAGGAGTGTCGAGCTCTGGTGGGAGCTCCAAGTCATCAAGTACACCCCATCCACTTTCGTCGTCGTTTTCTTCTTCACCTCTTTCTGCTTCCTCCAAAATGGCTTCGATGTCTCTGTTCTCCATCCCATCAACATCGACCATGTCAAGTGCCTCACCCCAATCGGCATCAACATCTTCATCTTCTTCATCAACAGCTCCTCCTCTGGCTGCACTCTCAAGTCCGCCTTCAAATATTCCTTTCATCACTCTCAGAAGAGGCCAATCACCACCACACATGATGGGACTTGGTGGCATTAGAAGCGACGGGGTTTTCCCTTCAGGCAAGGAGGGCACATTGTCTCCAAGCTCACCCGCCAGTCGCTCCGCAATGTCACTTAAACCATGAACCGAAGCCGTGATATAAGCTAGTGGCAAGTGACCAGCATTCTCCAGTATCTTAACACGCTCTTTCACATCTCCTAGGTAGAGAGCATTGTGAAACTGACCCATTACGTTGTTCTTCACTTCCGCAATCTTCATCAACTTTGAAAGCTTGTCCAAGTTACCAGTAATGAGGTAAAGAAAAGACAACCTCTCAAAGTTCTTTGTCTGCTGGTATGCAAACTCAACAATTCCAGAATTGCCTTGGCGGAGAGCCTCCACACCAAGTCTATACCAGAGGTCTTTATCGTTAATCTGTGTAGCGGCTGCAACAGCTACACTGATGTTGCCACTTTCAAGAGCCAGGTTGAACCGAATCCTCTCGTCTTCAACAAAGTGGAGGGCAACTTCAGGAAACCCTTTCTGCTGCAGGTAAGCAATCATGGCCTGTCCACATAGCTGGGAGTTCTTTATCATGCTCATGACTTGATCATATCTCTTTCTCAGCAGTGCAAGCTTGAAAATGTACTCCGTTGCATTAATGGTGATAGCCTTGTTTTTCCCATCCCGGTCCAAGCAAAAGATTGTATTTCCAGAAACTTTGGTGATGTAGATAGGGACATCCAAGGTTCGGATGATTCCACTATCTCCATTAGGAAGGCAGTACTTGATATGATTCAAAGTTGTGTAAATGAAGACGCCATTGTCGTCCCAAGCTCCACTTTTTACACGTATCGTCTCGTGAAGCGTGCACTGGAGGACAAGTTTTTTGCTCGCAATAATGATAGTATGCTTGCTGAGGAGAGCGACACTCTCCATGTCGCTAGACCAAACCACATAACGAACAAAGGGTGTCTGTAGTTCACCAAGAACAAGCCTTTGCTGAAGGTCAAATATAACCACTTTATCCTCAGACCTACAAAGCAAATTTCCAGTCCCAGCATAAAAGATAGCATCTGTGGGAATAGGAAGAGAACTCCTTTTAACCACCTCGTTCTTTAGATTCTTGACCAGAACCTGGCTGGTGCTTTTCTCAAGAACAGCAAACCGATTACGGGCAATGAACACCGCAGAACCACCTGAGCCCCTCTTTGCATCTTGCACAACGTCACTCCTGCCAACGCTATCTTTCGGTATGATGTACAACTCGTAAGAACCGCCATCCAGATCTGAGCAGATCAAAACTGCGTTTTCTGTCGGACTGTAAGATAGAGTCCTCGGACTTTGGTTCAAGCTTGGAGTACCAGGACGCCGTATAGGAATAACTTGGGAATCCTTTTGAGTTGAGTATTCGTAGTACCGCAAAAATCTATCCTTGGCATAGAACAACGAATCACCACTCAAAGCAAATGCAGGACGCTCTCTCTCAAGTTTGAACACGATCATACCATTGTCATGTCCCGCTGCCAGTAGATTAATCTCAGGGTGAACTGCAAGAATCCAGAATCGATCATGTTCACGGCGAAAAGTTTGGATTCCGGTTCGCTTGGTTGCATCCCAGACACGGATGCTCTTATCCTCCGAGTTTGACACAATTATGTCCTGTCTTGCATGGAACATAACTGATGAAACGTTATTCATATGGCCTCGCAGAGTATCCACCTCCCAAGCTTTAGTTTCTGCAATGACATTAATCAGAAAAAATATTACTAAGTCACCTTTGCTATTTCGAGATCCATCTAAGAAGTAAGGCATAAACAACATTTGCATATCAGTATATCATTGATGATTGATAGCATATAAAATTTTGCACGCAGAAAAGGATAACATCAAATCATTACCATTCATACGCCACAGCTTGACTTGGCGGTCATCTGCACCGGAGACGATGAGAGGAAGTGTGGGGTGAAAAGAAGCCCAGTTGACTCCTCTGTCGTGACCTTCGAGGACGTACTTGACTATGGCGTCAACCCCACCAAAAAGATCAGAGTTCATCTGAGTAAATCGCATGATGTCATCAGCAGGAGAAACTGTCTTCTTCCTGAGAGAACCAATATCCCAGACACGGACAGTCTGATCCAAGGATGCTGATACGACGAGGTCTTCTTTTGGATGGAAAGAAGCACACATGACATAATGATTGTGACCGGTCAAGACAGAAATACAGGTCCGTGACTGCCAGTTCCATATGCGGATGGTCTGATCATCACTAGCACTCACAATCCATGGGTTTTCGTGGTGAAACTGAACAGTGCGGATATAGTCGAGATGCCCGAGAAGAGTGAAAAGACACCTGTGTGTTTTGTGGTTCCAAACTTTAATCTTGTAGTCATCCCCTGCAATAGTAAACGAGCATTAAGCTAACTGTAATGTATATAGTTGATTCCTTGTATCTAAAAACACACTACAAGTCACGCAAATCGTTCGTTTGAGCTCAAGATATCCAGCAAATCGAGGATGCCCAATATTAACATGTCAGCAGGCTAACCATGACCGATTTAGATCAATGAGAAATTTAACAAAGGACGAAACTGTAATGCTACAAGTCACGCAAATCTGCTTTTAACAGATTAGGAACATACACCCAAGAACCATATGCTATATATAAGATATCAAAGTATCTGAAACATAGATTTAATTTGAGATAATCCAGTAAATCGAGGTTGGGACATGTTAATCTAGAAACCAAGGATGCCTAATGCTAAATTCTAGATGAACTTAACGAGCAAAGGCCAAAGCATATATACCTCCGGAGACGAAGAGTGGTTGTGAATTGTGAAAATGAACCCCACGAACCGGTCCTTCGTGCTCGTCGAATCTATCGATCAGAGTACCCATACGGTAATCCCAGAGCTGGATCACTCCACTGTGCAAGCTAGCGAGAATCCATGGTCTTTTGGGGTGAAAGCTCAGACCCTTAACTCTGTTACTTTTGGTCTCGAACTTCGTCAACATATTCGCAGTTTAAGAGAAACGGAAGCTCTACATTAACCAGATCACAGAGAACGAAACGAGTCAGTGGGTAGCAAAAGCAACAGATCAGATCCAAAAATATTGAAGATTCGTACAGTGAAAGAGGAGGAGAAAGAGGGATTCACCTCAGATCAGATCAGTTGGAAGTGAGAAGGGAAGCGATCAAGCACAGCTCCACGACGACGATCAGTGGCATTACCAGAGACGCGTGGATGCGAGAGCAATAGAAACACACCGAGGTTAGATTGAGAAAGCGATCCTCGAGAAGAAGAGGACGACGGTGGATTCAGTTTCGTCGATTAGATCTAATTCCTCCGCTCAGTTATCTGTTTCCATTTCTCGTCGCGTTCTCGCTAATTAAGTGCGATGAGAATTACGTTTATTTATTTATTTTATTTTAGACGGAAACATTAATCTTTTCATTCCAGGAAAATAAACCTATGAATTTAAATGTAATTTGTGAAAGGCACGAGAAATCATCATAATTTTATTATGAAAACAAAATATATAGACATAATAATTCCTTGCGACCAAAAAATACATCGGTAATTCCCGGAATTAGCCCTGGACTAGATTCGCTGCCTGCTGGTATGAACCTCCTTCCTGGTACGGCGATCAAAAATAGCGAGTAATTATAGAAAACCGGATCAAACCAATGCCGTCAACATCTGGTTTAAACCCAAATCAAACCCGGTTAGCAGGGTGCTAAGAGAAGATTCAAATTGAGAAGAAGAGACCAATGTGTTTCTTCTTCTGAACTGATATTACATAAAACTGGAAAATATACAGTACATACATCATTCCTTTCGACCTATATAATTCCCGGAATAAAGTTAATTAACCCTCAAGTAGTTTCATAATTTCGTTAGCCCTGGACTCGATCCCTTTGAGATACTCAATCAAGATTCGCTGCTGGTATGAACCTCCTTCCTGGTACAGTACCGATCGAAACGAAATGGTTAAAAGAGCCAGCCATTTTGGAAAACCGGATCAAACCAATGCGGTCATCATCTGGTTTTGCTTTGGCATTGTTAAGTTTTTATGTTTCTGTCACTTACAGTTCGAATCAGCGTGCGCTCGATTCGTTTCTTGATAACAGCAGATAGCTCATCAGGCGCGACCTCTCCTTTTCCGATTGCTAACCCGTCTAAGAAAAGCTTGTTCCATTTTTCCTCAGGAGCTGAAACACACACACACCAAATGCCAAAGTGAACACTTGGATACTACTACACATATGGACAAGAGAGGTTGCAGGTGAGACGGCTCAACGTGCCTTTGATCAGAGTTTCGAGAAAATGCTCGGCCTTTACAACTTCGTTCCCTGTGACAACAATCAGGAGTTGTACTACACTTCATAAGCTGTCTGAGTTTATAGGTGCGCGAACGTGATGCGATCATGTTTTCAAAACTGAGCAATGTAGTATGTACCTTTCTTTGCGTAGCTACGCTTGGAGAGAACCGTAGCAGCATAGAGCTGGAGAACTTTTTGCAGCATAGCCGCAAGCCCTGGTTTGTCTTTGTCTTCTTTTGCCTGAAAACAACATTCAGCCCTCAACACTAGAGAGCAAAAGGCCTTTCCTTTCTCTTCAGAACATCTCAAATGCCGATGAACGATACTGATCGCGCTTACCTGCCGTAGTTGAGCACTGACTTCTGAAAGGAACCCTTCGTCTAATTGCCCTTCTTTTTCCCGTTGTATGACTTCCTATTAATAACACATTGATATCATTACCCTGACTATTAAATCCAGAAGCGGAAGGTTGTATACAAAACAAAAGCGTAGATGCAGAACATGTCTTGGTCAAAAGGAAAGTGAAGAACAACAATGAAATATACCTTTTCCATTTGATTGATGGCTTCAGGATCTCTGGGAGGCCATGAAATTTCTTCCACTCCTTCCACAACGGGTCTTAAAATTCCTTTCAGGACATCAGTAGACGATTCTATCTTTTCCTACAGGGATATAATGAACTCTCTCTCAATCATCTACCAAAGGAAACACTGAAGAAGAAGAAGTAAAACAATCGAACAGAAGAAAAAACCCGAGTCTTATTCACAACGCAGTCAACTATAGTCATCACGGTTGCAGCTAACTCCTCAAAGTCCTTCTGCAAGAAACGAACCGTCCTCAAAAGCATTAGCCAAAAGAGAGCTCGAGAATCCACTGCTCAACCATTGACAATGAACAATCGAAACGCTTGCCTTGTCATCATCTGATTTGCAAGTATCCGACCTGGCCGCGAGTCTTATCCAGAAAACTTCATCAAAAGCAAGGATGTTTTCAAGAACAAGCTTCTCAAGCTGTTCAAAGCAACATGTGGCAGCAAGAAAAACTCAATTAACAAGACCACAACATTTCATACTGACGTTGAGCTTAAGGGAAACAAAACAAAAGAAATCGCAGAGTTACTTCTCTAGGGTTTGCATCTTTAAGAGCATCAATCATCCGATCGGTTTCCACAGTCTTCTTAAACGCTCCTTCTGCATCTCCCTTGACTGCACAGATCAAATTTCTCCTGTTTTATTGTACCCAAAAGATGCAATCATTATCTCACATCTAACTGCATTGCATAGGGGAAATCTTTACTGAGAAATTTGTTCTCCGGGTTAAACAATCGAAATTAAAAACTGTAAGACGATGATGACATAATCACCTTCGCTTCAAATCAACTCCAGAAAACAGAGAAAGCTTCCACAGACTCGAAGGTACTAAAACCCTAGAACCCAATCTCCAAAGCGACCCACTCTGGTTGAAATAAAACCGGAGGAATAAATTCAAATTACTCGAATCATAAAAAGTATATTATTCGCTATTCGCGAAGAAATGGTAACAGAGAGATCAGAACTGTAACCTGCTCGCGTTGATAGTGGTGAGAATTGCAAGAGGATAAGCATTGAACAGAGGATATTGCCGCCATTAAAGTGAAGGCACACACGTACACTCAGAAACTACAGAAGCTCCAGAATTCTGACGAGTGACGACGACCGTTCAAACGCTCGGTAACCAAATCCTCGTCGGCCAAACATAAATAATCTGTGGTTGAATCATTTGGGCTCACATGACATGCTTTTTTTATCGGGCCGTAACAAATACTCTTCGAGTCCATTAGGGATTTTATTTTGTGAACTTTTTTTTTGGTTTTCAAGAAAATGCAAAATACGAAAGTTGCATATTTACAACACCAACACGTATATGAATCTTTGCATAGGGACCTAGTTCTTTACGTTCGATGGTTTTTCATACGTATCTGTTGTACTTAAGAGTTATGAGAGTCCAACAATGGATAAGAACTGAGCAGATTAATTCAACTTTTAAAAACTTTTTTCCCTACAAATGAGGTTTAAGTGAAACTGTGAAAGAATTAAACTCTATACATATACTTTATACCCTTCGTTTTATTATTATGAGCAGACACGTATATGTTATATTTCCTCTTTTTTGTTGTGCCCCGTTTTTATAGAACGATATACCACATTGAAGACTGAAAAAGACACTACTTACCAAAAAAAATTACTAAAATCATTCAAGCCTGCCCATTCTGGACAATATTAGCAAACAAACAGGCTTTCACCAATGTATGTAGTTCTTGACACCTGCAAAATCACATAGAATCCTATTTCAAAATCTTGTTTCTTGTTATAATTTCGTAATTGAAGTAATACAAGAAGCGAGTTAATCTTGTTGAACTCAAGCATTTTTGGATAATGAAATGACCTTAAATGGTGCGCAAGAGAGAGGGTAGACTTTGTTGTGGGGGTCAAGAGGGAAATGCGAATAAGCGATCGGAGATGTTGGTGCGGCAGATTGGGCACTCGGAGCAGGCAAGTGAACAACATTTACAAACTGTGTAAAAAGAGAGGATAATTTTTTATAATGGTTGATGAAGAAAGCATACTCAGGGGAATGAGAGAGTGAGACTTACGGCAGAAATGGCGGCAAGGGAGGAGAATTGTGGCGGTTGGCGACTCGAAACAGACTTTACAGATATGTGAGTTTGCGTCTGCGTTGGCCGCCGCAGCCGCTTGCGATTTCATCTCTTTCTCCTTCATCTCTTGCATTCTTGCCTGTTATGTAAATAGAACATCAAATACAGAACCAAAAAACAATTTGATTTTTAGAAAAAGCTTATATTGTTGTGGGGGTGTATTTGAATGTCTGTAATGAATCATGGATTTAACTACATTGTTGTTGATGTATTTGAATGTGTGATGAATTATTGATTTGGGTTTGTGCCGTTGTTACAAAGGTCCACAAACTTAAATAAGCTGACAACGTTGCTTCATGTTTGAATATTTTGGTTTGGTTATTGGAGTATTTTGTATCAAGCAAAGCTGTTTTAAACATTTAAAATCACATAATAGTATTTTGGATCATGGGTGCCTTCATAATCATATATTTTTGGGTAGTTTAAAGCATTAATGGGTGTGGAACGGATATATAGGCTGCTTAGTAGGCTTGCTTATAGACAATTAGTGATGCTGAAGAAATATAGAAGACAGATTTGCAAAGGTACCTTAAGACGAGCAACTAGAGGTTCCTCCTTTAGTGTCTCCTCTTCAGTCTTGGCAATTACTACTTCTTCAGGTGCATTCAAGACTTGTCTCTCTTTCAAGATCGCATTGTTTTGACTCTCCTTCTCTAAGTCTGTGGCTTCGACTTCTATTGCAGGCTCGGTGACGAGAGGTTCGTGACTCTTTGGCCCGGACAAGACCCCATTACTGGCTTTCTTCAGCTTGGCAACAAGTACCCACATGTTGGCTAAATCGTTTTCCAAAGCCTCTTCTCTTTTCTTTGCTTCTTCCACCTTTTTCCTATACTCTTCTTCTATGTATTGTTTCTCAGCTAGTGTGGCCTCGAGAGCTGCTTCTCGCTGTTTCCTTGCCTGCAACTCCATTTTAAGATCTTCTTGGTTGAGATTCCATGAGTCTGAGATCCTTGCCTTCCTCCCTGGCCTTGTCCCATTGCGATTTGCCGCGCTGTTCATGGGGTTATTATTACGCGTCTGAGCCTGAGCTGCTGCTACTGCCAAGTCTCTTGCCGCTGCTAATTCTTTTTCTAGCTTTGCGTTTTGAAGCGAGAGCTTTGTTACTTCATCGGCTAGGTTTTTCAGCTCAATTGCTGCTGCAGAGGCCAGTTCCTTAGCGTACGAAGCTTCTTCAGCTAGTTTTTGATTTTGCACTTGTAATCCACTTTTTTCCTCCACACTCTTCACATGCTCTAGCTTTAGCTTTTCATTCTCAATCTCCTGAAGTATAAAAACATCAACCCTGTGTAAATATAACCAGAGGTCCGGAAAACATATGTATGATCGTTTGTGTGTTGTTTTTCACCATCTCCGCACTACCGGTGCATAAATTTATCAGGCATACTTGTGAGCATGTGCGATGGTAAATTTGACCCAAAAAAAGGGTTGATATTTTGGTAAGTTACCTGAGACTGAACTTTCTTCTTCAGCTCGTCTACATACGCTTCACTTGAAACATTACCAGAACAAGGCGGTGAGGACTTCAGACTCGATTGCCGTTGCTCTAGAAGGCGCACCTTTTCGTGTAATTCATTGTTCTCGACACACTGCATTTGTTAGAACATGGGTGAAGAAACAAAGATGGCTGGGATAAAAGCCAGACGATGATGCTATGAAGAATGTAAAAGAAGAAGAGAACGATGATGTGTCAGTGACTTAGAAGAACCTTTTTCTCTAGTTGTTCTTGGAGAATACGATTATCTGCTGATATGATCTGATCCATAGGTAGAACACAGTTATATATATACCGACTGTGAGCAATTTTCATTTTCGCTATAAAGCAAGATGAGAAGACAAATCTTTTACCTCCAGCTCAAAGTTCTTCTCATTGCACTGTGTCATCAATCTCATAACTTTCTGGAAACAACAAAAAAAATCGTGATACATTTAGCTGATCCACAACTGACTGACATTAACAAGATAAACCATAATAATGATTGGATGTGGAAATGAAATTACCTGTTGCATCTCAAGGGATGATGCATTAGCGATTGAAGCTTCACCACTCTCAGTTATTCGCTGTTCCAAAGACCTCATCTGTCTTTGCTTTTCTTGAATCTCTCTTTCTAGATTCTCGATCTGCATTCAAATCTTTATCAAGTTCCATACTTCAACTTATTGTGGAAATTCTAATAAAGTTTACAAAAGGGTCAGGACATGCATTTTTTTTTTTTATTCCAGGGTCAAGATTAGGAACAGCATTGTCCTACCGGTATATTGAACTTTAAATAATAAAGAAGAATATTTACTTGGGGTTTTGCGTTCTCAGGATCATTTACGGACTGATCCACCAGACGCTTTAGTGTGCTTTTGCTGAAAGCTATCTCACCAGCAAGCATCTTAACCTGTTCAACGAGGAGATCCATTTCATCCGGACTCATAGCCCCCTACAATAGCCACAACTATGTCATTTTCTGACAAAGATCATACCCATGGGTTAAAAGAAAGAGTAAATCGGTGCATGTGACCCTGAATTTACAAACACCATTTTGCTATAACCAATTGGTTTTGAGAAGAAGGGCACACCAAACTTCGAATAAACAAAATTGTATGTGAAAATATATGCGCTAAGAATCCCAAACTCACTTGAGTTTCTGCACCAGAACCAACCGGAGAATTTTCATCCTTTAACTTGCTGGAAGACCGCCGGTGCTTAAGACCTGAAGAAGCATCTGATGCAAGAGACAGAGTCGAAGAAGGGGATGCCAGATTATCACTATCCACAAGCAGAGCGTCCAACTTCTGAAGAGCAAAAAGAAAACAGAATGAGTCACTATGAAACATCTTGTGCAGTGAGGCACCAATATGCAACAGTAGGAAAAGGAACATCAGAACATAGTGATAATCTGATTTATATAGCAAACTTACTTCATCTTTACCAGCAGAAATACTGCGCTGGTGAGTGGGTGCATCACCTAAATATCCAGGAATAGAATTCTTGGTAGAGACGAGTATGAGCTTTGTAAGCTTTTGGATTCTACTCATTAGAGCTGCTTTGGCTTCTTCTTCTTCCTCCAATCTCGATTGCATCTTGACTTGACCTTCTTGTAGCTGTTTAATAAATTGGTAGTTCTATTCATTCACCTAATTGGAAGAAACTCCAATCTTCATGTACTAACAAGGTTTCAGAGAGATTAGAACCTGTTGCCTCAGGCTCAATAACTCTTCCTGACTGACACCGACAAGCACACCCCTCCTTAGCTGATCAAGTTCTACTTTGAGGGTGGAGATTTCTTTCTGATATTTCTTAATCAATGACTTCTCATCTATAATCTGTTTCAAGAGAAATAAAACAAGAATAATTTAGTCAACGTTTAGATGATACCCTATAGAGAAGCCAGTAGTTCATGACCAAACGGCAAAGAATCACCTTATTGCGTGAGGCATTAATTTCTATTCTCTTTGCCCTGCTGGCAAACTTCAACGTATTATGAGTTTCCTCAGTACTGCTTGACGCAGGAGTAACTGTACATATGAGCTGTAAGAGGGAAATAAATTCTGAATTAGCTTCTGCTCATTGCTATCTGTAATAACATTAGCGTTCGGCTTGTAACAGATAGGCAATCAAAACAAACTAACACTCTCTTAAATATGCTGCTGGAGAGACATACATCACAATTAAACATTACGAAACTTCAACCATAAGAAACGACTACAGTGAAATGGGAAATATTCACCAGATACAGAAGATTCGTACCGATACATGCCCATGCCCGCTCAATGAAGATTGCAGAAGACGAGTTAGCTTAGAGTCCCGAAATGGGACATGAGTTGTCTTTCCTTCAGTCAGTTTTCCAATCACCTACATGTTAACACCATCAGAGATAATTATTATCAAGCTTACTTAATATTCATCTCTATGGTTAGGTAACTAAAGATGCTATCTTTGACATAAAAAACACACCAATCAGGAGAAGAGACTTCACAGTAAATAGAGGCATCGTCAAGATACACTATCACGACTACATCATGGACTGAAGAATAAATTTAACAAGGATTCTTTTTCCAATTTTCCATAGCAACTCGTAATCCTTTTCTGAGCCTCGGATGTAGTAACATACCGAGTTGTTCTTCTAAGGCAGTTTTGCATTATACAATAACAAAAATTATGATTTACATTTTATCATTATTGAAAAGGAAACATCTTACAAATTAAAAGAAAGCTCAAGCAGAAAGAGACACCTACAGTTCCAAGAGTCAGAAGACTCTTGTTGATGAATGAACCCTCTTTCCTTCTCAATCCAGTTGTCTCAGTTTTGGAACTCTCAGATCCAGCTAAGTCAATCAAATTCTAAGCAAGAAAGAGACATTGTGAGGGAGCTGTCTAAAAGACTATAACGATCTTAAGCAATGAAAGAAGAAAGAATCCCTTACTAGCTGAGAAAAAATAACTCCATCATATTGATCTCCATGAGCACTACTTTCAATCATCTGCAGACAAACAATAGTTGAAACTTAAAATGCATAGCAAGGACTTTTGTAAAAGGACACTGAGAGGATCGGAAAATAAAACATGGAATGTTCACTAGATCGAAAATGTACCATTGTAAATATTGTGTGACTTCTGCTGCTCAACAAGTTGAAATTATTTGAACCAACATGCCGATGTTCTGCCGTTGAAGATTAAAACAGTAATAAGAAAAGGCAAAAAAGAGTATCTAATAAACTGAAATGAAAGAGTAATTCTTCTAATTACCTTCCCCAGCTGCAATGAAAGATAGCGCATGACCTGGAGATAAAACAACTTCTTCCTTGATACCCTCAACGTAAGTACCCTAGAAACAATATCCACTGTATGTCAAACTAAGGTAATTGATCAAAGAAACAGGGTGGATGCAACATCAACAGTTCATCATATGTTTTCATCGTTCTAGTCCTTGTGAGAGAGAAAATGATGAAATCAGACAAACAAGCATATGCTTTTGTTTGAGAGAGAGAGAAAGAGAGAGAACAAGGTCAAAACCTGGGAATCCTCTCTAACACGTAAATTTTGCCCTGTTGGATCCAGTAAATCATTTATCACCTGATACAAGGACAAAAGTAAGATAACATGCCGACAGATGGGACATATAAGCACGCTCGTCTTAAACCAAAGACATGATGAGTAGCACACGTTACTAAAACAATGGGAGATATTATACTAAGTGAGGAGAGTACGAAACTATATCTGAAGCTAAAAGTCTGAACTTCAGGGTTTATTCACGGTGTCAGTAAATGGTTACATATCATCGATGAAATTTTTATACCTCATTGTATATTTCAAGATATGAAACACGGAGCAGGAACTCTCTTCCGGTAGTCTGAAATTAAGAATGATGTAAGAAACTAGCAAATATGTCATTGTACGGAAAATGGTGCATGAAGAACTGTAAATCAGTAAAGGACCATATAGGTTAGAAGTAGAACAAGATCACTTACTTCCTGGATGATACTGAAGACGTCTTTTATTGCTAACGGTATGATTCCAGGAAAATCTTGATCCCCCTGAGCATATTGCAAGTGGAGCGAGTGGTCAGATATTAACCTTTTCAACATGTTTAACTGAACCTCTTATTGTTTAAAGAAAATCCAATATGCATATGATCATATGATCATATGACGATTTAACAGGATAATTTTGGTGAAGCGTAATCAATATCTTCTATACTTCCTAATGACTCAACCATGGCAATCAAACATTTATCAGCAACTATTACCTACGCAGGTCTTTGTATGATATCTTCCGCAACTCAGCAAACGTTGTACTAAGCCAGAAAACAAACCATAGTGAGAGAACTTACATGCATTGTATGTGTCTTTCCACTGCTTGTAACACCATAAGCAAAAACGGTTCCTGCCAAATTGCCAACACAAGTGTCAGAAACTTCCCTGAAAGCATTGCTACTAGCAAATGAGTTGAGCTAAACTTAGCACTACTTACCATTAACACCTTCCATAGCTGCCTTGACTACAGGTTTTGCAGCTACGTCATAGACCTCTACAGTTGTTGCTTGGGGTCCAAAAACTTTATCTGGCATTAACATATTTGGAAGAGCGTTTATTGAACCAACCAAGGCTACTAGAAGTCTAGAACCCTAATCAATGAACAGTAAATTAAGAGTATATCCGCAATAAATTCGTATCAATACCGAATGCGTAAGCAGCGAGGGGATTGTACTCATTCCTGACCATTTTATCCGCGTCAGGATACCAAGCAATTTCATCTCCTCTTTGATACTCCCTCTCACTGCAATCAAACAAATAATGGCGGAAATTTTGAGAATCCTACGGAAAATTGACTGAGTTTCGATTTACATTCCATAAACCCCAATCTTGTAAAGTTGGGAAATCGTGAAATTGCATCAAATAGATCTGCTAATTCGCGTCCAGATCTACCGTACCTCATCGGACGAAACCGAACGGTGACGGAGATGCTATCTCGCTCAGAGTTAATAGTCGGCACAGGCTCGTCAATCAACCCCTCCGATGGGTAAGGTACAGGCGAATGCGCCGCATAATTTCCGGAGCCGCCGATGGGACCGGGATCGGAGATGGTACGACTAGTCGTCATAGATCGGGGCCCGCTTACGCCGCCGGAATTGCAGACGGTAGAAGCAGATGTGGAACAAGAGCGAGGCAATAGGCGGTTGTTCATATGAGACGACGAAGTCGACGAGGCCGAAGAGTAAGGACTCGGAGGTCTACGGTGCGAGAAAGGAGAACGGCTCCTTGTTCTAGATGACGATGAAGCCATTCACTCCCTTGGCACTCCGGGGGAAATTAACTCGTTAAACTCGGCGACTCGGTTTCCGAATCGGTGAAAATCAGAAGAAGAAAGAATCAAGCAAAAACTTCCAAATGTGAAGATGCAGGGAATGTGTCAGTGGAAGCTCACATGGCTGGGGACAGAAAAAAGCATTATGCTCTTCATCTTCTCTCTCTTCCCTTTCTCTCTTCCCTACTTTTCCATGGTTAAGCAATGCGATTGTGAGAAAGAGATAGTGAGACCACAAGGAGAGAGCGATTGTTTCGTCTTCTTCACGCGACGGTGGTGAAGAGAGAGAGATCGTATGAAGAAGATATTTATTTTTTTTAGGGTGAAGGCGTCAACTCTTTTTCTTTTCAGATTTTGAATTTCTAATTCATAAAATGTTTTTTACTGGATGCTGACGTGGCTCGCTCAAAAACCAGTTTTGAACGTGGTCGAGGATTTAATATAACCGCGAACCCGATAAAAAGGTTTTCGAAATAAATTGAAGGAGCGGGAAGAACGATGTGATTTGTCGTTTTTACCCTTGATTTCATTACCCCTTTTTGGTATATTTAGAATAGTCTTCTCGTCAATTCCTATTACATTATTTGGGACATTAGATTCTACTAAATTGAGTATCCACACATCTAACATGTCCTGATGTCCAGTAGATTCAGTACTGAATTTAATAATGGCTTACTGAAACGAATTATTTTCCTCAAATAGATTACGTACACAACTATAAAATCCTGCAAAAGACAAATACTATGTACTTTAAAAATAAAATTTTAATCCAACAGTAAGGAGTTATTACAAGCACGGATATCTTATTTCTGTATTTTAAAAGCTTTCCGTATATTATGCTTATGTTACACACATTTAGTGAGTATATGGGCCCTTAAACCTTAATATAAGTAATTATTATACGTATATATATTATATATAGAGGGAGTGTTTGCTTCTCGAAGGTACGTACAGGCGAGTAGTTGTCATATCTCACACTTTTTGAGCTCCACCGCACATCTGGCTTACACGTGCAAGCTTTACCTCTCTCACGTGTCATGTGGTGTTGTTGTTAGTATTTGTTATATACTAAATTTTGAATCTCATTATCTAATCTTTGTCTGAGTAACGTTATACCATTTATGCATTGCTAGGAATCTAACTCTTAGATAAAATTAACAGTCAGTTTATTGGTAACGCACATATATTATATACTTTTGAGTTTTGACAAAAAGGAAAGTATATATTATTTAGCATATTTACATGTAAATTTCAATATGATTGTCTTGCAAGATAAGATGCAAGAGGGGATGTCATGATTATAACTCCTGGGCCGCAACTAAAGTGGGCCTAGTGTGGCCCCATTTTCTGAAAAATGCCAAACCAAAACCACACGCATTATATGATTTGAGAAAGAGAACATGCAGCCCAACTGTTTGGTTGAAATATTAATTATGTTATAATTTTCTAATTAAATTCATTACATCGTATGAAAGGCTAGAATTGTAATTTACAAGAGAAGAAAATCATCGTTTCAAACCCAGCAATCCAACGGTCACGAACTTACAAGCTCGTTATCTATGGAGTCGGAAGAAGAAAACAGCCTCAAAAATCGAAGGAGGAAGAGAGATCTGAGAGAGAGAGATGCTGATGCTCCGTAAATTACAGATCTCTTCGTTTGAGCTCTTCGAATCTCCGAAACAACCAGGTAATTAATCCATCAGAGGAATATGTTTACTTAGTGAGTTGAGTTAATTACTCTCTCTCGATCTGATTTTAGTGAATCTGTAAGTATATAGGAGCTGAATCATGATAATGTTAATCTCAGGGTTCTGTACATCTAGTTCAAGGATTGTCTCTCTACCCAAAACTCGATTGTACAGTAATCTAAGCAGGAGCTCTGATTTCAGAGCAATGGCTGATATGAGTGGCAATGGAGGAACGAGCTTAGGGAAACTCTATCTGGGTATGGATTTTGGCACTTCGGGAGCTCGATTCACGGTGATTGATGAACAAGGAGGGATTAGAGTCGAAGGAAAAAGAGAATATCCTCGTTTCGTGGTAAAGAACTTTGCATTATACTCAAAAGAGAATATCCTCGTTTCATGATTTGTGGATTTTGGAATTTTCTTGGTGTATGTTATTCTTTATCCCTCGAATTTGTTTGCCATCTAGACAGAGAGAAGAAAGCATGGATTGGGCAAGCTCATGGAAAGCAACTCTTTTTGCTTTGCTAGAGGACATTCCCATCACTGTTCGCTCCCTCGTCTCATCCATTTCGCTTGATGGAACCTCTGCAACAACTCTCATCTTAAACAGGCATGTGATGATCTCTTTTCGTTGTTTTTGTTGTAATCTCTCTTTGCATCATCATCGTCATCATCATGGCCAATATCAAGTCATTGAAATGTTGTTTGATTCTCCTTTGCTTGTTCAAATTATGTGTACCAGTGAGAGTGGAGAAGTTCTGTGTAGGCCTTTGCTCTACAACCAGAGCTGCCCTGATGCTCTGCCTGAGGTCAAGTCTATAGCGCCAGCGAACCACACAGTCTGCTCTGGTTCCTCCACCCTATGCAAACTCGTCTCATGGTGGAATCTTAAGCTTCCGAACAGAGAATCAGCGGTATTGCTGCATCAGGCAGATTGGTTGTTGTGGTTACTTCATGGCAGACTCGGAGTGTCAGATTACAATAATGCCTTGAAGGTTGTGACGCCATGACGATTGATTAGTCCACACAAGATATCAAATTCTTGCTCATAAGTGCTTTTCTATTTTGGGATTTTTAAGCTCAGGTGGGATATGATCCTGAGAGTGAATCATATCCGTCTTGGTTGCTAAGTCAACCTTATTCTCACTTATTACCTGTGGTGCAAGCTCCTGGAACGTCTATAGGCAATCTGAAAGAAAGCATTAGAAGGCAATTTGGTAACTTTTTTTCTTCAGTCTAACCAATGACAAGCAAACATGACGTTTCACTTTCAATTTTCTCTTTTTTGGCTTGTCCAGGGTTTCCAGATGATTGCATTGTTTGCACCGGTACTACTGATAGCATAGCTGCATTTCTTGCAGCACGTGGGACTGAACCTGGGAAAGCAGTGAGTGAGAACTCTGCAATGCTCTCTGAATGTTATTTATCCTCTCAGCTATACTCTCTTAACCCTTCTATTTGAGAATTGTGTGCCACGTTCTGATGTTTGTATCATAGCAAGTCAGTCCAAAGGTCTCCTGCTGGTTCATTAAGTTACCTTCGACATACAACAATTACTCTTTTTTTTTTGGTTATAATTCTTTTCCAAAGGTAACATCATTGGGTTCGACCTTAGCCATCAAACTTCTAAGCACCAAAAGGGTCGATGATGCGAGGTATGGAGTCTACAGCCACCGCCTGGATGACAAATGGTTGGTCGGAGGAGCTTCCAACACTGGCGGAGCCATTCTCAGACAGCTCTTCAGCGACGAGCAGCTAGAGAGACTGAGCCGACAAATCGATCCTGCGGTCGCATCTTCTCTAGATTACTATCCTCTGCAGAGCAGCGGTGAAAGATTCCCTGTGGCTGATCCTAACTTGGCTCCCAGGTGTGTCTGCCTTTCTCATCTTCTTCACAGGTCTCTCTGTATGTGTAGAAAGCACTTTAAAAGCATGGTTTAAATGTTGCAGATTACTTCCACGCCCCGAAAACGACGTCGAATACTTGCATGGTATCTTGGAATCCATCGCTCGTATTGAGGTACAAATTAGATTCAACCTTGGTATAGCGTTTAGTTCCCGATAGAGCCCGTGGAGAGGTTAAGGTTCAGTTAGCAAAACAGGTGACTTGGGTGTATAATATACGTTATAGGGGAAAGGCTACAAGTTGTTGAAAGAGATGGGAGCAACGGAGGCTGAGGAAGTGTTGACAGCAGGAGGAGGGGCCAAGAACGACACGTGGATAAAGATAAGGCAGCGAGTTCTTGGTTTGCCTGTGAGCAGAGCCGTCCACACGGAAGCTTCCTACGGAGCTTCTCTTCTTGCGTTGAAGGGTGCAAAACAGAACAGTGGTTTGTAAAACAGAAGACATTTGCAGGACCAAGAAGAAGTGGCTGCTCCTATGAGAACAAATTGTTTGTGAATATAACACATTGTCAAGAAGATGTTTCTGCATTGATGTTGCATAGTTATCGAACTACTTTTGCTCTTGTTGTGTCCAGCGGTTTTAAACGAATTAACGGTGTTTATGAATAAAATTGCGTATCGCATTGGATCTTGACTTTAAAAAAATTTGCTGGGGGTGTTCCGAGAATCGAACTCGGGACCTCTCGCACCCGAAGCGAGAATCATACCACTAGACCAAACACCCTCTTTGATCATCTTAACAAAACATGATATAAGATACTATATATGGAAAATGATAGTATAAAATCCAATAAAGGCTGTAACAGAAGACATTTGCAATTGCAGGACCAAAAAGAAGTGTCTGTAACTCTTTAATAAAAGATTGAAATGCGAATTACAAGAAAGTTGATCAAGATCTCATGGTGATCATCTCCGAGCTCATACGCTTGTTTACACATTCATCATAAATCTCATAAGAGCAAAATAAAGCGTACAAATGCTATTTATACCAAGTCTTATTCAGAAACTTTTGAAACAGCAAACCCTCTCAGCCATTCTGAGGTTTACTTCATATTCTTCTTTATCACCACTAATTTTCGTTGATGAATCCTATTAAAAACTTAGTGGCATTTTAAATCAAACTTCCCTCAATTTCTTTATATATGTAGATTCATTATTTAAAAAAACCATTAGTTAATAATTTTACTAAAGATGGAATTTTTTTTGCACTATAAATGAATTTGAAATTATTTTAAGTAAAGTAATTTAATTAGTTTTATTTGTATGTATGATTTTAACAATTTTACTAAATATCAAACCCTATTAATCTAAGATTTGAGCAACGCAGCTGAATCCAACATACATTTAAGAAGTCTATATTTTTCTAAGGTATTCGCTCATTTTCTAAGCAGAGCAGATATTTCTGGTGTTACCAAATACACAAAAGTACGAAATACACAAAAGTATCTAATATAATTCCAAATGCAAAACACACATGCAAAATACTTTTCTCAGCTCTCCTCCTTATGCAGATGTCCAACCATACCATATTGCACTCGCCCATAGTCTATGCTCCTCCTGAACTTCTATATTGGGGATGACCAATAAAATGTTTCGTTCAATAAGTTTTATAAATTTCAGATATTTTGCAAACTCAGTATATTCTCTCGTCGTCACCATTGCATTACCCTGTTCATGATTTTGCAAAGTCTTTGCAATCCAACTCACCAAAAACTGTTTAATGCGGTCATCCACCCTCTCGTCATCTTTTGACCCAGTCGATCCTGAAACAAAAAAAAAACAATGATAAATTAGATCTGTTTGTGGTTTTAATAGAGAAAATATAGAAATGAGACAACAAAGAAATTCATTGTCGACATGTTTGGTGATGCTCTAAGGTTTTAAACACTAAAAACAATTAAAAAAATGAAAAAGTAAAAGAGAGAAGAAAAAAAAATCAAATACTATTCTCAAAACCTCTCATTTAAAATGCGATCTAACCAATTTGAGATACTCTAAAACAAGTGTCATTCAATTAGTAGTTTATTTCTTTTTATTATTAAAACTAATTATTTTATTAAATTATAATAGTTTAATATTCTTAGGAGATCCATCTCCCCTTCGAGATGCTCCCACCAAATTGAAAGCAACGAGGAGGTAGTTGAGTAGTAACAGATTGATTGTACATTGTCATCTTTTATATGCAGGGAAATCTCAGGACTGAAACGACTCTCTAAGCAGGGCTAATTATGGCAAGAACACATTTTTTTTTTGTATCATCTTTCAGTCGAATACATTTGTTCTGTTCTTCAAGAATACATATCTCAAACAGAGTTTCATTGACCTGCAACTGAATGAATGAAGCTGTTTTCTATTCCTTATACATTACTTTTTCTTCGAAGGGTATATGGTTGACTTTCTGATCTAAGCAGCTTTCACTTTCTCCACTGCGTATCGGCTTGTATCTTCCGAGAAGAGCACACCGTCCCGCGATAGAAGACGCACAAGGGCTAGAGAAAACCGAGACTGAAACAATTCATGTTAGATTCAACGATGCGAAAACTTATATGGCTTTAGTAAAGGTGTAGCAGCATTTTCTTTACCCATTGGAATCCCACGAGAGCGTACCAGCAGCCTCTCAAGCCGAATCCTCCGTTGCTCAGAAGCTTTTAGTCGATGCAAAGAGTGAGTGAGTGATTACAGAAACCTTTGATGCTAAGAGGAGAGAGTGATTAACTGATTACCATAAGTACAAGCCCTGCAACGGCGAAGCATCCAGTCATTGACAAGCTGATATATCTAAGATCTCTTCCAGCCTTCATTTCACAACAACAGTTTCAGTTCCTTTTGGATCAGGTTAAAAGGAAAATCGGAACTAGATCCAGACATGTAACTCACCAGTAAGGTGCCTTCAAGGCTGTGAGTACTTGGAGTGATGGATAAAGCAAGAAAATATGGTATTATGACCGTGTGCATCTGTGGAAAAAACTCGTCGTTCTTGAAAATGTGTTGCCGTGAATTAGATGAGACAAATTGTTAAGACAGAGGAGAAAACAATACCTGGGATGTGACAACCTTGTCGTGTGTGAAGATGGCAGGGAACAGCCATGGAATTGCTGTGCCAATGGTTCCCACTACTATTCCTAGTGTAGCGCCGATGATAACAAGCGACTTCAGAAGCATTCTGGCCTACACACAACAGTAAAAACAGAGTTTGCTTCAGGCAACAGTAAAAACTGATCTACCATTGGTTTCAACTGAGGCAAGTTTCACCAACAACAAGCTTACCTTAGGCAAATTGCGATTGATTCCGAATAACAACTCAGGCATAAAGGACTGTGCAGTTTGAGAGAGAGGCTCCCCCCAAACCGTACTCATGGTATATGTCTGAAGCATAACCTAGAAACCAGAAGAGCCAAACAAGTTATAGAGAAGAAACTCAAATCAAGAGACATGGCTAGTGGTGAAATGTACAAGGACGACATATCACCTGATGAGCGGCTATGACGCTTGTACCCATTGATGTAGCAAAGTACACAAGGAGCGTATAGAACAAAACCTAAGGGCAGAAACACACAAATATCAGATACGAAAGAGACGATCCTGTTGCAACCGAGTGTCTCAAGCAGTAATAACCTTTGACATCATAGTTATAAAGACTGGGGCAGCGAGCCCAAAGATGGTCAAGAGTTCACTTGGAGAAGGAACACAGAGTGAGAAGGCGCTGTATCCTTTCTTGTTCAATGCGTCCATCATCATGTAAGCTGCAACAACCTAAAACATCTCGACTTAAAACCATATTGATAATGTTAACTAGCTGATATGGTATTGAACTTTGATTGGAATCTCAGCTTACTTGTGACACCATAGTTGCCCAAGCTGCACCTGCTATACCGTATCCTAGAAAGGTGCATAAGACCACATCACCAACACCGTTTATCGCACTAGCAACTGCCAAAGCCTTTAAAGGTCCCCATGAGTCTTTCATACCAAGACTGAGACAAAAAAGGAGAATGTTAGAGCAGAATAACAGTGAGATACAATCCAATGCAACGTGCAGAGGAAATTTGGGTTATAAAGGGACCTTGCACTTTGAGCAACCCATCCGATGAGAACAGCTGGCCATGCTAAACCACGAATCTGAGGATGAAACAAACGTCAAATCAAACGATGAAAGAGGAAAGTCGTCACAAATTAACAATACTCTTAAGGTTATAATATGAACCTGGACATATGTATTGGCGGCCGGGACAATCTCAGCATTCTTTGCCCCTGTAAAAGCTGAAACAAGACTAAACAGTCAACACTTTGTTGGTATACTACATGTCACTAACTTGTTACTGGTCAGCTACAAAGAGATCCCTAGTTACCAGTTAGTGCCCAGGAACCAAACAGTCTTGTAAACACCAACATCATGACTCCACAAGCCAACCCGATGAAAAGCAAGATCGATATCTGATGTTGTACTTCATCCTTATCCTGCATTAGCACTATTCTATTAGGAAGTTGCTAAGCAATTGTGCACTTGAAATTACTCTTGAGTAATAAATTCATAAGAATAAAAATCTAATGAACTGACCCGGCGAGCAAGAGAGGTGGCAACAAGATTTGAAGTCGCAACAGAGAGGAACATGAACGTATAACACAAATAATCGCACACGACGGTTGCAGGACCTGTTTCATCCGTTATGAAATTTGGATTACTGTTCCTCGAACATAGCAAAGGGAAGAAAGCAACCGCATCTTCTCAGTTCAAGTAACAAAATCGATATAGATAATATGAAATCAAAATCAACTTTTTGATAAATTCAACACACAAAAACCAAGCAGGATGGTTAGTGCATTTCCAGCACATCAGCAAAAAATTAACAAATACGGGTCCACTTCTGATTGTAAGGTCATACAAAAGATGAAGACTCTTTATTCTTGGCTTGAATCTTTCAGCAAATAAGGGAGAAACAATTTTTAAAAAAATTCACCATTTTATTTCCGGTTCCAGTCAGAGAATGAAAAGACCAAGAAGAAGAAACAATCCAGTCAAGCAAACTGAGATTCTATGGTGTGTATGTATAGAGATACCTAAAGCAGCGAGTTCGAGAGAGCTTCCTTGACCAATTACGGCCGTGTCAATGAGACTCATCAACGGCCCACATAGCCACAATCCAGCCGCAGGTCCCGTAAACATCACGATCTCTTTCATCTGTCCCAAAATGCTTTGATTCGCCAAGTCGCCTTCTTTCGTCACTTCTTCTACTTCCAATTCAACCGGAGCAATCGAACCGTCGTTTGTATCTCCTCCTGCAAGCTCAATCACTTCCTCCGTCGCCGGAGAAATCGACCCATTTCCGCTTCCTCCCTCAACAACAAGCTCCTGATTCGGACTTGAGCAATTTCTTATAAACTTGTTAAAAGCCACTGACTTTGCTCCGGAAACAGAGCTCCTGAAACTCGGGAGTGGAGGCTTCCATGACCGTACAGAGATTGAAGATCGGAATTGTAGCTTCGGGTTACAGGAAATCGAAGAAACTGTAAAAGTTAGGGCTTTGCATTGAATTTGCATTCTTCCTTCTTCCTACTCCTAAAAATTCAAAAAAAGGAAAAAAAAATTGCGGCTTGAAAGCTTCCCGGCGATTAACTGATAGAAAACAACAACAACTCCCATTTTCCAAGTTTCCTCTCTTCATTTTTGTAAGCATTAACCGGTTAGCCAAATTGGTACAATTAACCGGTTAGCCAAATTGAGATCGAACCAAATTTTGATTTGCACAACGAAAACGAGAAGCAAAATTTGATGGCCCAAAAAAATTAAGAGAAACAGAATGGGAAATTTTGGTAAGGCAAATGTGTGATTGTAAACAAGTCCAAGTGATATTTTCGTGTCGGAGACAGAAGACAAGATGATCTTAATCATGCATCGTGTCACTAATGACCCTACTTACTTTGTAAGTTTGTGACTTTATGATTCCATAAAGCTCTACGCAATTTGCAAACTATTTGGAATCGCTGAGAAATAAACTTATGGGCTTTTTATTGAGCCCATATAAATAAATATTGTATTGTCTACATGAAACATCATGCTTCATTGCTTCAGCTCTACTCAATGTGCAAACTACACGAGTATAATTCCATTTTCGCATTCCATGAGTCATGAGCGTTTCTACTCTGTACAATAACGCTTGAGCAAACAGAATGTTGGGTCCAATTTAGAGATTGGAGAGGGCTTTCTTGGTATAATTGTCCTTTGTGAAAATCGAGTAAGCATGCTGTAAACACAAGAAGAGAAAACGAGAGAGTCTAGAGGTCACATAATAAGCTTTGAAGGCAAATGAAGCTGTATGTAGGTAAGGTAAAAGTGGTTCAAATCAACTTCAGAACTCTAATCAAAAGTATCTCAGAGAATCATGCTACAGTTAAACCCTAGAAAAACAAACTTATGATCCAAAAATAAACGAGAGACTTTTATGCTGCTGCCTTAATTCTTCACCTCCTCGTTTTGCTTTCCGTTGCTCCACTTCTGTTCGGTTTAACAAAACATACCCATTAAAACACAATAATTAAGCACACATAACTTAATCACAGAGAGAGAAGTTACTCACGACAATCATTTGCTAATCTCCTTCTCCTTCTTCTCCTTCTCCTTCTCCTCCTCCTTCTCCTTCTCCTTCTTCTTCCTCTCCTTCCTCCTCTTCTCCTTCTCCAACTTCCTCTTCCTCTGCTTCTCTATCTTCCTACTCTCCTTCTTACGATTATCATACTCAACCTTCCTCCGAGACCCCATGGAAGGACCCCGGGAAAACTAAATATTTACTGCATAGATACGTTTATAAAAATTATATAAAAATATCCATAAATTTAAAATATAAGAAGGTATATGGAGAAGGAAGGGTGTGGATGTCAAAAGTTAGACCACAAACAATCATGAATCATAAAGAGAATCGAGAGATTAGAAAACTTACTTAGGAGAGATGAACAAAGCAAGCAATTGAGTTGCTTAGAGAGATGAACAGAGTGCTTTTGATGATGAAGATGAAGAGACAAACCCAGAGTCGTGAGACGTAGAGGAGATGGTTGCAACTAAGAACTCAAGTTAAAACCCTAGTTTAATCCAATTTTCCTTTTTTCTTGGTTAATTTACTTTTTTATTTGTAAAAAAAAAAAAGAAAAAAAAAAGGAAAAAATAAACGTTTCGAGGCCGTCCCGACCAAGTCTCCTGTCTCGGACACGTTAGCCAGATGACGTCCCTGTGCATCATCCCAAATCAATTCTGCTACTTCAATGATTTCAAATGAATCTTCTTCAGCTTCATCCTTACACAGAAAAAACAGCAAGTTTCAAATCCTTCATGATATAAAATCATTCAAAACCTAATTTTTTAAAAATAAAAATTGATTCTACACTAATAACAGTAAAATTTTAGTAAGAATATCAAAATTTATGATTCAATAACAATGGGCTTTTGTGAATTGTAACAATTCTTAAAAATTATTTTACCAATAACCTCTTTCAATTGCGAAAAATAAACTTATGGGCTTTTTTGTTAAGCCCATATAAAGAAATTTTGTATTTTGAGTTTATTAGTTTCCGAAACCTTCTAAAGATCCAGGCCCAATATTTATGAGCCCAACAAGTGAACTGCTCCCAGTCTTTGTCACGTGGCACGATGATTCAACGGAGAAGTTGACATGGCAGTGCAAGAACCGTTGATGACTTCACAATATCTGATGAAAATCTCCAAACATTAAACCTCAGCCTTTAATAACCAGTGAGAACTCATCACTACCTCACAAATGTTTTATTTATGGTTACTTTGGAAAACATAAGATATTTGGTTTAATGATTCTGAGACGGTTTGTTAATTGTTAATTTGTTTTGCAAAAATATTATCGTCCACGTGGCAAATCCTCGTCAGCCGGCTCACGGGAACCTCAATCTCCCCATCTTTTGTGTTCTATCTGTCCTCTCTATATATTATCCACTGAAACGCACGATTGCTGTAGCGTTATCAGCGTTTTATTTAAGCTCTCGAGTAGTCAACAATGGCGTCAAGCTCTGCGACTCTGCTCAAAGCCTCGCCGGTCAAATCTGATTGGGTTAAGGGACAGAGTCTCCTCCTCCGCCAACCTTCCTCCGTCGCGGCTATCCGCAGCAACGCGGCACCTTCCGCTCTCACCGTTCGTGCCGCCTCTGCTTACGCCGACGAGCTCGTCAAAACAGCTGTAATTAATTCAAAATACAATATGTAATTCTCTCAAATCAAATCAGAGCATTTTATTTAATTGTTAGTTAATATGATGTTTCGGGGGTGGTGGCAGAAAACAATCGCGTCTCCGGGACGCGGAATTTTGGCGATGGACGAGTCAAACGCGACTTGCGGGAAGCGTTTGGCGTCGATTGGGCTAGAGAACACGGAGGCTAACCGTCAGGCTTACCGGACTCTGCTTGTGTCGGCTCCAGGACTGGGACAGTACATCTCCGGAGCAATCCTGTTCGAGGAAACTCTCTACCAATCCACCGTCGACGGCAAGAAAATGGTCGATGTTCTCGTCGAGCAGAACATCGTCCCAGGCATTAAAGTCGACAAGGTACTGTATATTATAAAATATAAACCTTTAGGAATTTCGGTTTAAGTTCGGTCTAGCTCACAAAATACATGTAAGATATTTGCCGGTACGGTAAAGTTCGAATTTAAATTGTTTTGGTTCAGCAAAACTTCAGGTTTGGTCTGTTAATTATGCAAAATTGTTATCAGATTGGTTTACAAATAAATTTAGATTGAAGTTCGATTGTTTTCGGTTATGTAAATCCTTGGTTTGATTTGTTCATTGGTTTTGTTTATGTTGGCTTTGTTATGGTTCGGTTTAAATGTACATACGTTACGTAAATGGGGTTTGTATATAAAAACAGGGTTTGGTGCCACTTGTTGGGTCCAACGACGAGTCATGGTGCCAAGGACTCGACGGTTTAGCCTCCCGTACCGCTAATTATTACCAACAAGGTGCTCGTTTCGCCAAATGGTACGCTGAACCAAATTACACTGACTTGGTTTTAGCCGTATTGAATGTCAAATGGTGTTTTGATTGAATGTGCAAAAAATGTATTATTAGGCGTACTGTTGTGAGCATTCCAAATGGACCCTCTGCTTTGGCTGTTAAAGAAGCAGCTTGGGGACTTGCCCGCTACGCCGCTATTTCTCAGGTACATGATATCTCTAAAGACGCTGTTTACCATTTACGTACATTTCGGTATGTGTACTCATGCGTTTTGCGTCTGCGTTCTGCAGGACAGCGGTCTGGTACCGATTGTGGAGCCAGAGATTATGTTGGACGGAGAACACGGCATTGACAGGACCTACGAGGTTGCAGAGAAGGTCTGGGCTGAGGTCTTCTTCTACCTCGCTCAGAACAACGTCATGTTCGAAGGTGACATTACAAATGACTTCTTGTGTTTAGAAATGCTTAAAGTTGTTTGTGAGTTTAATAACAGAAGCTAGAGAGTTACATACAGGTATCCTGCTGAAGCCGAGCATGGTTACTCCTGGTGCTGAGGCCAAAGACAGAGCTACTCCGGATCAAGTTGCTTCATACACACTCAAGCTCCTCCGTAACAGAATCCCTCCTGCTGTTCCCGGAATCATGGCAAGTTTTTTTTATTTTCCTTTTCCTTGCAGCTGAAGGAAACTATATCTTTTAAGATTTGAAAGCAGTGGTTTTGATGTTATTTGATGTTACACAGTTCCTGTCTGGTGGACAGTCCGAGTTGGAGGCGACTTTGAACCTGAACGCCATGAACCAGGGAACGAACCCATGGCACGTGTCCTTCTCCTACGCACGTGCATTGCAGAACACTTGCTTGAAGACATGGGGAGGCAGAGAAGAGAACGTGAAGGCGGCTCAGGACACTCTCTTGACCCGAGCCAAAGCCAATTCGCTGGCTCAGCTCGGGAAGTACACCGGAGAAGGTGAGTCCGAGGATGCCAAGGAGGGTATGTTTGTAAAAGGCTACACCTACTAAGCTGTTTGTATTAATGGTTCCCCCTTCCCGTAGATCAAAAACTCAAATCTTGAGCTTGATTCTGGTGGTTTTGAGTTGTTCTCGCAAAAGTCAATTCGTGTTTTGTTTCTCCATGGTTAATATGGCCGTTTTGTACTATAATGTACCTACTGGCTATTATAATTGAGCTACGTCTGTTTATATCATTGCTGATAAAAACACATTACTCAAAAACTCTTGTTTTTGTTAGCTATGGAGCTACAATATAGTGGTTAAGACTCAAAGATCACAAATCAACAACATAGTTCAAATTAATAATTATCGATTAATTCACACACAAAAAAAAATAACTTGTTTGTTATGCTTCTTTTCTTAACGTTTCCTCTGAGCCCTTTAAAAGCTAATATCTTCAAAACTAATAGAGAATGCACAAGAAAATTCCTTTGTGTATCTGTGGATCACTTTTCAGGCTCTCTTCTAGACTGTCCTAACACCAGCAGGATCGTGATTGTTTGCGCTATTTACCATCGATACCTTGCTCCTTAAGAAACAAAACAAAAACGATAAAGTTTTCAAACAAGGAGAAAAGTATTGAGCCCCATGACTGTTAAAAAACACCTACTTGGTGATCTGATCCAGGCTCCTCATGTGGTCGTTGAGGATTGGAGTTAAGGTCGATCATATTATGATCGCCATTCCCATTTGATTCTTGACCATTTGGACGCCGTAATCCTAACTCATCGGCGTGATTAGGTTTATCGCCTGGGAACTAGGATAAACAACAACAACAGACCACACACTGTGAAGAATGAATGAATACTCAAGATCACAAAATCAAGAACTGGCTGATATCTCAAACCTCGATTCTCTGTCTCAGCAAAAGAAACCGCCTGTGTGTTCTCTTGCCGCCAACATGTACAACCATGTCACATTGCAGACAAAGGGAACTGCCGTCTATCTCACAGTAAAAGAAAGCTGCTCACCGATCAAAACAACCATCTCAACAAAACAAATAAAGAAATTTCCTTTTTTCCCTAAAGAAAGAAAGAGAGAAGAATCGCACCGGGTGCGTTTTCGCATATGTCACAGTTTGGGGCATTGTTCGGATCAGCCAAGCCTACACGTACATGTCGACTTGCCAGCTTATTGCACATATGAACCTGAAGCCAAAAAGCAACATGTGTATATCTCTTATAAGACAGTTGATATCGGTTCACTTCCTTATATTATGATACTCTGCTCAATTAAACACATTTCAGATCAATAGCTAATCAGATCTCTCACAGATGCAATAGAGTGACTGTAAAGTGTTTTCACCAGAGAATGTTGATATGCAATGTGCAAACTTTAAGAGACATACATCAGAATATAATAAAGTCATTAACAGTGACAACGCAACATGAGAAGATCCAATCGTTGAATCAGAAATATCTTAATTCCTGATTTTTATACAGATTTCGACCATCTTCGATTCTTCGAGTTACAATAACCCAACAAAAAAAATCTCGAAATCTATAATTTTTTTTTTTTTTTGATAATACGAAATCTATAATTTTAGCACTGCAGATAGTAGTAATTGCCTCAAAAGTTTTTTGCATTGGTTGAGATGAGGTGTTTCAGATAAAGTAAGTTACTTTTTCGTCGCATGAGTAACAGAGAGCAGCTTCGTCGGCGGCGCAGAAGATGATTGCGGCGGCGCTCTCACATACATCGCATAAAATCCGCATGTTCTTTTAAAAAAAAACTGACGATTCTCGTTCTCTTTGAACGATTAAGCCCACTTTCAAAGTTAGCAACTTTCGCCAAACCCAGATTCCGATTGTTGACACAGAAGAAAATTCATGAAGATGATTTGTGAAATATATATAACTCTTCCTTCTTTTGTGGCAATGGAGGTTAAAAAAAATTTTGAGGAGAGAGAGAGAGAAGAGCCGTGGACTGATAAATTTCCAGACGCTGAGAGTACCCTATTTATGTATACTCGCTCTCTCTTCCGTTAACTTAATTTTTCGTGTGACAAAAACAATCCAATAAACGAAAATCAATAGTCAACAAAAACTTAAACAAATTCAAAATACTTATGATTTTATAAAATCTCTACTTTACATTCCAGAACTAGATTAGATTCTGACAAAAACCTAGAAATTCGTCTATTTTTAATTCGTTAATCCAGAATTTACAAAATTTTACAGTAAAGAATTGTTTCGTTTCGAGTGAATATATATGAAAATAATTTGAGAAGTTATATATAAAGGACAAAAAGAGGATACAGTAGAAACTAAGTTAGGGTCAGAGTCTAGGGACCCAATGGTAAAGGAGAAACTTCAGTAGACAAAAGACTTGTGTAAGTGCTGTTTCCTTCGTTTTGTCGAAATTCGTAGAGTGTTCGAGTTCGTCTCGTCTCTTCTCGTCCATGGAAATGGAAATGGAAATGGAAATGTCTGTATATATGGTAATTTGTAATCAATTCCAAGCTTTTTTATAATTGGTTGAACAGAAATACTGTGTTGATAAATAAGAGCAAATTTGCACAAACAAAAGAAAATATAAATAGGAGGGAACAATACAGTAAAACCTCTATAAATTAATATTCGATAAATTAATAATCACTATAAATTAATAATTTTTATCGGTCTCAAGTCGGGCCAGTGTAAAAATTAGCAAATTTCGATAAGATAATAAAATAATAATTTTTTTTGAAATTCCTATGTAAAAATATAGTCCCAATAATTATATATATATATTTAAAAATATATGAATAATATAATATAGTAAAATATAATTATATTATTGTTTCAAGTTTATAAAAATTGTTTGACTTATTTTTCAAATTTAATGATATGATATTTTCTGAATAAATTTTACATTATTGATAATATTATTTTTTTTGACAAATATTTTGAATTTGAACTGAAATATCTCTCTATAAATTAATAAAATATTAATTTTTCTATAAATTAATAATTAATAATTATTTTGTTTAATTAATAACTTTATAAATTAATAATTTTTTAAAGTCCCAACATTATTAATTTATAGAGATTTTACTGTAATAAAGAGCCACAAGAGAAATTGAAAGCAGAAGGTATTAGGGTCAAAAGCAACAACAGCCATTCAATTTGGTGGTGAATAAGTAATTGTCGTTTCCAAATATTGTTGTAGTATGTGCTAAATATTCGTTTTTGACTAAAATCTAAAACCCAACAATTCATATAGAAGGATTTTTTTTTCTTGCGTCGGTCCAGTCGATATTTATAGGGTTTAATAGATATTTTATATTCATGGTTTGATACTTTTATTGTCCATGGATCATGACATATATAGCTCAATAGTTTGTGATATTACTGTCACCATACTAGTTTTTGGTGTAAATTTGTTTTTTTTCATGTTTTTTTTTATCAGGTCATTTTTTCTTCTTTTATATACAGTTTTTCATTTATCTTTTATTTACTAACTGATCGGATACGGATGCTAAATTTTTTACCTATACATAGAAATCAAATCGGATAATTAATGGGTTTTCCAAATTTAATGATAACCGGCTCTCAGGCCTACTACACAGCCATCTTTTTTCCTTTCTTCTAGTCAAAATGTCTTATAGTACTTCTGGTTTTGAAAGCCCAATCATAATAGGCTTTTATGTGTAAACCCAACAATAATAATCGGCTTTTTTTTTTATATATGCAAGAATTAAACTCATGCATAACGTTAATTAGTTACTAACTCAACTTCATGTTATGTCAACTTATGCAAATTAGTATTATAACTTAAGAGTTAAATATTAATTTGTGTTACAATTTGATAGTTGTGATTTTGAGTATAAAATTTCATGTAGTTTTTTATTTACTAATTTAGCACATGGGCCATCAATCACAGTCGATTAGGGTTTATGGTTTGAGAAAGCAAAAAAACAAAGTAGTATTAGTGGTTATATAAACTTATGGTTTATGGGCTTTTGACTTTATCTTCGTTTCGCTTATTTTATAGTTTTATATCATCTGCAAATACTTTCTACTTTCTACGATGAATGGACTGACAAAAGTCGAAAAGCAATCCGTGATTTTCGCTGTTTTACTTATTTCACGTTTGTTCGGTAAAATGGGAGATTACTTTGATTAATGTCCGAGCATAGTCGAATTGTATAAGACGTTTATTTTTTGGTAACAACCAAAACCAAAAAAAAAAAATCATTGGAACACTCTTTATCGTGGAGAGAGTCTCACTCTACGATATAAAACCCCTTGGGCTCCGGACCGTTCAACGGCTATAAAGCAGCAGCGGTCCACGTGCCACGTGTCAAATGTACGTAAATGAGAAAGATCGGAAAACATTAAATTTAAGGAAGGAAAAAAGAAAAGCGAACGGCCATTGCTTTTAATGCACGTGGCAGATTTCTCAGATTCCCGACAACGTCCCAGGGGTACAATGGGAACTTCAAGTGTTATCTTCCTTCCACCGCACTCTCGGCTCAACGAATTAGAAAAAGTGTGTGAGAGAGAGAGAGGCGCTTCCCTACGAGATTTGCGGGACCAAATCAATGCCCACTGGTCCCCTCCTCCTTCAGAGAGAGTGTGAGAGAGAGAGCCCATGGAGAATTTTTAGTGAGAGAGAAGATATCATCAAGCTGAGTAAAACGACGACGATGAAGCAGCAGTAGGATGGAGTCGAAGACGAAGAAGAATGGGTACTGTGATTCTCTCTCTTTTTCTCTCTATTTTGTATCTCTTTCTCTCCGATTTGTTCACACTACTGTTAGAGATCCTGGGTTCGTCATCGATTTTCCGATCCCACTGTTTCATCGGGACCTAGATTTCTCAAATTTTGCTCCGGCGAAAATACTTATTCAGCTTTAATCCGTTAACTTTCTTCTGAGTTATTTTTTTCCCAGCGTCACATCTGCGCTTTAATTAGATCGAGATTGCTAATTTTGGTAATATTTGTGGAGAGCACTTCGGCATTTTATCTGGATTTGCTTAAATCGATTACGAAACTATGTATTGGGGATATTAAATATCCGATTTCACCTTCCAAATCGGTTGTGTGTGTGTATATGATTGCTGAAATCTGTGTCTGCGGTGGATGTTTCAGATTAGAGCTTCTGTAGAAACGGCGTCGCTTTGGGGGAAGAAGACAACTCAACAAGGTATATCCCTCTCTTTATGTAAATGCAAATGCAAATGCATACACATATATTCAACATCTTGACACAAAATATACAAGTGAAGATTTAGGGTTTAGTAATGGAGATGTTGTTTTAGATATTTGACATTCAAGTCAAATCAAATATTATTTTATAGTATCAACCATTTTTTTAATGCCACAACATATACCTTTGTTTTCCTTACTTACATTTTTGGATTGTTAAAGAGAAAACTCAAGTGCACTGGTGAGAAAGACTTGTGAATACATAGAACAATTAAAATATGAATTCTATCTTTTTTTTCTGTCTGCTTTTGCGTGTGTAAGATTACAATCAAAGTACTTAGAATATGATAGCTTTTCCTTTTTTAGTTCTTTCTTTCCCATTAAAGTATATGATGCATTTCAACAGAGAAGGGTGGTTTGTGGGGCCATTTATTACTTATTTTGCCATTAAAGAAACTTTAGATTGATGATGCATGACTTCGTTTTCAAGCATAGTGGGTGACCACTCCACAAAAAAGTCGATAATCTTTTTTTGTTTGTTCTTCAGATAAAGGTTGATCACCTTCTAAGTAAACTCTCTTCTGATATTATAATTACATATCATCTCTCGTTCGGTTTCTTTTTCTTTTTGTTTAAGTTGTGTGCTGAATAAAATTTGAACTCTGGTGTTTAATTGCAGTGCATTCGACATTCTCTGACATTATGAGTTTGCTTTGTTGAACTATTCGAATTTTATTCTTTTGGGGTGGGGAACACTAAGGGATTTTCTAGGCATGCTTCTTGTTTCAACCTCTTGTTTTTGGTTTGGTATGATGAGATGTCTGAACTTTTTATCATTTCTTTATGGTTGTGTTAGTTGAAAAATTAGGACTCTTTTGGTCTCTTCCCAGAACTATTCTGCTCTTCAGAGCTATCAGCAGTCGTTAAAATATGAATGCAATGTGTGATGTGCAAATACATCAAGCTTAACGTCTGAACTGTTTCAGGAAAACGAGTTCGAGTTTCCTCTGCTTAAAGAGCTCATTTCGATCTGACAAGTGACAAATGGGGGCGATTGCTGGAGAAGAGCTGAAGAAAATGGAGAAGACACAGGTACCTGTAGCCCGGGAAGAGAAGATATTGGTTCTAGTGAGACTGAGACCTCTGAACGAAAAAGAGATCTTGGCTAATGAAGCTGCAGATTGGGAATGCATCAATGACACAACCGTATTGTACAGAAACACGTTGCGTGAAGGCTCAACTTTTCCTTCCGCATACTCATTTGGTAAGAATTGCAGTGGTGTTTTTAATTTAAATGTCTTCTATGGGCTTAAATTAGCATCAGTTTTTTGGTTTCTTTCACTGCCTGTGATCCCCAAAATTTTACCTTTCATCCAAAACCATCTTTTGTTTACAGTAGATATTGTGCACTGTGTTAACCTCTTACATAAACTTAAAACTACTTGGCCTTAAGTTGATTTGTGGATGCCCGTTTCTCTTTTGATTTTTTCGTGACAGATAGAGTGTACCGAGGTGAATGCCCAACCAGACAAGTTTACGAGGATGGTCCTAAGGAAGTTGCTCTCTCGGTTGTCAAAGGAATCAATTGTAAGCTTCCTTGATTGTTGTGATGACGTAGACATCGATGGCGTCAAAAGCTAACTGTACCTATAATTACATTGTTATCCAGCTAGCATATTCGCATATGGGCAGACGAGCAGTGGAAAGACATACACGATGACTGGTATAACTGAGTATGCCGTGGCTGATATATTTGACTATATATTTAAGGTACTGCTAAAAGTTCAAGCATGATATTTTACTGTACTACTTTGATGTGTATTCTTCACTTTAACTAATTGCATTGGACGCTACAGCATGAAGATAGGGCGTTTGTTGTGAAATTTTCGGCTATAGAAATCTACAATGAGGCCATAAGAGATCTTCTCAGCCCCGATAGTACGCCACTGAGGCTACGAGACGACCCTGAGGTGAAAGATTGTTGGTTTTTTCTTACTGCGATATCTTTTAGGTAATAATCTTTGTGTGACTCTTCTCGTGTTTTCTTCTCTTTCATTTAGAAAGGGGCCGTCGTTGAAAAAACCACAGAGGAAGTCCTGAGAGACTGGAACCATTTGAAGGATCTTATCTCTGTTTGTGAAGGTAATAACCTCAGAAAGTCCACCCATTCCATTACCACTATCAGTTGATAATTATGTAGAATTCTCATAATTTGCTACTCAGGTTATTCTGTATAAAGTGTTGTCTGAAAAGAATCTCTTGTCTCGTTTTCTTACTGTACTTATTCCAGCTCAGCGGAAGATTGGTGAAACATCATTGAATGAGAGAAGTTCAAGATCTCATCAGATTATCAAACTAGTAAAACTCTTTTCTATCGCTTGATCTAACTAAGGGTCAAAGATCCCCCTCCTTTTGCTAACTGTCTTATCTAAATTGTTAACTTTTTTGCAGACAGTTGAAAGCTCAGCTCGTGAGTTCTTAGGCAAAGAAAACTCAACCACTCTCATGGCGAGTGTGGTATGTACTCATATGCTTTATCTGCTTTGGGTCATAACTCAACGTATTTAAGCATTTCCGAACATCTCTCTTGTGCTCATTGTTTCTTATGTACAGAATTTCATTGATTTGGCCGGAAGTGAGCGCGCATCGCAAGCCTTATCAGCTGGTACAAGACTTAAGGAGGGCTGCCATATCAATCGAAGTTTGTTGACTCTAGGAACTGTGATACGCAAACTCAGGTGTGTAGTACACCGTACTATTTTTAGCATATGCCACAGATAAATTGACATAACAAAAGACGTTTTACAAACATCTCTATTTGTATTTCTGAAACTTAAATGTGCATTCATATAAAGACTGTCAACATGATGCAGCAAGGGAAGGCAAGGACACATCAACTATAGAGACTCCAAGCTCACACGCATTCTTCAGCCATGCTTGGGGGGCAATGCCAGAACCGCCATAGTCTGCACACTTAGTCCAGCAAGGAGCCATGTGGAGCAGACTAGAAACACCCTCTTGTTTGCCTGCTGTGCCAAGGAAGTCACCACCAAGGCGCAGATCAATGTTGTCATGTCAGACAAGGCTTTGGTGAAGCAACTACAGCGTGAGCTAGCCAGGCTTGAGAGCGAGCTGAGAAACCCAGGCCCTGCCACCACAAGCTGCGATTGTGGGGTTGCGATGAGAAAGAAAGATCTTCAGATACAAAAGGTATGTGCTCTAATGAAAACCCAGAAGTAGTTTGATTTTTGGGTAGTTGGGTTCACTCTGAGTAAGGTTTGATGTTGTGCAGATGGAGAAGCAGCTCGCAGAAATGACTAAACAGCGGGATCTTGCTCAGTCTCGTCTTGAAGATTTCATGAGGATGGTCGAACATGATGAGTCTTCGAAGGTATCTTAGTTCAATCGACGGATAATCCAATAATCTTTAGACTTTGATGGCAGTTTTAGCGAAACCGAATGCTTATTGTCTTCCCTCTTTTGAAAGGCTGGAACTCCACATTTCCGAAACCGTACCAACAAGTGGGAGGATGCTTCAGTGTCAGAGACATCAGGTGTGGTTGATCCAGACAGGTCCAGTTTCATATCAGATGGCACGTCAACGCCTCTGTCCACGGCAAGAGCTCCTGTTAGGTCTCACTATGACGAGGATCTGGAGGAGAAATTGTCACCTGGTTGTTCAGGAGATCAATCAGAAGATTACTGCAAAGAAGTACAGTGCATTGAGATGGAAGCTAGTGACATTATTAACAACGATGAAGAAAGGACAGATGCAGAATCACCTCTGCGCCACAGTACAGCGGCAAACGGTGAAGCAGGTATTGCGCAAAACAGGAACCCGTCAAGTGTTAGAAGCGTCAGGGTGAGGAAGAGTTGGAGCCGCGGAGATACCATGCCGGGCGCAAGCACTCCTCCTGATGCCCTGGAGATAGACTACCCTGGAAGACCAGAAGGTCATGGTATTGCGTTTCCTGGTTTAGAGTTCGGTTCTGGTAAGAAGTTGTTGAGGAATGATTCAATGTCCTCTCGCGGAAGCGATTCCACTGAGGCTCACAGCGTTGGAACACCGATGGTGGGAGAAGATGGAGGCATCACCAGCATCAGATCATTTGTTGAAGGACTCAAGGAGATGGTAAAAACCGTGAGAAACGTATTTTATATTTGAGTTTTTGGCTCTCTATTTTGCAGCAAATATTCAACTTCTAACGTCAAGCTACGTGTTTCAGGTTTCGGATCCTGAGAATTCAGGGAAAATTGGGAAGGACACTGGTCCGGACGCTGTGGACAAGGAGGTTTCTGGGACAATGACGAACTGGTCAGATGAGTTCGACAGACAGAGAGAACAAATTCTGGGGCTGTGGGAGACATGTCATGTCTCGTTGGTGCATAGAACATACTTCTTCTTGCTCTTCACGGGGGATCAAGCGGATTCGATATACATCGGAGTAGAGCTAAGAAGGCTCTCCTTTATGAAGGAAAGCTTCTCTCAGGGGAACCAAGCCTTCGAAAGAGGACAAACACTCACAGTAGCTTCAAGGTTAGTACATAGTACTTTTTAGCACTTGCCTTTACATCCGCAGCAAACAGGTTTATGTCTTTTTTTTACTAATCGCGCTTGTTTGGTTTTAGCCTGAAGGCGCTTCAGAGGGAGAGACGGATGCTAAGCAAGCTGGTCGGGAAGAGGTTTTCTGGAGAAGAAAAGAGGAGACTCTACGATAAGTTCGGGATCGACGTGAACTCGAAACGCCGGAGGTTGCAGCTGGCGAACCAGCTGTGGAGTAAGCCCAAGGACATAACCCACGTGGTCGACAGCGCAGCCGTCGTAGCGAAGCTCGTTAGGTTCGTGGAGCAAGGAAGAGCTATGAAGGAGATGTTTGGTCTGAGCTTCACCCCTCCGCTCCCGACAACTCGGAGATCACTTAGCTGGAGAAAAAGCATGGCTACGATTTTCTAATAGTGACAAACACGATGGTTTCTCAAGTTGCATGTGTAAATCTTTCTAGGTGGTTTTGGTGTTTGATGAAAAAGGTTTCTTAGATGTTTTTTCAAGGCTTTAAAGCTCTTAAAAAGGGATGGATATTTTTGTTTCTTGTACTTTTGTGGGGCTTTTGATTTGTAAACAGACAATTATCTAATTCTTGATGTCTTCTGGTTGATATCGACTGGTCTAAAATCTCATCATGGTTAGTTACGAGTTCAACATGGTCCATGAGCTTTGCATTTGAAATCGAACCAGCGGAAATTGTTGAAACGGAACCAAGTCCGATAGAAACTACTATTCTAAGGCCCACTGAGCCCAAAAGAACTATATATCCGTTCGTAAACACTGCGTCGTTTAATAACAAAAACCCCTTAGCTTTGTAAAATGTAAAACCAAATGGAGTTAACTTCTGCATTAGTTAAACAATACACAATCTATTGAAATGGTAAACCCACCACCCAAAAGACTCAAAATAACTCAAAAATCAAAGATCAGAGAGATTGAGCAACACTATGATCATCATTCATCATCAGCACAGCTACGAAAGAAAAGTAAAAAACCTGTCGAGTTTTGTTAGAATCCAATCCGACTAATTTTACAGAGAGCAATTTATATGATTATAGTCAACAATTTTACTCAAAATGATATCTTGGAGATAGAAGATCTTCTAAACAACAAAACAGCAAGCTAGATCAAAGAACTTTCAGACCTCGTGTTCTACTAATCTAAACGATTACGATTCAACTTTCATTTGACACACATTCATACAGAAAAAAAAAAAGGGAAAAGCCAATCAAACAGCTCACATTATTGATATATGTAGCATATGAACAAAAGCTGAAAATCAAAACACCTCAATGAAAATAAGCAATCTTCTGCAAAAATTTGGCGTCGGCAAATAGAAATCCAAAGTGATGCAAGAGCCAGACATAAAGGAGGGAATTTTAAGCCACTAAATCGCCAAGAAAATGTATCAAAACAAAAACACAGATCATCATTGCAGACGATGTTTCATGATAACGAGTATACAGACAAGTTTTAGAAACTGGAAATTCATCACTAAAGGCGACAACTTTTTTTGTGGCAAAGGAGAAAACCCAAAGAGGAGAAATTTTCAGATGAGCTTGAAAGGGAGAGGCCAAGGAGTAGACCTGGGAACCTCGAGCTTGTCTTTGATTCTCTCGATCATCTTCTGCTTCTTCCCTCTCGAGTTCCCGTACGACCCTATGAATCTTTTCCCTTTCTTCGTCTTCTTATCCCCTCTTCCGCACAAATCCATCCCCGATACTGCCGGTGCCGCAGAAGCCGGAGATAAAGACGAATACCTCGCCGCAGAACTCAATCCTGCAGATGTACGCTGCGTCATCATTATCCGTCGCGTCATCGCGCCGCACCACTGCATCGCCGCCATCTCTCTCTTTCTCTCTCTCTCTCTCTTCCTCTCCGTTCTCTCACACTAGACAGAAACACCTCAGAGAAAACTACATTATTGGGCTTACTAATGGGCCCGAAATGGAGATAAATAGACGGTTTATAATATCATCGTGAAAGCCCATTACGGGCCTGTTTGTTTGGTTGTCTTTCTTCCTTGTAATATGTGTACATACGTGTCTCCACCACTCACTGTTGTTAACGATCAACTCAGCGAAACGATGGAGCTTCTCTGCTCACCAACGTCTCTTTCCTCCTCCTTCGCTCTCTCGTCTGCTCTTTTCGCTCCTCCATCCTTCTCCGTACGCAATTTTGGGGATTTTGTTTCTTATTTTCGTTTTTATGTAAACATTTGATTTCATGATCAATTTTTTTGGATTGTTTACATGGTTTTTAGATGCGAGGGACAAGGAGATTCATGGTTCTGTGCAGCTCTGAGAAATCCCAGAAGGTATTTCATTCAAGTACTCCATTATCTCCTAGCCCCCATTGCATTGGATTATACATTTGAACAAGAAACCCATAGAGATCAGTTTTGACCCAAAGAACCAAGTTTTGAAATGTCAAAATCCCGAGCTTTATCCAAACCAGTTCGATGAACTGTTTCCTTTTGGATTTGCAGGAAAATCAAATGACAGTGTCAGTAACTGGAGCAACTGGATTTATTGGGAGACGATTGGTTCAGAGACTTCGTGCTGGTATTCTTCTTTCTTTGCTTTGTGTATAGTGATGACGTTTTTGACACACATTTGTTCTTAAATTTAAATCCTTTGTTCAATCCAATGAGTTTTTGTTTCGATTTGATTCTACTGGTTATTCAAGTCTAAACACAAATATCTTAAACTGGGTTTGTTCTTTGTTGGTTACGCAGATAATCACTCTGTCCGTGTCTTAACACGCTCTAAATCCAAAGCTGAGCAAATATTTCCGGGTAAGAAGGTAATGACTGTTCTGCTTCTATTTTACTAGGATCATATTACAGTCGTATGTAATTTGATTATCTTCTTTAACCTGATTCATCAACTTCTTAATGGCGGATTTTCAGCCAAGGACTTCCCAGGTATCGTGATTGCGGAAGAACAGGAGTGGAGAAACTGCGTAGAAGGCTCAACTGCTGTTGTGAACTTGGCAGGACTTCCTATTAGTACAAGGTGGTCTCCCGAGGTCAGTTTCTGCTTTCACGTTCCTCTGCGTGCTCTAAAGCTTGATGTTTGTTCTTTTATCTGCTAATATATTTGCTTGCTTTGCAGATCAAGAAAGAGATCAAGGACAGCCGAGTCCGTGTCACATCTAAAGTTAGTGCTTAACATCATTTGACTGTAGCTCCAAGTTTCACATTTTGAGTAGTCTTTGTAATTATAAAGTCGCATTTGTTTCTTTGAAATTTCATGAAGGTTGTTGAGTTGATAAACAAATCACCAGTGGAGGCTCGACCTACCGTTCTAGTTAGCGCCACAGCTGTTGGTTACTATGGTCTGTCACCTTAAGTCTTCATACTCGTGAATCTGATGATGCCAACAAGAATCCTAAATGGCTTTTTAACTGCCAGGTACTAGTGAGACTGGAGTATTCGATGAAAAGAGCCCATCTGGGAATGATTACCTTTCAGAGGTAAACGTCCTGAGCATATCTCCTTGAAAAATTCTGAATCTTTTTTTTGCGGCTTTGGTTCATGAATGTGACCGTGAAAGACTGTCTGTAACTCTATCTGCAAAGAACTTTGCTGCTTTGATGAAATATGTACTTATTGTCCGTAGGTTTGCAGAGAATGGGAAGGAACCGCAATGAAAGCGAATAAGGATGTAAGAGTGGCACTTATCCGCATTGGTGTTGTTTTGGGAAAAGATGGCGGGGCTTTAGGTGCGTATTCTCTCTCTCTCTCTCTCGCTCCCATACCCTAATAAAATGCGTTGGTGAAGGACTTAGATTCTCTGCTGATCATGTAAAAGTCCTTTTTTTGCATTGTAGCCATGATGATACCCTTTTTCCAAATGTTTGCTGGAGGGCCTCTGGGTTCAGGACAACAATGGTAAAGTCCAACACTTTTTCTGGTCATCTCTTGCCGCCTCTCTGCGAATCTAACGACCATTCTTGCATAATTCACTGAGTAGGTTCTCTTGGATTCACGTGGATGACTTGGTGAATCTAATCTACGAGGCCCTCACTAAACCATCCTATCAAGGTAACAACACACATGCCCTCTATGTTACCTCTCAAGAATTGCTAGCCTAAGTCAAAAGCTAAAGCAGAATGCTATTGCCTATTGGTGTTGGTCGTTGTAGGAGTTATAAATGGGACTGCGCCAAACCCGGTCAGGCTTGGGGAGATGTGTCAGCAGCTAGGCAGCGTTCTTGGTCGACCATCGTGGCTACCAGTTCCTGACTTTGCACTCAAAGCTTTGCTCGGAGAAGGTGCCACTGTGGTTCTTGAAGGACAGAAGGTTTTACCTGTAAGAGCCAAAGAGCTTGGCTTTGAGTTTAAGTACAAATACGTGAAAGATGCACTCAGAGCCATTATGCAGTAAGGTGACACACATAGATCATCGTTCTAGCATCAGATTTGGTCACAGAAAAACGAGAGATTCTTTTTCTATTCGTCTATTTGTTCTTTTTTGAGTAAAACTCGAGAGATGCTTGTATTGGTCAAGTGTTTTTTGTAGAGAATATATAACTCACAATAAGAAGACATGACTTTGTTCAAATCTATCTCCTCGGCTCCTCGTACATAACTTTGTCTCATCTAGTATGCTTGGTTAATAGGTGAAATTCAGTTTCAAAATCACAGACCCTCTTGGTCAGTCAATGACTCAGCTTCGAAATCATGAACAAATATGCGAAAGATGTGGCCAGAGTCTTATCTCCTGCGGTAAGAACACGAAAGAGCAGAGAATAGTAGAAAGTTGCATTAAATCTGTGATAACAGAAAACAAGCTATTCTTCCCCCTCTCTCGCTCTCATCAAGCCAGAGAAGAAGAGGCCACAGCTTTTATTGAATTATTTGTTTTCCTTGTTTGACTGAGACGAATACACAACATGAGAGGGGAGGATCATAAAATAGACTGAGCAAGACAGATTGTGCGAGTTGATCAACCCCTCAATGAATACTTCTTCCCAGTGAAAGCTTGGAACTTAGGATCTTCTTTCTTCTCCTGTTCCTCTTGTTTTGCCTCTTTTCCAGCTCCAACCTGAAGTACAGAAGAAGAAAAATGTAAAGAAGGGGAACAATCATGTGGCACTTGTCTCTCAATTCCATTGCAGTTTCTCACTAATAAAATAAAGTTTGAGTAAGTACTTTCGGAGCTTCTTTGGGAGCACGACTTGCATTGGCCCCAAACACAAGCTTTCCTTGAGCCTGTCGCGCAGATTTCTCTGAGCTGCTTGCTACAGATGACTGTCCATTACCGTTAGCAACTCCAGGCTGTTTGTCTTTGGAACTAGAGGAGGCAAAAGAGGCAGGAGGCGGCTCATAGGAAAGAGGTCTCCCATCTAACCGTCTTCCAGATCCAGTGAAAGGGTTGAACTTTGGTTCAGGTTCAGCCACAACCTCCTCAGCTGTGAAATTTGGAAAGTTAAGAAAAACAACAATGTAAATCAAAGCTAATAAGTAACTCCATCTGACGATTGGGTACATACCTTTTCCTTTTGCCAGACCCTTGGCTGCAACAGGTGCTGTGGGACGTTCAGGCTCCTTGTAATCAAGGGGAGGTGCAAAATCAACCTCACAGTCTGTTTCTATGATGCTGATTCCATTAGCAGGCTTTGTTTCAACTATATCTATAAAGTATTTCTTATTGTTGTACGGAACCATAATGCTATCTCCAGTGGTTAGGCATGAGTAGTTCCTCAGAGCAGTCTCCAAGCTGCAAGGTTCATTCACGAATCATATACGGAAACACTTTCAAGACATTCTCCGAGCAGTATTTCAACATGATATGGGGAAAGAAAAAAAAGAAAACTACATGAGGACTCACATGGCTTTCGGGTTAGATATATCCAGAAAGTCTGTAGTGTGGGGCTGTAGTTTAACATAAGTCCCCTTTGGAAGAGTGACATTTCTAACTCTCACAATGTCTCCTTCTTGCAGCAGCAGGTTCTGCATCATCTGGATTAGATCAAAGCAGCAAACATTCAGTCCGGTAAAGCCGCATTATTTCAGTTGACAACCAATAAGGAAACTGATATACTTACCCAATATGGCATGTAAATCATTCCTTCTTCTGCAATGAACTCAAGGACTCCACAGTGAGAAACACGTTCAATTCCAGCATTACGAAGCTCAAAGAGCATCGGATAGTCAATATGCAAAGAGGCTGTAAAGTTATTCCCCAATATTAGCACTCTGATTCAAGTTTAACCAATATTTTATACCAAATCCAAAAGAGAAAGCAAGCAGTGGCATACCCAGACGATCGAGGGCTGAAGGTGGCATTATAACTGAAATAGATATAACATATGTCAAACTTCAAGCATGAAAAATACAAATAGGAAACCATTGACTGGAAACACACATCAGTGTCTAGTTTAAAAGTCTTACTCTTGTCACCACTTTCAATTTGTGGCTGCAGAAAGAGAAAACGAAACAGAAATCAGAAACTCGAAATGACAAATCAAAGTTCAGAGCTTTTGTGATACAAGTCAGCCAATGGAACATGAAGAAGACAGAGACAAATAAAAGCCAAACGGAAAGCAGACAGATGAGAGATCAAACCTTGTCGATAAAAGACGCGGGATAACACCGATAACTCTGCTCAAAGGTCGTCCCGTGATAATGGTATCCATCGAAAAACTGCATCGTGTCAAAGTCCCAAAGGGAGAGTGATGATTAAGCTCGACTGAAGATTAACCGGTTAAAAAAGAAAACTTTGTGCATAGAATTTGAAAAAGACACTTACCATAGTTTCAGTGGTTGATAAATAGAGCAAGATAACAACGGAGGCAACCTACCGAAAAAAGGAAAATTCACAAGAGTCAATGAGAAGAATCACTGAGTGATCGAAATCAGAAAACATAAAGAGTCAAAAATCCTAGGGTTTCAATACGCGAACATGAATAAACCGATAATCAGTGGTGGGCAAACAATTCAATCCAGACGGATAATGAAAGTCGGTGCCTTTTCCAGATTCACTTGAGTTTTTGATAGAAGAGAACTCAAATTCGAATCTCAGTAGCAGATAATTGAAACCTAAATTCGAAAAAATGTCTAGAATTCGCAAAGACCCACCTTTTGAAACCTACCCACTAAGATCAAGACCTCTCAGAAACCTAGCTTACCCACCAATTCCTATACGACTCGCCGTAAATCCTCCCAAAACAGAAGAATCCGATCACAAATTCTACTATCTCCGATGCAAAAGCAATCAGAAAAAAGCCTTAGAATTGAGATTCTCAGAAAGAAAAACCAAAAAACTAGGGGAGGATAATACCGATTGAGCTACCGACCGATAGAATTACCTGTGTCGAAGAAAGGAAACTGATTCCGGAACACAAACAAAGTTAACTTGAAAGCTGTGTTCACGTTTGATAAATATACTCCAAAGTACTATCTCTATATCATACGGTGCGTATTGGTCCATAAACTGTATTAGGCCTAAATATATTGAATGGCCCATTGGGCCTAGATATAAAGTTTTGAGGCATCATCATCTTTAATACTAACGTGTGCAATACCAAAACAGTCGACTGAGAAACTCTCAATCTGAGCAGATATTTACTCAATCAGGAGGATTCAGCAAAGCAAGGAAGCACGAGAAGGTGAAAATGGAGATCACACTGAACAGTGGCTACAAGATGCCGATCGTCGGCTTAGGAGTGTGGAGGATGGAGAAAGAAGGGATCCGAGACCTTATCATCAATGCCATCAAGATCGGCTATCGCCATCTCGACTGTGCTGGTACGATTAACTCTCTTACGTCTCTCAAACTCTTCTTTATGGTTTTTGTTGGCTTGGGGACTCGAATAGAGTATTGGGTTTGTTTTATCTTGTTGAAAGCTGGAGTTTTTATTTGGAAAATGTCTAAGATTTGGGTTATTGAGCTAACTTTTCTGTATATCTTGGTACTTATCTGCATCTGATACTGCTGTTATAAGTATTTGGATAAAGGAATGATCTAAGTCTTTGTTTTTAGCTGTTATATAAAAAGCTCACAGTGTAAGTTTTCCTTTTTGATTTTGGTTTTAATGGGATTAGCTTTGTTCTGTGTCTTGATTTTGGTAGTGTTACGAGTCTTTTGCAACTGGTTATGTAACATTTTTTGGGCGTTTTGGTGTTTTACTTGGTGCAGCTGATTATAGGAACGAAGCCGAAGTTGGTGAGGCTCTCAGTGAGGCATTTAAGACGGGTCTAGTCAAGAGGGAGGATCTCTTCGTTACAACCAAGGTCGACACGGATTCCGCTAAACTATGTATCTACGTTTCTTAATCTATTATTAAGCTCGAATAATGAAAAGTGAGAAAGCTCTGAATTCTTCATCTGTCTTGGTTACGCAGCTATGGAACTCAGACCATGGCCATGTTATCGAGGCGTGCAAGGACAGTCTCAAGAAACTTCAACTTGATTATCTTGACCTTTACCTCGTTCATTTCCCCGTAGCAACGAGGCACACTGGTGAGTTCTCTGCCTTATTCATGTATGTATATAACTCTCAAGTAGAGACCACTGCATTTTGTTTTCTTGACAAACCCTCCTATTTTTACCGGCTAAAGTCAAGTCTTCTGAAGTCTCTAGCAATTGGCACACAGAATGATAAGCTGTAACTTGTGAGCCTTTCCCCTCTCTGTATGTGCTTACAGGAGTTGGAACCACCGATAGTGCTTTGGGAGATGATGGGGTATTGGACATTGATACGACCATATCTCTGGAAACTACATGGCATGACATGGAAAAGCTTGTATCTATGGGTTTGGTCCGCAGCATTGGAATCAGGTAGAGGATATATCAACAATGAAACTCATTTTAATATATTTGCTTGTTAATTAACAACCACAATGTATGATGCGATATGGCCTAAATTATCGGAACCAGGTTCAAGTTTCTCACAATCTTTGAGTTCTGAATTGTGGTTTTTGCAGTAACTATGATGTGTTTCTAACGAGGGATTGCTTGGCGTACTCCAAGATCAAACCTGCAGTGAATCAGATCGAGACACATCCTTACTTCCAGCGCGATTCACTTGTCAAGTTCTGTCAGAAGCATGGTGTTTGCGTCACCGCTCATACTCCTCTGGGAGGTGCCACAGCCAACGCAGAGTGGTTTGGTACCGTGTCATGTCTTGATGATCCAGCTCTCAAAGTAAGCTCATCCTCTTAGCGTATAGTTCGGATTGAAACAGTTAAAAAAAAAGGATTAGGTTACTGAAATCTTCTTCTTCTGGTTTCTTGAATACGAATTACAGGAGGTGGCTGAGAAGTACAAAAAGACAGTGGCGCAGGTTGTGCTAAGGTGGGGAATCCAGAGGAACACAGTGGTGATACCAAAGACATCGAAGCCTGAGAGGTTGGGAGAGAACTTCGAGGTTTTGGACTTCGAACTGACAAAAGAGGACATGGAACTGATCAAGAGCTTGGACAGAAAGTACCGTACCAACCAACCTGCCAAGTTTTGGGGCATTGATCTCTACGCTTGATGATCAAATCACCACACGCTCTGTATGAATAAGAGAAGAAGCCATAGCTTCACTGGGACATTCACAAATTGTTGTTAAACCTATTCCCTAAGTCCAACAATATCACACACTTTATTATATGCAATAAAAACTTATTCCCTACTTTTTATGCTATATCCATTCTGCAATGAAAGATGATGATGATGATCCTTTTAAACGTGTACTCTGCTGCACTGAAAGAGGAAACAAGAAAAGACGAGGATGCCCTTGATTTGTTTCTGGCTTGTTATTTGAGAGGGAGGGCACTTTAGTAAATGAGAGATTAAGTAAGTATTGAGAGCTCTTCTTTCTTCTTCTTCAGACACTATCTTTCTTCCTAGATCTTTCTTGTCAACATCCCCTCCATTGCCCATTTCTTCTACAATCTCCAGAAATTCGTAAGCTTTCGCGCCTTTTTGTTATCTCTTTGTCATCCAATGTTGCTTCCCTTTCGAAAATGTTTTCTCTTGTTTTTTGTATTTTCAATTTCCACCTCCGTTTTAGATTTTCCTGAATTTCTGCTCTTCTGGAAGATGACCACGCATGCTTTAGATTGATTCGACCTCTTTGATCGTGACCTAATCACCTACGCTCTTTTAATTTTTCGTAATTGTTCTTTGGGACCTGTCTCCTTGCGAGTTTAGATTGATTTAGGTATATGCTGATGACGGAACCCTAACTGGGAAATGATACGAGAAATCAGAAATCTATCTTTCACTTGAAAGTTTTAGACTTTTTGTTTGATGGACTGTGATGAGTTGTGGTTAGAAGAAAGTAATCTGCGAGCTCAGAGATCTTCGATTGCATTTCTGTGATGATTGACATTCTTACTCTTGTTTCAGAGATTCAAATCACAATGTTTAACTATTGCTGAGTGAGTGTGAAGCTCGAAGCTTGAAGATTGAAGCTTTCCTATTTCTTTCGTTTCTTCTCATTTGAAGATAAAAGAGGATGGAGAATGGTGAGCAGTACGAGAACGGGAGGTACAAGTCTATGGTAAGACCAAAGTACCTTTGGTTTCTTTAAAAAATGTATCTTGTTGTGTGGTTGAGGAAGCTAAGCAACGAAATGGTGTGTACAGTGGAACATGATGCCTCAGCATCAGATAAAGGAGCAGCACAATGCGTTGGTGATGAACAAGAAGATCATGTCGATCCTTGCCGAGAGGGACGCAGCTATACAGGAAAGAAACCAAGCCGTCTCTGCGAAAAAGGAAGCAGTAGCAGCTCGTGATGAAGCCCTTCAGCAACGGGACAAGGCTCTCTCCGAGAGAGATAAAGCCCTGATAGAGAGAGACAGCGCCTTCGCTGCGCTTCAGCACCATGAGAACAGCCTCAACTTTGCCTTGTCCGGTGGGAAGCACTACGACGGGGACGATGGTTTCAGCAGCGTTCACAAACTCGTTGCTTTTCCTTTGTCCACTATTCGGCCTGAGGTAGCCAGCACGAAGAGGAAGAAGGAGAGCAAGCGAAAGGGGAAGAAAGTGGGTGAGGATCTGAACCGTGGAGTGGCTGCTCCTGGAAAGAAATGCAGAACAGACTGGGACAGTAACGATGTGGGTTTAAACTTGGTCACCTTCGACGAGACGACGATGCAAGTGCCGTTGTGCACATGCACGGGCACAGCGAGGCAGTGTTACAAATGGGGAAACGGTGGTTGGCAATCGTCTTGCTGCACCACCACCTTGTCGCAGTATCCATTGCCGCAGATGCCGAACAAGAGGCATTCTCGCGTCGGCGGTAGGAAAATGAGCGGGAACGTTTTCTCCAGATTGCTCAGCCGTTTAGCATCCGAAGGTTATGATCTCTCGTGTCCCGTTGATCTTAAAGATTACTGGGCTAGGCACGGGACGAACCGCTACATCACTATCAAGTAGCCACTACGTTCCACAATCCAATGTATGTTTTTCTTCTTCTTTTTCTTTTGTTGGTATTAATGTTAAGAAAGTATGTTCTTCTCTTCTTCTTCTTGTTAAGGTTTAGGTGTTGTCTTTATTTGTCCATAGTTCTCGTTGTTGTCTCTATGAAGTTAAACCAAAAATGTTGATTAATCTTTTGAATGGGTTTGACATAAGAGAGATCTGTTTTGATTTCAAAAACCAAATCTCAACAGTTAAAAGATTACAAAATCTTTGTTGTTACCCCTTAATCAGTAGATATGGTTACACGGTGATTAGTCTAAAGAATAAAAAGATCAAAAATGAATGATTTGTTGTTATATAACTTCACCAATATTCACGTCTTCTCTATATACAACAAGATCTTGAGATGAACAAAGTGTCGGAGAAAGGCACTGTGGAGACCCAGTCGCAGCCGTCAAAAATGGGGTGGCTCGCCAAAACGAGAGCTGACTTGGAAAATCCGAATCCAGCGATCGTCATAGTTTTCCTCGTAAGCAATATCGTTACGTTTACATCAGGAATTGCCTTGGCCGTTGAATGGTTATTTCACGGCAAGAGCCACAGTGGATTCGGGTGGATCATCTACTACGCATTGTTCTTGATCTGTCTTCCTCCTGTCATCTTGCTTGCTCTCCGTGTCTTGATGGCCATCTCTGGTTCAGCCGCAGCAAAAGAACCGTGTGCTGATGTTCACGAGGCTCAGCGAAGTGAAGAAGAAACTGAGAGAAACAGTTGCCGGAGTTTAGCGGTTGTGGTTGATTCCGATGAAATGAAGAAGACGCCGAGGATAAAACGCACAGTTTCGTTCCCATCGCATGGCAAAGCAAGATCATGCCGTACTCGTTAGTCCTTAGCAAGATTGAAAAATTAGATGTGTTGTTTAGTCTCTTAGCAATCAGATCATTTCGGTAATCTAATAATCTCTGCTTGTGAAATGTTCCTTTTTTTGTTTATCTTTTTTCAAACGATCCAACGATTATAAGGATCTTCGGAATATCGAATTTAATTAGACCGTTTCCTATTTTTCATATGATTATTCTAAAGAATAAAAAGATTAGAGTATTGGTTTCAATTTTCAAATGAGTTAACTCAAAATCAAAATTATGTGTGGGTCCCATGTGCTGAGTCAGTGTCATCTATTGACCCTACGTGGGAGGATATACATGGTGATACAATTTACGTTACTTGTTTCTAACGGTTTTTCTTGTCACATAGTGTAATAATGTCTTTCTAAAACATGATTTAACATTAACAGCTGTATTTTACGCTTTCTGCTGTAATTTTTTTGCTAAATCTTAATACATAGTAATTTTTTATTCTCTTTTTGAAAAAGTTTTATACATAGAATTTGTTCAATACAATTTAATGCATCTTTATTTGTATGGTTAACATGAATTTTTTTTTTTTTTTAGAAAAAGGTTTATACATAGTAATTTGTTTCAGTACAATATAAAGCATCTTTATTTGTATGGTTAACACGAATTTCTTTTTTTTTTAGAAAAAGGTTTATACAGAGTAATTTGTTTCAATACAATTTAATGCATCTTTATTTCTATGTTTAACATGAATTTGTTCAATCACTACAACTACTAAATACTAATGTGAATTAATGTGGCTAAACTTAGCTAAGATGATAATAAAAGTAGCACCTACAAAAATAGAATAACGAGACAAATATGGCTCCAATAAATTAGTAAAACTTAGCTAAGATGCTAGTATTAGTTTGAAGATACTGTAGCCCCACATACCTTTTTTATTTGAAACATGCAAAAAAAAATCATTATATTATTTTCATTAATTAATTTATTTGAAAAAATGGCTTCATCTAAGAAACAAATTAAAAATTAAAATATTATATCAACAATTCAATAATTAGATATCTTTTGTTTAAAATTTTGCAAAATGTTAAGGAGTACTCAGTGAGACAATCGAAAATTTATCAACAATTAATTTATAAAAATATTTATATATATAATTTTTAATATATTATCGTATATTCCGATTCGATTCATATACATTTATTTAAGTATTATACAGTTTTAACTTTATATTAATTTTGGATATGTGATATGTAAAGAGAGATTAATTAAAAATTGAAAGAATAATTAAATTTTTTCACCAAATCCAAAAAACTGAAAAATTAATATATCATGGTATAATAATTAAGTTAGATTCATATACATTTTTTTAAGTGTTTTTTAATTTTACCTTTATGATAATCTCCGATCTTTGCTTTGTAGAAAAAATTAATTAAAAATCAAAAAAGACAATTCAAATTCTTTCATCATTAAAAAGCTATAGTGAATTCGAAGATTTTTTTATAAACTCATTTTAGAATACTTATTTTCTAAAAATGACAGAAAATAATATTTTCATTTTATAATAATTAATTTTTGTAACCCTAATTCTGACATTTTTTAATTTTTTTTTACAATTTCTATTTTTAACATAAATAAAGTTTTTATTTATCGTTCGTACTTCATATCATATTGAATAACTAATTAATTTTTTTAATATATATCATATATATTAATTCATTATTTTTTAGCATGATATAATAAATGTTGAAAAATAAAATTTTATAATTTTTTTACTTTTTACCTGTAAACATAGAATGTTTTTTTTCTTGAAAACTTTCAATATTACTTAACTGGTAATAAAAACTATTAAATGTTTTATATATAGAAGTAGAGGGGGAATATATGGTACTTTGTTGTTTTTAGAAGGAGAAAAAACAGAATCCAACACTGTTAGTCTAGATTCATTTGGTTTTTTTTTTTTTTTTTTAATAAGCTATTGCACATATAAAAAGGTGGAGTAAGTGATTAGAAGAAAACCACCAACTCTATGTTTTCCAACTATTGTCTCTGATTGTCTCCTTGTTTGAATCTGAGGTCACTCTCACTCTCTGCTTGTCCTCTTAATCTCTGACTGAAAAGTAAAGTTTTGTTTCTGCTATGTTCCTCTCTTTCTGTGTAAAGCTATAATGACCACTCATATTACTTGATATGTCGATAATGATAGTTTTTTTTATGATTAGCTTGAGTTAATTATGGTTTTGTGTTTGTTTCTCAGAGATCACTGTGGCTTTGTTCACATGTAACATCTGTCGTTCTATCGATTTTGATTTTTGTTCCGTGAGTGATACAGACTCTGCTTGATATGATGCAGGAACTCCATGAATCCCGATATGATGCCTTCTCTGACGACAACTACTTGCACCAAACCGCAGAGTAGCCGCGCCGAAGGTGGGAAGAAGGCCGGTTTGCCTCCGCGTCCTCCTCGTCCTCCGCACTCCAGCGTCCCTCGGGCGAGGGCTCAGCCGTCTACGCCTGCTTTCATGTTCAACTCCCTGCCGTCGACGCCGGCACCGGTCGGTATCCACAACGTGGCCGGTCCGTCATTGTTGCCTCCGATTCCGTTCACGGGGAAGAGAGTGTCCGGCGCTACTCCGCCGCCGATAAAGGCTCACCAATGGGACGACAGTGACGATATGATCGTGTCAGGGCTGAATTCGCTGTTGGCGGCTCAGAGTCCTTCAAGATCGGTCTACCCGAAGGCAATGGAGATGAGCGTTGGCGTGGAGAGCGGGAAAGAAGTCGCTCATGGTGAAAGCATGGACGTGGACACTCCCCTTACCGGTGGGCAAAACCAGACAACATCGGGTGTGAAGAGAAGAGCAGTACAAGACACTCGTAGCGAAGGAAACGATGTCGATGTCGGCCGCCTCGAGTTTGATGCCAGCCTGTTTACTGAATCTGAACTAGAGAAGATTCTGGTCGATCCTTCTCTCAGAGAGTTGGCCGCAACTAATCCTTCGCGTGTGACAAGGTATGCAAGATTGTTTGTTTTTTTGCCATCTAATCGTGTGAATGTGATGATCCATGTATATATATGATGATCCTCTTTCAGAATCTTGACAAACCGGAGCTCAGCTGCACGTTCAAAGGAGAAGAAGGCCAAGTACGTCTCCTGCTTGGAAAACCATGTACAGAATTTACAGGACGACGTTTGGACAATGACTGTAAAGCTCAAGGATTTGGAGGTGACACACACATAAATATATCACATTAGCAAACTCTCTTGCTTCTCATTCTCTAAACGGACTGTTCCTTGAAGCTGTATATATACTTTGTTAAGTTTGTATTTTCCGTTTGCGTGCAGAGAGAGAAAGCGGAGCTGGAACCCGAGAACTTTCAACTCAAGTTTTGTCTTGACGGAATGCTTAAGGAGGCCGAACTTAGTATTTGTACGTCATCTTTTGTTTTTAGTTTACTTGCATATTATGATGACCTAATTGTCGAAACAACTGTATAAAGCTTGTTTAATTTGTCTTGTTACCATTCCATATCCTGGTTGTTTGCATTGAGGATATGACTCGAATAAGCTTGTATGTTCGTTGTTGCAGCCTTCACCGAACACTTGACAGAAGAAATCCATCGGCTGAAGATGCTAAACGGCAGCGAATATGACAGGTCCAACATCCAGCCAATGGACGCAAACATGTACCAGCCGCAACCATGTCCCAGCAGCAACCAGCAGTTTCCTCCGCCGCAAGCATGTCCCAGCAGCAACCAGCAGTTTCCTCCGCCGCAAGCATGTCCCAGCAGCAACCAGCAGTCTCCTCGGCCGCAAGCATTTCCCAATTTCAATCAGCCGTTTCCTCAGCCGGAAGCATTTTCCGGCAACAACCAGCAGTTTCCTCAGCCGGAAGCATTTTCCGGCAACAACCAGCAGTTTTCTCAGCCGCAAGCATTTTCCGGCAACAACCAGCAGTTTTCTCAGCCGCAAGCATTTTCCGGCAACAACCAGCAGTTTCCTCAGCCGCAAGCATTTCCCAGCAACAACCAGCAGTTTCTTCAGCCGCAAGCATTTTCCAATTTCGAGTGAACAAGTCAAAGCAAGTTGATGAGAAGTGGATTTCGTAAATCCTCTAGGATTTTTCCATATTTAAGTTGTTTCAGGTTAATATTATAATTGATGTGTAGGGTCATGTTGAGTAAAAAATCTTTCAAAAAGAAAATTCAGTTTATTAAGTAGAGATATATATATAAGAAATTGATTTGTAATGGTTAGTGAGAGCTCCAAGACAATGTGATCTCTTGTATAAATAATATCTCTGTTTTATCCGATTATGATTTTATTTTTATTTTTAATTCATAAAGCTGGGTCCTTTTTTTCATTTAAATTTATTTTATCCAATTGTTAAATAAATAAAATATAATCAGACAACAAAATAAATAGACGAAAGTGGTCTTCTCGGGTGTTCCTTTTTCCGACCAGTCGATGATTTGCTTTGGTCAACGTTTCAAGAGACGTCTTTTGTTGTTTCTTCGCTATTTGCGCCATTGATTTGGTGAAATAGAAACAGAGATTCGCATTCCATTTCCTTCCTTGCAGGTCAATTTCTTTCTTGATTACCTCTTCTTCATTTGGAATTTCAGTTATTTTGCGTTGATATTTGCTTTTCCTTTGATATTTTTCCTCAGCCTCTGAATGAACATTGAACTTTATCTAATCCTCTCTCAAGCTTCGAACTTTTAGGGTTTTGGTTCTTCAAAGTTGGGACTTTTGCATTTTCTTCCCTATTTCTTTATCAGAGAATCCTCGATTGAAATGGGTGATCATACGGATACCAATATGATGATGCACAGAGCTAATTCGTCCTCTGCTACTTCCTCTTCGTCGATCCCTAACCCTAATCAGCACCTGACTCCTGCTATTTTCCGCTCCCAGCAGTTTCCTCAGTACAGACAGCCTTTCACCGTTGGTAATAACGGCGCCGCCGCCGGAAATAGGGTCGGAGCTCCGCCGCCGATTCCCCCCGTTTCTCACTACTCTCAGATCCCGGCGACCTTACAACCCAGGCATTCCCGGTCTATGTCGCAACCGTCCTCCTTCTTCTCCTTCGATTCCTTGCCGCCGTTAAATCCCTCTCCGACGATTTCGGTGTCGGTGGAGGAGAGAAACGGCGCCGCTGGATTCAGCCCTTCGCTGCCTCCGTCACCGTTCACGATGTGTCCTTCCAGCTCTAGGATGGCCGGAGATGGCGAGAATCTACCGCCGAGAAAGTCTCATAGGCGTTCGAACAGCGATGTGACATTTGGGCTTAGCTCGGTGATGGGTCAGGGCCAAAAGTCGCCTCCTTTCAGGTCCTTGGAGAGGTCGATCTCAGGGGGAGAGGTTTCAGATTGGTCTAATCTGGTGAAGGAAGAGCCATGCTTCGAAAGACAAGGCTCCTTCTTCAGGGGAAGAAAACCTGATAACGAAGCCATGGACGATGTTTTCACGGCCTACATGAATCTTGATAACATTGATGTGTTGAATTCTTTTGGAGGTGAAGACGGCAAGACAGGTAACGAGGCTGTGGAGGAGATGGAGAGCAGTAGAGGCAGCGGGACGAGGAAGACGAACGGCGGAAGCAGCAGTGACTCTGAAGGAGAAAGCAGTGCGAGTGGGAACGTGAAGGTTGCGGTGGCTTCTTCTTCTTCAGGCGTGAAGAGGAGAGCCGGCGGAGACATTGCTCCGACAGGCAGACATTACCGGAGCGTTTCGATGGATAGCTGTTTCATGGGGAAGATGAATTTCGGTGATGAGTCAACGGCGAAGCTTCCGCCTTCATCATCAGCAGTAAAAGTGGTTTCCCCAACGAATTCAGGTGAAGGGAATTCGAGTGGCTACAGTGTGGAGTTTGGGAACAGTGAGTTTAGTGCAGCTGAAATGAAGAAGATTGCAGCCGATGAGAAACTCGCTGAGATTGTAATGGCTGACCCTAAGCGTGTCAAAAGGTAGATAGAGAAGACAGCGATGCTTCTTCATACTTAACATTTTTGGTGACGTGACTGTGTTTGTTTGAACCATTCTCTGTAGAATATTGGCGAACCGTGTGTCTGCCGCACGCTCAAAGGAGCGGAAGACGAGATACATGGCAGAGTTGGAACACAAGGTGCAGACGCTGCAGTCCGAAGCTACTACATTATCAGCTCAGCTCACGCATTTGCAGGTTACAAACACACCACAAAATTGTTCTGTTTGGTTGGTTAAATCACTTAGTCTTACACTCTTCCCCTTCTTTTATTTTAGAGAGATTCAATGGGGTTGACGAACCAGAACAGTGAGCTGAAGTTTCGTCTTCAAGCTATGGAGCAACAGGCACAACTCCGCGATGGTACGCACTCTTGATTCTCTGTACTAATAAGGTTGCTGCGTCGCTCTAGTGTTGTCTTGTGTTCGAACTCTGATTGATTGAACCTTTCTCCTTGGAATGTAGAAAATAGGTCTCTGTTTAGTTCACAGCTTTAAATCTTTCTCATGGGAATGTATTAACTCCATTTCTTGATCCGTGTCTCTAGTTCTTCTAGAGAAGTAACGTACTGTGTCATTTTCGTTATGTTGCAGCTCTGTCCGAGAAACTGACTGAAGAAGTGCAGCGACTGAAGCTGGTGACCGGGGAGCCGAGCCGGAGCAGCGAGTCCAACGCATCGATAAACCCGGAGATGTTTCAGCAGCTTAGTATTAGCCAGTTACAACACCAGCAGATGCAGCGTTCAAATCAGAATAGCAACACAGTGAGAGCAAAGCACACATCAAATGAATGAATAGGGAGGGGGTAACAAGTGTGGTTACATACATATATATGATCATCATCTTTTTATGTGCAGAGTCTGTTTTTGCATCATTTTAAAGAAACATAGAAAGAGGAAACCTCCATCATATATCCTGAACCTGAAACAGATACATATATATATAATATTATTATTATAGTGGTAATAGAGGCTCTGCTTCTGGACAGAGTGAATTCTTCTGTCGTTTTGATCATAATACAGTTGGCATTTCATTTCATTTACCTTTGGATTTGGATTTTCATTTTTACATCTTCTCTGAGACAATTCCGTCTTTGAAGATTTCTAAATGGTACGGTAATCTATCTAATTTCTGTTGATCAATTACAGAACCAGAAGCTACGAAACTAAACTGAAACTGCTTCGCTGTTACCTATTAGCCCTTTTGCTTGAGAAGCACTCTATCTACCTTTCCCTTGTCTCTGTCGCGCTATACATCACGAGACAATTTCCAGTTTAACCAGACAATCTTTAGACTTGAGCTGAGAGTCTCTGTCGAAAAGTAAATGAGCTCCAAATCGCAATGCTTTTGGTTCACAGTGAGAGAGATATCAAGAGAAGAGAAAAGACTTTGTTTTCTCCACACGCAACACCGTGAGACACTTCCTTAACATCAAATGCCAAATCATACGAGACTTCAAGCTTGAAGAACGTATCACCAGCTTTGTTGAAGCCATATACATTCCATAACCAAAGAAGCGGGGATTAAGCTAATCAAATTGTTTTAAACTAATACATATGCTAATACATCTTACATTGGAAGAAGGAAAAAGGGACCAGGTGTACGGAATGGGACGAAAACGAAAGATTCTTCATTTTTGTTAGCTACTCATCCAATTGCACATCCATCTCTTGTCCTTTTACTGCTCTTCTTCTGTCCATTCATATTCCTATATATATATATATATTATTTACGGTAAAAAACTTACAAAATGTAAACTTTTCAAAATTATTGACCGGTTCAATCAATATCATTGAACATGGGTGGACCAAAACCCCATACTGATTACTGAACAATAAGAAACGACCTAACCGCTTGAACATACGATACACATGTGTGTGTGTGTGTGATGAGGCATAAATAGATATTATTGGTTTATGTGGATGCAGTTGATTCCAAGCCAAAAAAAAATTGTACATGAGCCAAAAATGAGAGAGATACGTAGAAGAAGTATGTGCATTAATTCAGAAGACTAGTTGCTATCGTATACCACACCATTTGTGGCTAGCAGGGAAAGGAAAAGAGGAGAGTTAAGAGCATTTAATCTTATATATTTTAATCTATACTACTCAATATGTATCTATATAGTTCACTAAAATGTATAGACAACACCAAGTAACTACTAGAGACAAACAATGCTATGCTTCACCTACCTCTTCTTAAGTATTTTGCTTTCTCACTAGAGACAGTAAATTAAAAAAAAAAAAAAAAACTCTTTGTTCATTAATTGAATGGTCCCTTCTGTAGTAGTATATGTTTATTTATATTTTTTTTTAAATAAAGATTTTCTTGCTTAGATATTCCGGAAATTAAAACATGTAGTAATACGCTTAAAACTCACTCAACAATACGACGGAGAAACCATCATTTTTTTTTTTAATGAATACAAACTTAAACCATTTTCTTGTGTCTAATTCGAATCGATCGATAATTTTATTCCATTTGAACAAGAATATGAACCATAGACAATATACAAGTAGTTCTATTAGCGCAAGCCATCACTCATCTTTATTATAGCCCGCAAAAAAAAAAAACAAAAAAAAAACTAATTAGGTTTAGATTTCAAATGCAAAACAAACCTAGGGCGCTAAACTTCGAAATTAACAAACTAAAACCCCAAGGTTTTACCAAATCCACGTAAAATGCTCATTTTAGGTGGATCAATCTTAAGGGTTTATAGTTCTGAAAAAAAAACAACCTTTGAATACAATATTCGTCCAAAGGTAGCAAGAAAATTAAATAATATATATATATATATATATATAGACGCACGCCTCTCTCTCTCTCATCTGATCATGGATGTTAGAGAGCGGAAAACAACTTCTTCACAAGGAATAGTGAGTCCCATGTCGTGATTGAATCCGAACTCTTCCTCTGCCTGTTGAAGCAAGCTCTTGAACTTAGGATGAGTCAAGAAAGAGATGGGCACGATGTAACGGCTCCTCTTTTCGCCTACGTAGACCGCGAAATGACCCTTTGGTACGTCTACAGGGAGCCCATCCTCGTCATAGCATTGTCTCTTGGCCATTGTCGAACATCTCTTGAGGATTTGCTTCAGCATTGCGGCTTGTGTTAGCTTCGAAGATCTCTTTACCGCCATTGCTTTAAAAGTTTCTTGAGAGAAGAAGACGACGTTGAGGTTTAGAAAATGGCTGAGAGAAGCGAGAGATGGTGAAAGGGTTATTTATGGCTGAGAATGAGGATGGGGATGGGATGCTCTCTTACACCAATATTTCGAATCTCTTTCTTGATTATTTCAAATATTAGATATATGGTCAATTCGGCTGCATTCGTCTAGTAGTGATTGAAACTATTTAGGGTAATGTCGTAAACTCAACTACTCTTGAATTCATTTTCTTTTTTTTCATATATGCTAACGTGTTTTACTTTGACCATATACACTATATGTGTGTTTAAAGATTGATCTGTGGTGGATTTACGAAAAGCTTTTAGTTTAAATCATTGTAACTTATAAGGTCAAACAACTAAAAGTATATATGAAAGAAAGAAAATTTTGGTATCGCCGTTTAGTACGAATGATTTAAAACCTTTAGAATGGTCTACGCCAATGAAATTTCAACAAAAACCAATTTATTATTTTAGAGTAAATGATATCGTTCTAATTTTTAAAGATCCATATTGTGTGTTTTATATTACCAACTACTTTTTGGTCCCTCGTGTATCCTCTCTCCTAATTTAGTTTTTATAATATAAATATAAAAAGGATATCATTTGCTAAGTAGATTTCATACTGAAGTAAGAATATGATTGTGTGTATGTACTAAAAGTACGAAGTGTATGTACTTCGCAATTCTTCTTAGTCGAATGTATAGTTGACTCTAAAGCATGCAATTATTAATTATAATATTAGTTACCTCTAGCTTATGATATGGCCTCTTTTTTTTGTTTATTATGATATAGACTTTTGTATTTCTATATTTATGCAAGCAATCTCTAAGAAACAATGTAACAACAAAAAAAAAACAATTCTCATCAATCTCTATAATGTTGTTACTAACAATCTTACAATGTGGTATATAAAGTCATCATAGTCGCTTTTAGCATATGTAACATTTATCATTTATATCATGCTACATAACCATCGATAATCTTTTTTTTTTGAAAAAGGACGATCGATAATCTTTTTTTTTTTTAAAAGGACGATCGATAATCTTTAATTGTTACGTTTTTAATTTTGTTTAATGCCTTATAAATTTTAGTTTACATCAAGGAAATATATAAATGCACTTTGCTAATTTTCTTTTGTAATGTACACTTTTCTTTCTTTTTGCGTTTTTGAAGTTCTGACAATCGTATTATTCGTATAGTCAGTAGTGATGGTAGTGAAAGGCAAACATACACGAATTAACATGTTAGTTTCAACCTTCGAACTTTTCACTCAAGACAGCTCATGATTTTTTAACCTTAAAACCCCACACTGGTTACTTATTGCTCAAGAAACAGTAAACTCTGCAGCTTTGTTCATTATTCTTCATTCTTCATCTGTTCTCATAGTCTTCAACATTAATACTATCTTGAATTCTGTAAGATTTTTTCCGCATTTAGATCTTACAATTACGTCAAGAGAGAGAGAGAGAGAGAGAGAGAGAGACTTTGCTGTAGAAGTCGTCGTTGTCAAGAGGAGCTTGCATGTTCTGTGAAGGAGATTTGTTGTGACATATATATATATGATTTGATAAAGAAAAAGAAGAAAAAAAGAGTCGTTAGGACAATTTGCCTTGAGAAAAGACTAAGACATGTCTCTCATGTAACCACATGAACTCCATGTTACTCTTGTCTTGCCTCTATCCTTGAGCTGTCCTGTCTCTACAACCATTTCCAATTTTCTCACACAACAAACTTTGAAAGAGCAATAAAACAGAGTCGTTCTCAGACTTTTTTTGTATTGCCCCCAGACATCTCATCTCCCAAAACTCATGTCTGCTTCTTTATGGAAAAAATCCCTTAATTATCTATTTTTTTTTTCTTTCCAAAACTACTTGAAAGATAAACCTATTTAAAAAAAAACTCTTGACCTGTCCTGCTTTCGTACGACTCTGTTTCTTTTCCATTCCAAAAGATGAGAAAGGAACATGAGCATGTCATATCAATGGACATTTATCTCTTGATCTAGACAACTCATCTCATCATCCTCCAAAAATCAATGTCTACTTCTCACAGTGACACCCGAATATATATTTTTCTTCAACCACGTGAAAGATAATCGACACTTCGCTTCATCATATAACTCTTTAATCTTTTTTTATATAGGATGAAGTTCTTTTGCAAGTTAATTGAGTTTGTATAGCTTCCAATAACTCAATCTCCAAAGTTCTTTTTTTTTTTTAATTTATTTTGAAATTTTGGTTTAAGGAAATTATGGAATGAATGTAAGGTCTTTTCATCACATGGGTTGCAGGAAAGTAACGAAGAACGTGGACCCTGCGTAGACAACAAGAAACTGCAAATAGTAAGATACTATTGCAAGTTAAAAATCATCTAATATGAACATGGAACTGTACGATGAACAATAGTTGAACTGAAAATGACAACATCATCAGCTTAACATATAAAGAAAAAAAAAGAAAAACAGAGTGGCATCTCGAGAATGAGACAGCACAAAGCAATGGTTTTCATTTTTCTCACATTTTAAAAATTCCACTTTTTTTTGGTTTGTTACCAAGATTTTATTACACGGTGTCTTTTCCTGCAGATCGTACATGTAATCTCGATTTTAAAATACAAAAATACATTATACTAAATACTCATACAGTATATGTGCCTAATCTACTGACTGCTCGCAGATTTTGTCAATTAGTCGGTTGGGCTCAATTTTCTGGTTCACTAAAACTGAGCCGATTCTTTTTCGAAGTGCATGTGGGCTAACTCAACCAGGCCCATGAGTAGAGGCCTAAGAAGAAGCTGTTATAACAGCTACACGAGCCGAAGAACAGAGCATTCTTCTCTTCTTCTTTCTTGTGAATTTATCAAAGCTTTTGTGATATTGAGAGCTCTTATTCGATTGATAAGTATTCTCCCTGCAAACATGTACCAACAAATTTTATCAAATCTCTCTTGACCCTATCGTTAGGTGACATTAGCAAGCAATCTTTTTAGAAAAACGCTAATCATCTGAAGGTGACGATCAATATAAGGATTAAATGCATATACACTTAGTTTTGGATTGAAGATATTTAGCCAATTGAATGCAATCATTAAATGGTGGGTTGTTGTTGAAAATGTTAGTTTATGTCCCTTCATGTTCTTATAAACAAGGATCTTGTTTTCTTAAGCGATATCACATGTTCTTGTCCCTATACACCATGCCACAACGTCCCTGCTTATTAGTATAAGGTCTTCTCAGTGATATGAAAAGACAGTGCATAGGTCTTCACAATGATTTCAAAAGACAGGACCACATGACTTAGTTATGATATCGACGCGTCTAAATATTTCTGTGGCAAGAATTAAATTCGGTTAAATATCTAAAGCGATTCATATTTGGAGTTTAAGCCATGTGCTTGTTGGTGCTTATGAGCATAATTAAGATAAACCAAACCATACAAAGTATTGGTCTTTTCTATAAATATCCACCACCGAATCCTTTAAGCTCTGCAAGTTCCCACATTTTGAAGTAAAAAAGCAAGAAACTACCACTTCCAATAATCTTTCTTTCTAATCAAGAAGAAGAACAAAAATCCATGGCTATTAGGGTTCCTCGTGTGTTGCAGTCGTCAAAGCAAATTCTTAAATCGTTCTCACACTCATCAAACAACGTCGATGTTCCAAAAGGACACCTTGCGGTTTACGTGGGAGAGAAGCTGCAGAAGAGGAGATTCGTGGTTCCTGTGACCTACTTGAGCCACCCTTCGTTTCAAAATCTTTTAAGAGAAGCAGAGGAAGAGTTTGGGTTTGATCATCCAATGGGTGGCCTCACTATACCCTGCAATGAACAAATCTTTATCGATCTTGCCTCTCGCCTCAACACTTCATCGTGATTCTCACACGTATCAGCACAGTATATCTATCTAACCCTTTAGTTTCCACCAGTTTTCTTCAAGAGACTTGATCTCTGTCCCTTGAAAGTGAAACAAAGCTATGTTTTGTTCCTCACGATTCAGTGAGTTGTAGTAAGTATCTTGTTGACATGTATGTGAATATCAATTTTTGAAAAAGAAGAGGTTCTGATTTACGAAAAGAAAGATAAAGTGTAATGGCCATTTGCCTCGCATCATTTGATATAACAGAAGTCTCAGTTGCATACTGATCAGAGATTACATCATAACTCATTACACAATGTTTTTCTTCAACAAAAGCAAAAACTTTCAACAAAAGTACATTTTTGATTCAGATGTAGCTGTATAATCCAACACACTTGAGATTCTTTCACGTTTCAGCCACTGATTCTCCATCTCCACTACTAGACTTAGGGTTGCGCATAGGATTTTCCCATTTGTGAAGCTTCATATTCAGAAATTCGACGGCGGAGTTAATCTGTGAGAAGAGGTAGAATCAAAGGTGATTAATCCTCGAAACTTTAAGATGGTTGAGAGAATTGGGATCAAGAAAAAAAGCTTACTTACTGATTGTGAAGCGGTCTGAAACAGAGCTTTCCCCAATGGAACTACACAAAACCTGCTCCGTCGATACTTGGGTTAAGTTTCTGCTTGAAAAGAGAAGGATTTACATGTGGAAGACAAAGAAAAGAGAAGGGTTTGACTTACATTCCTCGGCCGCCGGCGAGAGCTTCCTCCGATGGGTCTTTCCATTCGTCGACCCTAGAAGCCAACAACACAGAATCATTTGTAAATCTCCACTAAAACTGGGGAAATCACTGATAAAGATAGAGAATTTTACACCCAGCCGTAACGGCGGTCAAAGAGAAGGCGTCTGGAGGAGCGTTTTACTGCGGTGGCCGGCGGTTCCATCTCTTCCGCTCTGTACAGCCGATAGATAGAGAGATAATAGAAAGAGAGAGTGAGATATGAGTAGGAAGGGTCAGAGATTAAGATGTCAGGCCCAATTAGAACCGATGCCGGGCCGGGCCTGGATATTGTAAAAGTTGTCCACCAATTAGCGGTCTTCGCGGATCTCGGGCCCAAATATGTTTTAGAATTCGTTTTTATAACTCAAAAATGAAAAAAAAGATAGGTGTGTGTGGCTGCTGGGATTCGAGCCCAGGTCTCCACGGCCACAACGTGGAATTCTCACCACTAAACTACAGCCACTTTGTTGTTTCTTCCATAAATAAAGTTATCAAATAAGTTGACAAATATGTTGACAAATATGTTGACCCTTCATTTGCATCTTTCCGTACCGTTAAACTATTTCAGTACCTCTTCAACTATGAACTAAGATTAATGTTAATTCATTAACTCTAACCCTCTCCCACTTCCCCCACTAAACTCCACCTTTAATCACAATTAGGCCTCAAGCCTTTCTAAAACCACAGTATTATAAATCACAGCTCCTAGCAAATCCCATAACTCACACACAAAACCTAAAAAAAGAAAAACTCAATGGCTTCCGAAAAGAGTTTCCTCCTCGCCACCGTCACTCTTCTCCTCGTCCTCAACATCTCCGGCAGAACGCTCCCTACCAACATAAAGGCGAGACTTACCGGAGGAGGTCTGATGCAGTGTTGGGATGCTCTCTACGAGCTCAAGTCTTGCACCAGCGAGATCGTTCTCTTCTTCCTTAACGGCGAGACCAATCTCGGCTCCGGTTGCTGCAACGCCGTCGAAGTTATCACCACAGATTGTTGGCCGGCGATGCTTACATCTATTGGCTTTACATCTGAGGAAACCAATGTCCTTCGCGGTTTCTGTCAGTCCCCTAATTCCGGTGGTTCTTCTTCTCCGGCGCCTTCTCCTGTGATAGTTTGATATACATATCCTCCTTTTACATGTACGCGGACATGCATTATAATTATGGTTACTATAAATATATCCTTTCAACAAACAGAGCATTAAACAAGTGACTTGTTAAAGAAGAAATCTAATTCATACATTGCATCAATGGGAGTTTACTGTTTCAAAACCGAAGCACCATAACAAGGACATTTGGTGTTGTGTGATTGCGCTTGAAAGACGCAATGGTGATGATGAGGTTCGAGGAAATGTTGAGTGGGCAAGTGTTGTCATTACTGTTCCCAGTTCATATGTTTTCTTGCGTTGTGGAGTGAGACCGGTTTGATCATGATTTTGTCTTGACCATTGCCAATGTTTTTTGGCTTAAAGTTCTAAGACTTTTAGCTTCCTTCGTTCGGTAACCAAAAATCAAGTTATCACTATGGATTAAGCCTAAACTCAATTTGAAACTGTGAATACCATTAGTCGTTGATCTTTACAAGAGCAAGTAATTAACTCATGTATCTATCTTTCTAATTAACAAAAGTTTCAGAGAGGGAATACTTTCTTGTGCTTGTTGATATGTATGATGCTGAGTATCCCTCTTCTTAATTTGCTAAATTACTTTGCCAAATCATTTCATTACTTTCATTGAATATATATGTGTATCCTTTTATTTTGATTTCATAATTCAGCTTTCTGTTTACATAATATTTACTTCTGATTTTGAGAGAATTCCCATATAATAATTACAGATATTTTTCTTTACTCTCCAACTCATTAATCTTTAAACATTTTCAAAGATTTGACATCATTTTTTTCAAATCAAAACTTCTCTGAAAATTAGTTAGTGTTGTACGAAACAAATCCTGGTGGTTTTAATTTTCTTATGATTCAATCTTTCACTTTTTATATATATGGAACATTTTTTTTTGTTAATTAAACTTTATGTATATGGCATTTTGATAGTTTCTTATTGTGAATATACACAACTCAAATACATGTATACACATTTAACAATATCTGATAAATTCTCAAATAACAAGTGTCATATAGGTATAAAATATATCAAAAAAAAGTAATAATTAAAAAGACAAAATACAGTACCTAAAACACACAATTGCTTATTGCAAACATTATTCTATATAGCTTGACTACCAACATCTCAAGAATCAAAATCTATAACATCTTCTTTCAACAAAAATAAAGCATACAAATTATAATTTGAAGTGAGTCGCTAAGGTTATATATAAAACATGAAGTTCTCAGCAGTCGTGTGCATCGCGTTTGTGATACTCGCTGTGTCGTATTTGGCAACGACCAAAGCTGAGGAGAAAGTGGAGTGCAACCCGGTAGGACTTCGACCATGCCTGCCTGCAGTGGTAACCGGAGTTCCACCGTCGACGGAATGTTGCGGAAACCTGAAACAACAAGAGTCGTGTTTCTGTGATTACATTAAAAACCCGTTGGTTAGTCAGTATCTTACACCCGACACCGCTAAAAGAGTCTTAGGGGCTTGTGCTATACCTGTGCCTACTTGTTAAAGTTTTTCAATACATTTATAAAATAATTATTATGCAATAATAGTATTTGTATCAACGGGAGTATATTCCGTATATGGTGTAACCTAATTCAGAGTGTAATGGTCGTTTTCTTATAAAAATCGGTTTAAATAAAAAAAAAACGTGAATGAGATTTCATTTCATAATGGATTTGCTGCTCCTATACAGAGCATTGAATGACTCCTCCATCACGCAACAACATTCAACCATTACCTTGTTATCAAGCTTAACAATGACATCAAAGTTTCCGGGTTTAAGCTCCCAGTAAATAACATAATGACCTGATATCAGAATAGCATGTGAAGCCCATCAACATTATTCCTGAAGATTCAAGAACGTGTGTCGCACGATTCAACGCCTTTAAAACATCTTCTTCAGTTGTTGTCTCCACGTGGACGCTTAGAACCATATTTTTTCTGCATACAAATCTAAATCCAGCCACTTGTAGAATATCTCCCATTCTATATCTGTACAAGCCTATAAACAATAATAACCGAAAATTATTAGTTCTGATAATGTAGATGATATATGTACATGGATATTATAGTACACATATATATAACTCACCGTAATAATTCGTGTCGACTAAGGGCTCATAGAAGCACCCTAACTAGACGTTAGGCCATAACCGTGTGATGATACCTTCCCATGTCTCTTGACTGCATTCATGTTCAATCAGATCTGCCAATTCAAGATTTGGTCCTCCAAGAATGGTAAAGGGAAGAAATCAGATGTTTCCTGCGAGAATGCAGCGTCCAACGCTCCATCATTGGTGAACGGTCACGTCTAGACTATGGAGTTGAGCTTCAGGTGAATCTTCAATCTCTTTGCTTAATTCTAAAACATTTTACGACATGTTTGTGATCATACTGAGTTTTGGTTTTTCTTTTTCTTGTTTTGAAAGGATACATTGATGTTAGGTGCAGATTATTACCAAACTGAATCTGAGATTGCATCCCTGTTAGCACAAGGAAAGGTTCCGATTGGTGTTGGTAAAGACACAAAGATCAGGTAAGTTTTGAAAGGACATCAATTGGATTTGTCTGAAACAAATAAAAAGTACATTTGTTATGATTTGTAGGAAATGTATCATTGACAAGAATGCTAAGATCGGTATAAATGTGATCATCATGAACAAAGGCGTAAGCTTTTTCTTACATTTCTTCTCCCTTTGGCTTTCGAGTCTTAAAGAAAGATCGATAAAGACAATTATAATCAATGTTTTTCAGGATGTTCAAGAAGCGGATAGACCAGAGGAAGGATTCTACATTTGATCTGGAATCACTGTGATAGTCGAGAAGGCGACGATTCGAGACGGTACTGTCATATGAACGGAACTTATTAGTTGCCATCTTTAAGACAATCTAGCCGGAGATTGTAAAGCTTTTTTGGCCGGAGAATTGGAAGAGATTATAGCTTTGATCTTTTTTTTTTTTAATTTTCCGGGAGTGTATGTAAGTTAAATTAGAAGAGCTCAAGTTTAGTTAACATTTTATTATATCTATTTATAATAACAAACTGAAAAAATGCCAAATGCACTTTGAAAAATTGTATCTTTTCGAAACTTATGGTCGCATCTTTTCATTGCAAATAGTTGCATCTTTTCACTATGAATGGTTGTCTTTTTTCATCGACTATAATTTGTGTCTTTTCAAAACTATTTATATTGCTCAAAACCATAGAATCATTTGGATCTAACTTTTACTTTCTTACTATAGTGAGTTTTTTTTTGTTATAAACTTATTTATTTATCATAACATATTATCAGGATACAAAGTGTTTAAAAGTCATGGAAGTTCAGATATAGAATTGAGTAAAAGATTCCATTTGGGGGTCCAATTTTAGCTAAATATGAGCATTTCATTATAAGATTGTTTTACATGCATTACATCAGAAAAATAAAATTTATTCAACCAAAATCTAATGATATTTTTATTATAAAGAAATTATATGTGTTTTGTTTACTTATATATATTATGTTATTAAATTTTTTGTTAACAATCCGAATAAATGCCATTACACTTTAAAAAGTTATGTCATTTCAAAATTTGTAGTTGCGTCATTTCATTATAAATAGTTGCATCTTTTCATTATAAATAATTACGTTTTTTCATCACAACTGTTATTTGTATCTTTTCAAAACTATTTATATTGCTCAAAATCACAGAATAAAAATCATTTGGGTTAACTTTTACCTTTTTTACTATGGTGAGTTTTTTTTTGTCGCAAACAATCCGAATAAATACCACTTACACTTAAAAAAGCTGTATCGTTTCAAATTTTATGGTTGTGTCTTTTCATTATAAATGATTGCATCTTTTCATTATGAATGGTTGCGTTTTTTTATCACAACTGCAATTTGTGTTTTCTAAAATTATTTATTGCTCAAAACCACAGAAAAAAAAAATTATTTGGATCTAACTTTTACTTTCTTACTATAATGGGTTTTTTGTCGTGAACTTATTTATTTATCATAACATATTATTAGGATACAAAGTGTTTAAAAGTCATGGAGGTTCAGATATTGAATTTGAGTAAAAAATTCTATTTGGGGGTCCAATTTTAACTAAAATATGATAAGTTTCATTACAAGAATGTTTTACATGCATTACATCAGAAAAATAAAATTTATTCAACCAAAACAAGGTTCAGATTAATGCGTTTTACACTTTAAAAAGTTGTGTCGTTTCAAAATTTGTAGTTGCGTCTTTTCATTATAAATAGTTGCATCTTTTCATTATAAATAGTTGCGTTTTTTCATCACAATTGTTATTTGTATCTTTTTAAAACTATTTATATTGCTCAAAACCACAAAAAAATCATTTGGGTCTAACTTTTACTTCTTACTATGGTGGAGTTTTTTTTGTCATAAACATATTTATTTATCATAATATATTATCATGATACAAAGTGTTTAAAAGTGCTCGAGGTTCAGATATTGAATCTGAGTAAAAGATGCCATTTGAACGTTTAGTTTTGGCCAAAATATGAGCAGTTTCATTACAAGATTGTTTTATATGCATTACATCAAAAAAAATAAAATTTATTCAACCAAAATCTAATGATATTTTTATTATAAAAAATTATATGCATTATGTTTACTAATATATATTATGTTATTTAATTTTTTTGTTTATGAAAAAATCTATATATTTATAGTTAATTATGTTATTTTCAAATTTTAATATTCTTTGTTAGTTGTTTATAAATTTAAAGTACCTAATATTTGGATTCTTTTTTCTAATTTCAGAGAAATATATTTATGTAATGTAAAAACTTCACATATATTTTATATATGTATTTTTAAGGTATCAAAGTTTTTTTTATATATTTTAACTATTATATTTGTAATATACTTTTTAATATTACGAATCTTTTTTAGAAACTATAGTAGTCTTAGAAAATGTCTTATAAAATCTCGTTGTATTATTTTTATTATATATATTTCCTGTAGTATTTGTTTAAAAATATCAAATTTTTATCATAATTCTTTGTTTCTAACTTTTCAATAGTATATGTATTGTTTTATAAAAAAAAATTGAAAAATTGCCTCTATATTTATTTTTTACTTTACACTATTGCGTGAATACAAATTTTTAATAATTATACAAATAGAAGATCATATATTTATATTGTATATTTTCATATATAACTTTTTAACACTCTTAAAAATTTGTGTATCTTATTACTTTTCAGTTTTTATTTTATTTTTTCTATTAATAATTAGTAATGACAATCCTTGAAAAATTTGTAAAAAAATTACATATTTTATCATAATTAATTTGTACATTTACATTTAGAACTTATTGTTAATAATTAAAAAAAACATGAAAATACCTTTTATTTTAACAATTATAAGTTGTTTTAATGTTTACATTTTATATTATATATATTTTACTTAAAATTATTTTAAATAAATTTCTGTTTAATCTTTAATATATAGCAGATTAATCCCGCGAAGCGGGGGTCCTATTTCTAGTAAGAATAGAAACTTAGAGCAATAAGAGCACGGTGAGGCCTGACCGGAGCTCCGGCGAAGAAAGATCACTTCCTTTCTTTGTTTCTATTTTTTCGATAATTAATTGACAAATATCATTTTAGATGCCAAAATGTCAGGGATCAAATAAACTTTTTTTATTAATAGTTTTCTTTGCATCAAGATAATTTTGTGTATTCTAGCTAAGCTAAAAAAAGTGAAAAAAAATATTTTTTATGAATATATTAAAAATAATAATAATGAAAATCATTTCTTTTGAACACCATTCCAGTCATAACAAATATCAAAAGCTTCATTTATATCGTTGAATCTGCATGGCCCATCTTTACTTATATTCTAGAAACAGTAGATGCATGGAATCCCTCCTTGACGAGCACTAAAGACACTATCTCTGATATCATCGTATATATCAAACCGTTTTGATTGTCTTTGAGGCCAAGTGAAATGACAAGAAAACACCGTCGATAACCAAATGTTTGGTCTAAAATAAAACGACCAAGAGCTATTCGTAGCGAGAATTTTGAGGCCGAGATCGTCATCAGTGGAGTTACAATGGAGGTTTAGTGTTGAACCGTCGCCAAGGCAGTTTGTGATCTTCACTTGTGATTTAACAGTAGACCATTTACGATCAAAACCTGAAGCGTCAATTTTCACTCGTGCGAAAGTTATTTGGATGAACAGAGATATCACCACTAAGTAGATTATTTGTTTTAATACCACAGCCATTGTTGAACCAAAATATCACTTATTAGAATAAGTAATAGACAGTGAATCTTTTTAAAGTAAATAAAAACTAGTAATCAATTAGAAAGCTTAGAACTTTTAGGTTTTGTTCTTCTGCTCTCTAAAGATTTTGGATTGATCTTCATGCTATCACAAATCCTTTATTTATAGAGCTGGAGGGTCGATTCAAACAAATTTAATTTCCTTTTCTTTAGAGATAATTCTCATATTTCAAAAATATGGAAATATCATGTTATGGAGATTTTCCATTGCTCGATACTACTCTTGGCGGTCTTTTTTCTTCCTTGTTCTTTAATCCTTTTCCTTTGGCGGCTAATTTTCTATCGGAAATTGGCAAAAGCCCCGATGACTTGTCAACGGTGGCCTCGTCCCGTTCCGTCGAATCTCATCGTCTTTACTCTTTACATCAAGTTGAATAGTTACCGTTAATATACATTATAAACAGTAATATATTAAGAACATCGAATGGTTTTGACAAATGATCTTGATTGTGTGAACTAGACCAAAACTCGTCTCTGGCTCTGCTATTAACTTTCCCAGGTTTCTGTTTGTTGCAGCTAAAAAAGATGGATTCTTCTTACTGCTTTGCGTTAGGGAAAAGCAGTTCTGTCTTGCCAAAACTCTGTTTCAAGAATGTAGAGAACAGATTTTGGGGCGAGAAGATCAACAACAATGGTTTCTTTAAACGTCCTGCTTCAGATTTGGGCTCTGAGAAGTTTTGGAACCGAAAGTTCAAGCACGGTGTTGTTTACTCTGTTGCCATTTCAGAGAATCCAAACGAAGCTATGGTATGTTGATCACATTACTCCTCTCTTGCTTAAAATAGCATTAGTCGCTTTGTCTCGATCAGATTCATCAGCACATTCTGAAACAACGGTCTTTAAGAATTGCTTAATCGAGTCCTATCATGTCCTCTGCAAAAGTCTCAGAGATCTTAAACTCTGTTTTGTTAGACAGTAAAGCATTCGATGTTTGAGAGAAGAAAGGCAGACCCGAAAAACGTAGCTGTAAGATATATTCATCTTTCTTCGGTTCCTCCTTCGAAGCAACGAAACTGTAAATAACATCTCAAGGGTCTTGTTATCTATAGAACAATGTTTTTGTTTGATGAGAGGGTTCTTCGAAAACAATGCAGGTTCCTGTGGGTGGATGCTACAGGCTGATCGATATCCCGATGAGTAACTGCATAAACAGCTGCATCAACAAGATCATTGTGCTGACGCAGTTCAACTCGGCTTCCCTTAATCGACATTTAGCTCGTACTTATTTTGGGAATGGCATTAACTTTGGAGGTGGTTTCGTTGAGGTATAAACACTCTTTAACAGTAAACAATTTGGAGATCATCTCTATAGAATGAACTACATGGACTTTGTTCAGGTATTTATCTAAATCTAAACAGATCTTTTCACCATCTTTTAAGCCTCTTTATAGTTTCACTAACTCGATGTGTTGTCAACAGTCTCATGTAGATAGTAACGCGGATGTTACTCTTTCGTGCGCACCAGTCAGTGAAAGGTTTGTAGTTTCTTGAATCTCTTTCACGCCTTTTGTATGAGATTATATCGCTTCTTAAAAAACCGGTCATTTGTGAATTGTTTTAGCCGTGCATCAAACTTTGGTCTAGTGAAGATTGATCGAGGTGGGCGTGTGATCCAATTCTCCGAGAAACCAACGGGGACCGATCTGAAATCAATGGTATGGTTATTGTCTTATTCTCAAAACAGATTAACTCGATAAAGGTCACAAGAGCATTTCAAGAAGGTAAAAGAATAACTCTTTCTGTTTGGTTTTTGACAGCAAACAGACACAACAATGCTTGGAGTTGAGCTTCAGGTGAATCTTCAATCTCATTGCGTAATTCTAAAACATTTTACGACAGGTTTGTGATCAAACTGAGTTTTGGTTTTTCTTTTTTGTTTTGAAAGGATACATTGATGTTAGGTGCAGATTATTACCAAACTGAATCTGAGATTGCATCTCTGTTAGCACAAGGAAAGGTTCCGATTGGTGTTGGTAAAGACACAAAGAAACGTTATTTGTCACATAGGACAAAACAAAAGGGTCTTTTGATTGATAAAATATTATTTTCTACACACAGAGGTCAGTCCAAGGCTATGTATGGTCGAGAGGTTTTCCTCCAGCACAGAGGTCACTCCAACGCCACACAGAGAACTTCAACCTGCAGTCTTGTCTCATCATTCTCAGGATGGTAATATGCATTAGTCCTAGTGGTAATTAACGGCCCACTTATAAGAAGAAATATTGGCAGCCCATACTCTTAGGTTAGCTTAAGAGCCTACGCAACCAATTAGGGGTTTTGTTCTTTGACACAAGGAACTTGGAAGACAGACATTGCTCTAAGACCGAAGCTTTTCATCTTCTATTGACATCTTGTTGTTTTTTTTTTACATATTAAAATTAATGAAGCTCAAGAGATAAATTATCAAACAACAAAATCATGTCAATAATATCAGAGGGAGTAACTTAAAGCAACCACAAAGCTGAGATCCAGTCTTTTGGGTAACAAACGTGGTCGTCAAGGTATCTATCTTTTTTACACAACTCCTGATGGAAGCCGGAGTACAAGCTGGCCTCCGAAAACACTGCACGAGAAAGAAAGATGGTTTGAGGAACAATCAAGCAAGTGAAGCCAAAAAGACTCCATAGATCAAAGAGACTTGCAGAGGAATAACATGAAACTACCTTTTGACGTAGTAGTAACAGAAATCTGCCAAGATGAATGTTTGGACGATTTCTGAGATTAGAACCATCGAAGGCCATAGTCCGTAACCCAGTGCTACAAGCAGCCGTCCCCGTGTGTCTACAACCTGTTCGCACCCACAAGACCAAATCAAGTTTCTTTCTTCAGTTCACAAAAATCTAATGGGGGATATGATACTATATAGATGATCACTTGTTGAATACCATAAGCACTGAATGTTCAACTAATCAATTTGTCAAGCCATTGGTTTATGCGAGAGAAGTAAAAAATAAACACAATGAACATTAAAAAAGAACAGAACCTACCTGTAAGACCCAGTGTGCACAGCTAAGGAACCTTGCTACTCCAAGTGCAAAAACATAATGAGCCGTGAAGGGTTCGACAATCTGAATGAGCCAAACATATCAGGGATTAGCACTTGGGTTTTACTACTCACACAAGTTTGCCAAAAAAGCGACCTGTTTTATAACCTTATAAAACGCGTACCTTTGTGTTCTGCATCACTCTCAACTGTGGCAGTACTGAAACAGCTTCGAGGTAAACACAGAATGCCCAGGATATTCTGTTCAATATGTTGTGCGAAGTCGATGGATGAATCAATACAGCTAGCACAGCACAGGGCACAAGCTGCAAAAATCAAAAACAATCAATATTTGTCAATGCTCTGAGAAGCATGTAATGTACAAATTAACCAAAACTGATACTTCACGAAACCTCTACATTGTTTCACATGCAGATACGAGGAAACGGTGGTTACAACTCATAAATTGAAAGAATCTAGTAGCTTTTGCTTATGATTAACATCTATATACAACATCTTCATCAGACCTTAAAAGGTAAGCTTAACTAAAACTAGGCTTTTTAACCTGCTACATAACAAGCAGCACAGAATCAAAGTAAGAAGACAAAACCGGTTGACTTACCACATAGTAGAGAGCAAAGTTGTCTTTGTCCTCCATGTAACTAGCCCTCAGCTTAAAACGGATCATGAAAATAACCCAGAGTGTTGCAGCCAGAGTAGCCAAATCCAGAATGGTATGTATGTCGTACTCCATGACCAAGCTGCAGTAAAGCCTCACAGCTAGAAATATTGCTGTAAGCTCCTGAGATTTCAGTGACAATCCTGCATATCAACCAAGGACCAACACACACAATAAGGTCAATAATCATTCATCTGAATCTGTAATGTGGGACGCTGGTTCAACTAAATTACCTGATTACAGAAATAAATTCTACATCTTTAAATCAAAATTCTCAGGTAAAAGAAAAACCAACTATTTGAATCCCAACTCGAAAGACCTAAATTGGAAAAGAGAAGGAAAAAACCAAGTCAAAGCAGAAGGAATTGAGCTTAGTACCAGCACAGGTCTTTTCCTTGATGAGTTTGTAGATAAGAACAGCGATTCCAATGGAATGAACAGCTTCGGCGGCAACGAAGAGGTTGTCGTGATCGTGAACGATGAATCTGAGGAGAACAAGAGCCGCCATGCCCGATACGACCGCGAGGAAAGCCTTCACCTTTGGTGGCTGCCTCTTCACCCATGTCGACACCGCCTTGATCGCAGACTTGGTTGCCTTCATGCTCGCTCGCTTTCTCTTCTTCTTCTTCTTCTTCTCTTGCTTTTCTCTCGGTAAAGTGACGCACAAAGTCTAACAGGTATATCCCGTAAATATACGATGACCCCACTCACGAAAATGACCATAGTCTATCTATAATAACAAACTGAAAAAAATGCCAAATGCACTTTAAAAAATTGTATCTTTCTGAAATTTATAATAATAAATTGAAAAAATGCTAAATACATTTTGAAAAATTATGTCTTTTTGAAATTTATGGTTGTGTCTTTTCATTACAAATAGTTGTATCTTTTCACTATGAATAGTTCCATTTTTTCATCAACTATAATTTGTGTCTTTTCAAAACTACTTATACTGCTCAAAACCACAGAAAAAATTATTTAGATCTAACTTTTATTTTCTTACTATTGTGAGTTTTTGTTGTCATAAACTTATTTATTTATCATAACATATTATTAGGATACAAAGTGTTAAAAATCCTGAAAGTTCAGATATTGAATTGAGTAAAAGATTCAATTTGGGGGTCCAATTTTAGCTAAATATGAGTAGTTTCATTACAAGATTGTTTTACATGCATTACATTAGAAAAATAAAATTTATTCCACCAAAATCTAATGATATTTTTATTATAAAGGAATTATATGTGTTCTGTTTACTAATATATATTATGTTATTTAGTTTTTCTTAACAATCCGAATAAATACATTTACACTTTAAAAAATTGTGTCATTTCAAAATTTGTGATTGCGTTTTTTCATTATAAATGGTTGCATCTTTTTATTATAAATGGTTATATTTTTTCATCACAACTGTTATTTGTGTCTTTTCAAAACTATTTATATTGCTCAAAACCACAGAATAAAAATCATTTGGGTCTAACTTTTACTTTTTTTTTACTATGGTGTGTTTTTTTTTGTCGCAAACAATCCGAATAAATGCCACTTACACTTAAAAATTGTGTCGTTTCAAAATTTGTGGCTGTATCTTTTCATTATAAATAGTTTCGTTTTTTATCACAACTGTAATTTGTGTTTTTTTAAAATTATTTATTGTTCAAAATCACAGAAAAAATTATTTGGATCTAACTTTTACTTTCTTACTATATTGGGTTTTTTTTGTCGTAAACTTATTTATTTATCATAACATATTATCATGATACAAAGTGTTTAAAATTCATAGAGGTTCGGATATTGAATTTGAGTAAAAAAATTCCATTTGAGAGTCCAATTTTGGCTAAAATATGATAAATTTTATTACAAGAATGTTTTACATGTATTACATCAGAAAAAAAAATTTATTCAACCAAAATCTAATGATATTTTTATTATCAAGAAATTATGTGTTTTGTTTACTAATATATATTATGTTATTAATTTTTTTTGTTAATAATCCGAATAAATTCTATTTACACTTTAAAAAGTTGTGTCGTTTCAAAATTTGCGGTTGCATCTTTTCATTATAAATGGTTGCATCTTTTCATTATAAATGGTTGCATTTTTTGGACACAACTCTTATTTGTATCTTTTTTAAACTATTTATATTGCTCAAAACCACAAAAAATCATTTGGGTCTAACTTCTACTTTCTTACTATGATGAATTTTATTTTGTCGTAAACATATTTATTTATCATAATATGTTATCATGATAAAAAATGTTTAAAAGCCCTGGAGGTTCAGATATTGAATCATAGTAAAAGATTCCATTTGGAGGTTTAGTTTTGGCTAAAATATAAGCAGTTTCATTACAAAATTATTTTATGATTCTAATGATATTTTTATTATAAAATATAATATATTTTTTGTTTACTAATATATATTATGTTATTTTTTTATGAAAAATATCTATATATTTATAGTTAATTGTGTTATTTTCAAATTTTAATATTCTTTGTTAGTTGTTTATAAATTTAATATACCTGATATTTGAATTCTTTTTTTCTAATTTGAGAGAAATATATTTATGTAATGTAACGAATTCACATATATTTTATATATGCATTTTAAGATATCAAAGTTTTTATATTTTAACTATTATATTTGTAATATACTTTTTAATATTACGAATCTTTTTTAGAAACTATAGTAGTCTTAGAAAATGTATTATAAAATCTCGTTACATTGTTTTTTATTACATATATTTCCTGTAGTATTTTTTTAAAAAATATTAATTTTTTATCATAAATTTTTGTTTCTAACTTTTCAATAATAAATGTATAGTTTTATACATTTTTTTTGAAAGATTGCCTGTATATTTATTTTTTACTTTACACTTTTGCGCGAATACAAATTTTTAATAATTATATTTTTTCATTATAACTTTTTTTAACACTCTTAAAAAGTTATGTATCTTGTTATTTTTCAGTTTTTTTTTATTTTTTCAATTATAATTAATAATAACAATCCTAGAAAATTTTGTAAAAATTTACATATTTTTATCATAATTAGTTTGTACATTTCCATTTAGAACTTATTGTTAATAATTAAAAAAAACATGAAAATATCTTTTTCTTTTAATAATTATAAGTTGTTTTGAATGTTTACATTTTTTATTATATATATTTTACTTATAATTATTTTAAATAAATTTTTTGTTTAATTTTTAATAAACCGCAGATTAACCCTGGAAAGCAGAAATTCTATTCCTTCCTAGTACCCTTAATTTCACACACGAAAAAGGCTCATATGGGCTGAGTCATTCCAATAAAAAGACCATATATTAGGCCCGTAAACGCATTCTCCATTTCTCCCAAAAAGTATTATTATCTATCTACATGTAATTAATTATGGAGTTAATATTTCTAGATTTACCAGAATTTACTTATATGTATGCACAAATATACTTAAATAAAAGTCATTAAAATATAGAAAATAATACAGTATCAACTTGTTATTTTAGTTGTGTGGACAAAAATGTTTATATGTTTATATATAGAGATGTAAATATTAAATTTAATATGTTTATTTCAGTTGTGTGGACAAAAATTGGCAACACGGCATTTTATTGTGTAAAAAGGATGTATTAACTTGATATAATCTCCACTCTTTTATTAATTTTTGTACCTTATGTAAACCGGATAAAATTAAATAAAGTCCTCCTTAGTTACTATTGTTGTCTATGTAGAAAAGATGATCTGAACTCCTAGAAACGACATATATTAGGCAGAGGACAAGAGAAGAACATTTAAAGTCTATTATATGAGATGAGTGGAGCAAAGTGAAGTGAGTGTCTTTTTCCTCGTAGGCCACTGAGATAAGCTTCCTTGTGTTGATGTCCTAACCACCAATCACTCTTATTTTCACACAAATCCTCACAACTTTTTAAAAAAAATCTGCAAAGTTTTTGCAAAATTCATCTTCTCCTCTTTTTCAACTAACAAAAATTATATGAACTCGTAGAAATCGATCTTTTTAAGTTCCACATATTACACAGTTCACAACCCACTAGTACTAATGGTTTTCAAAAACAGTGTATAATGGACCACAATAATTTCAGTTAGTATACCTAACAAACCATTATCTCTCTCTCTCTCTCTATCCCTTTTTGTTTTATCATCTTCCATGTAATAAAAAGCATTCCATAAATCACTAACCACTAACACAAACTCAAGAAAGAAAAAAAAAAAAAAACAGAGGGCGATATGCATTACCACGGATGCTGTTGCGGTCGGTGCAGAGTATCGACGTCGCCGCTGCCGGTAATAGTCATGATCACGGTGGCGCTCGTCCTCTTGGCGCTTTCCTCCGCCGTGAAATTCGAGGTAGCCGTCTCTACAGGGGAAGATATGCTGAGCTGGCTCCTCCTAGCCACGGTTCCATTGGCTCTGCTATTCGCCGTGCGATGTCTCTCTTGCCTTGAAACTTCAAAGCGATCCGTCCACTACTGTCCCTGTGGCCGCTGGAAATGCGTTTGCTACTACTAGTTTTAACCGCGCGGTTAGTGTTTGCCTTTACGTTTATTTGTTGTTGAACGTTAACGTGAAGCACATATGCGTACGTGATCAATCGACTTTGGTGTGTTTTGTAAATTTTTACGAACGTGATCGAGTATACAATATTTTATTTTATAGTTTAGTTTTTTTTAACATAACTTATAATTGTGTGATATATTTGTATAACGATTTCTGAAACCTTAAGCCAACCAGTAATATATATTCTTCCAAAAAACTTAAACTAGGTTTTTCATTTGATATCACATTACTGTGTGAAACGATGGAAATCTTTAATATATATATATATATATATATATATGTTTTTCGATTGAATTAAATAGTAACTTGTAAGAAATAGTCTTAAATTTTTGGAATGACAGATGTTTTTTTTTATGAAATGATAGAATAGCAAAAGGACTTTAAATCATGTAGAAGCTGTGAACCACACAGTGTATGATAGTTTCTGGTCATTATAAAGATTAGTAATAAGGATTTGGGTTAGGCTAAAAGATCAAAGCATTTTCGTCATCTTTGAATTTTGCGTTGCTTAGGTTGAAAGATCAAATCACAATTGTCATCTTTGAATTTAGGGTTGCTTATTGAAGAGGTGATCAATGTAACAATGAAAGCAAAGAAAAAAAATAAGGAAATGTGATAATGACGCTCCACCTACAATTGTGTAGGTGTAGGAACCCATTACGAAAGAGAAAAGATACATAAGTCTAATATTTAAATTACAGTGACCAATTATCTGTGTCCACGTTAACGTTCTGAAGAACAATATAGTATATATATATGTAGATATTGATCTTTTAAGTTTTCCAATCTCAAAAAAATTACTCTTTCCGAGACATGGAAACCATGAATCAAGTAAAAGCAGATACAGAAAAATCTTAATTTTAGACATAAAGAAACAGAGCTCACTATTACTATAGTAGTATAGTACTATTATTAGTTAATTCTTGATACGTCGGTCACATATATAGTATTTTAACCTAAAGTCGGTTTGTTTCTATAAGTTTGCCTCAACACATATATAGAAGCAAGACTAGAGGAAGAAAGAAGAGCTTCGATCTCATCGTTAATCATGGCGTATGGAGACAGCAGATCAGGGCCGTCCATCTTGGATTCATTCTCGCTCTCGCCTCTACCGTGGCCGGTTCTTTTAATCCTAGCCGTCGCGTCGGTGTTCCTAATGAGTTCATGGTACTTCAGCTTCGAAGAAGCAGCCGAATCCGCGGGGGAGCAGATGAATCTTGCTCTTCTCTTGATCCCTCTGTTTCTCATAGTGTTGGTCCGGTGGTTATCTTCCGTGGAGAACCCAGACGCGTTTCTTGGGATGTTTTCGAACCGTCGTCAGACTTACCGGAGTCCCGGCGCCGGAGATGACGGTGGTAGCTCGCCTTGGGGAGTGGCGGCGATTATAGTTCTGTTACTTGTGTTGCTTCAGTATCAGTCAAGTTTCTGGGAGATGTGGTTTGGTTGATAACAGCGTACGTTATCTGTGTTTTTCTTTGTCGTCTAGTGTAATGTAAATGTAAAAATTCATGTGAGATTTGTATGTTACTATTTTGGTTTTCTTGTTGATTACGAGGTTCATGTTCTCGTGAGTTGTGTCTTAACCGATCTCTTCTTCTCTCCTGCTTACACGTGACATCGTTTAATTAAACATCACCGGAAATTTTAAAAGGATAGATTCAAAAACGAATTGAAATTGAATCATTTATTTGTTATGGAGTAAGGAGTATGGAGACGGAGAGTATGCAATAAATATTTTCGTATTTGAGAAAACGACTCTCTATAAATAAATAAAAGTAATTAAAACTCCTTAATTAGTGGATGATATTCGTAAAATTGTCCCACTTGTGTATATCCTGAATCGTAATTAATTTTTAATATAATCCGTATTAACAAACAGATGTGCACCGTAGGATTTGAATTTGAAGCGCGTGAAGCCATACGTCACTTACGCGCGTGAGTGAACACAGACTCTCTCGTATTCCTGTTAGGGAGAAAGACAAAAGTAACCCTGAAGTGAGAAACACAGGAGCACCACACCAACCCTCATCGCCTTCTCTATCTCTCTGCTTTTGCCTGAGGCTTTAGCTGAGTGAAGAGAAGAAGAAGTCACAGTCTCGTCTCTATCGCCTTTTTTTCCACTCACTACACGCCAAAGCGAAGACCTTCTCTCTCTCTCTATATGGCTACCTCTCTCACTGCCCAAATCGCCGGTGGCACCCAGCCCTCTGCCCCTTCTTTCTCCGGCCTCCGCCGCATTTGTCCCAAGCTCGACTCCGCCGTCTCCTTCTCCCACCAATCCTTCCTCCACCGCGTCAATTCCTCTATCCGCCTCGTTTCCTCCTCCTCTTCCTCTCACCGGTCTCCCAGAGGCGTCGTCGCCATGGCCGGATCCGGAAAGGTGATCTCATCGCTAAATATTCCAACTTTATTCTGCATTGAAACGCTTGTTTAATGGTTATGATCTGAATTCGAACGAAAGCCACTCCTTTTAGTTTCGTGATTAATAGAATCCAAATGCCCCCTAGATTGTTTTCTTTCTTAATTGAATTACAAAGAATCTTAAAGTCTCTTCATTTGATTCAATGCCCTTAGCTCTGGTTTCTCTCTCGAGAGACGATTGTTTTGGTTTGCTACTCCACATACGATACAAATGTGTTCAATCCTTGATGCATGATTTCGACTGTAATTTGAATATATTTTTGAGTTTATCATTATCGTCTCAACACTTAATGGTTTCTCTCTCTGATGTTGCAGTTTTTCGTTGGAGGAAACTGGAAGTGTGTAAGTACAATTGTCCTTCATCGTCGGTTTTTTTGTGGCTTCTGTCTCTTGTCTCTTCTGAATCTAATGTCTCTTTGTGGCATGTGTTTAGAACGGGACTAAGGACTCCATCGCCAAGCTTGTCTCTGATCTCAACAGTGCAACCTTGGAAGCAGATGTAGGTGAGATGCTCGACTTTCTGCTACTCTTCCGATGATTGAATCTCTCTATATTTGGGGCATTACTTCCTCATGCTGACCATTTGTTCTCAATGATCGTTGTAGATGTTGTCGTGTCGCCTCCATTTGTCTACATCGACCAAGTCAAGTCTTCGTTGACGGACCGTATTGAAGTATCGGGTCAGAACTCTTGGGTTGGAAAAGGTGGAGCCTTCACTGGTGAAATCAGGTTACAGACGCCTCTTTAGTCACTTATACTGTATCTCTTTTTGTAAACCATTTCTGAGCTTTAAAGCCACCCGTTTCACCACACCATACAGCGTGGAACAGCTTAAAGACCTCGGCTGCAAGTGGGTCATTCTTGGGCATTCCGAGAGGAGACATGTCATTGGAGAAAAGGATGAGGTCAGTGAATATATACTTATAACGAGAACTAGTGAGTTGTTAAGGAAAATAAGTTTTGTGACCTCATGTTTGCTCTCTTGTCTCAATCCAACCATAGTTCATCGGGAAGAAAGCTGCGTACGCGTTGAGTGAGGGTCTTGGAGTAATAGCTTGCATCGGGGAAAAGCTGGAAGAGAGGGAATCAGGCAAGACTTTTGATGTTTGCTTCGACCAATTGAAGGCGTTTGCTGGTAACAACAATCTCCTGTTTTTCTTGTATTACTTACTATCTGTTCCAAACCATGTCGAAATTAATTAACTTACTTGGTGTATTTTCAGATGCTGTGCCTAGCTGGGACAACGTAGTGGTTGCATACGAGCCTGTATGGGCCATTGGAACCGGTAAAGTTGCATCGCCTCAGCAAGCACAGGAAGTCCACGTAGCTGTCCGCGAATGGCTCAAGAAGAATGTCTCTGAGGAAGTTGCTTCCAAAACGAGGATCATATACGGAGGTGCGTGCGTTAACTTAGTTTAGTTTCGTTTAGTTATCCCCTGCTAAAAATCAAAACTCTGTGTTGATTGTTTCCCACTTAAATTGCCAGGTTCTGTCAATGGAGGGAACTGTGCAGAGCTTGCTAAAGAAGAAGACATTGATGGATTTCTTGTTGGTGGTGCCTCCTTGAAGGTAAGTAAAGCTTTAGCCTTTGTGAATACTGTTGTTGATGTATACAGTCTCTAACCCATATATTTTGATGTGACCCCAGGGTCCTGAGTTTGCGACCATTGTGAACTCAGTCACGTCCAAGAAAGTCGCTGCCTGATTGAGAACTATCAGTGACGGAAATCGCATGTCTCCATGGAACAGCTGAGATAAGAAATAAAGGGAGGAGGCTTGTTGTTGTGTTCTTACTTCTTATTTGAACTAATAATGGAAGACAAAAATTTGATTAATGAGTTATGGTTTTGAAGAGAGTTTGGCTCTGCATCAGAGAGATAAAGGGTCTTTGATTAAGATCCTTGTTGTAACTTATAAAGTCATTATATACTATTTATTTCATTCAAGAGTCTCTTCTACATAAATAATCATTCAAAGAATTGTAAGCCACTCAAAAATTGCGAATCACGGCTACTCATAAATAATTTTGCCTTACAAATAGAATTAAGAATTGTGGTCCACTTCTTCTCGTAAGGATTGATAACAGAAAACGGCAAAATGTAAACGATTATAAGTTAAAGTTGTTTCATGAGGAGAATGCTTATGACAAGAAGGAAAAAGAAAGATTGTCTAAATAGTACAATGCTGTAACAAAAAGTAAACGTTTAAAAACCCTAAAAGTTCCTCAAGACTCAACTTAAAACCTGGAAACTCTTTCAAAACGCCAAAAGGCCGAGTCTATAAAAACTGCAAGGAGCACGAAAGCTCTTTTAGTTCTTCTTGTTCTTCGATTTCCCAGACAATGTCTTGGACAAGGAAGTTCCCTGAAGGCATAAACACACATCTCGATCAGATTCAATCACAACGAAGAGGAAATAAGCATAGAAAGAGAGAGAGAGAAGCGAACCTCGAGCCATTCGTCGAGTGATGCGTCGGTAGACCTGGTTCCTACTTCCACCTTGGACACCTTTTTGGTTTTCTATTGAAAATGAGGAGGAGGATTATCAAATGAATATTATTAACTTTACAAATGATTAACCTTGAAAAAAAGAGAGAAGGTATGGCTTACCTTGGTGAGACGCTGTACTTGGCTGTATGCCCAAAGACCGAGGAGGAGGAGGAGAGCAATTCCAAGTGTTAGAAGGAAGACAGATTCGCCGCTGAGAAGACCTCCAGACTCAACTACCTCTATGGTTCCATTGTAGAACACACTCTGGTATGCCTTTCCTTCCACGTCGTAGATGATATATCCCACCAGATCAAATGCTCCTGGCTGTGCAAGATAGCAGCAACACACAATTATATCACATCTTTTTCAATCTTTTTTTAACTCGATTACAGTTTTCGTTGATTGTGGAATATGTGTATGTACCTGCAGGTACTGGCTGACTGCAAAGATGTACGAGAATGTCGCTTGAAGTGACGTGGGGATGGACGCATTGTTGAATCTCTGCAAATGAGAGGCATCAGAAACAACACTTTCACGGATAAAATACATCAAAACAGATATATTTACACAAACGGTTTCTTCTAGTCAAATCGTTTGCAAATAAAACGAAAGCGTTGCTTACCAACATGGTTAGATTCTGAACCAACAACTTATGATCATAAGGAAGATGAACGCTGGCCCTAATCCCCATCACACCTAGGCTAGATTTCCCTGTTATGTCACAAGCAAACATTAGATGTTACAACAAACACAAAACTCTCAAGAGATGTTTAAAAGAAGTGATTTAGCTACCATCGTTTTTCAGACCAACAAGGAGCTCAGTCTCTTCTCCAGCTGGAACCACTGCAGGAAAAGGGAAACAATGGGCATTAAAAACAACATCTTTGAGACAAATGCCATATGTAGTAACGATGGATTGATCAAAATGTGAAGCAATCCCTTACATTTGGCACTGTTTTTGGGGAACACATAAACAGTCTCAACTCCTGGAGCTGAGGTCAAGTTCACATCCAGGTCCTGATCATCTTCCTCAACGCCGGAATCACTGTTTTCTCCCACAACATCGTCGACAATACTGGAATGATCCTCGGAATCCACTTGACATCTAGCAACTGAGAAAAGAAAAAGGAATAACAAAACCCATCAGGACATGGTTTATAATCAATCAGCGATCTATCGAGTTTCTGTTGATATTTCAAAAGAGGATCTGTGAATACTTTGACAACGTTACAATTTGCAAAAATTTTATGTACGAAGACACTAATGAAGGGTCAACAAGCAGACACGATTTGTCTATTTGAAACCACATTGCCTTGCGATTAGCAGCAATCCCCAAACACACAGAAAACGACAGATTATCTCGAGTTTACAAATCGGAAAATTCGCTCAATTTCACTCGGATCGATGACTAAGAAGGTGACATTCTACGGAAACAAGATCGGATCCTTCCAAAAGCCAGATCGGAAACAGATAGCAAACATGAAATCCAATCCGAAACCGTAAACTCGGAAAATCAAACGGATCTAGATCTACAAAATCCAGAAAAGCAAATCAAAAAGAGAGGGAGAGAGAGAGAGGAGACCTTGAAGCAGAGGGGATGCAAGGAGAAGGAGAGCGAGGAACAAAACCCTAAGATTCATCATCGTTATTGGTTTCTGGTCAACGAAATTGCACAAGAGAAACAGTGTCCTCGATGGTATTTATGCTTGCTCTTTCACAGCAACAACCATAAATTTATTTTAACTATTTCCTGTAACACAACCACAGAAACGACACCGTTTTCGTCTCTTTTCTCATTTGATTTTCTACCTTTTTTATGAAGCTTCATGATTTACAAATTAGTTCCTTCAACATTGTTAAGGGATTATTGGATAATGGATTTATGATAAATAAAAATTTTGTAAAGTTGAGAAATTTTATTGTGTAAAGTTGAGAAATTTTAAAATTATAGTGAATTTATTTTTGAATATATTATTAATAATTTTCATTGATTGTTGTTGATTTTTATTAATTTTTGTAATTAATATATTCTTTTATTTCTTCTACAACATAAATTTTAAGATAATATGTATAGTATTATTAGAGATATAAGATAGCATTTAAAATGTGGGTAGATGCATTGGAACTGGAAATTAACGTTAATCGTAAAAATGAAACTATTTTATATGGTATGGTTCTTTTTGGTTTAAAACTGTCATATTTTTTTTTTTTACATTCAAACAATGCTTTAGTTTGAAACTGTCGTTTTGTTTTTTCTTTTTATATTGTTTAATTTCAATCGATGCAATTATCAATAACAAAATAGTAATATATATGGGTTTGAGTATTTTTTTTCTTTTTTTGTATAGATTTTAATTTTTTTAATGTATATATATAATATTTCAAAAGTTAAGTTTCATAAGTAAAATTGTGAAAAATCCATGTTTTAGTAACATTAGATTTTAATAATATTACAAAATCAATGACAAGTAAACTTTTTAAATAACAAAAATTTTGCTATAAACAAAAAATAAAAGAATGACAAAAGATTTTGAAAGGAATTTAAAATTTTTAAAATCAATAATAATGAAATTTAGTAAGATTTGATGAATCTATAAAGCAAAAATGGTGGAATCTTAAAAATTATAATTTTTAGAAAAAAATCTATATCCTAATAAATAATAATTAACCTTCTTAATTTTTATGCTTTCATTATAATCAGAAGATCTCAAACAAAATTATCATATGAAAATCACAAAATAACAAAAAAAAAATTAATAAAATCTAAAAAACTGTTTTATCTCAAAAGAATATACATGGAACAGCTAACGAAATGTATTAAAAAAAGCAGAAATTAATTGTTTGAGGGATGAAAGGTGCATTTTGCTGTTTGAAACCAACCCCTAGTATGATCATATTAATTATGATTGTTTGATTTTTATTGATGCATGTTTTTATATTGGTCAACAAAAAATCTAAAAACTGAATTTAGTAGTAAAAAATATCATATAATTTTTGAAAATTGTTCTAAATTCTATTTGAGATTTAACTTATTTAATCTGTTGTGGCGTATGTGATTTGTAACCTCATCAGTGGAACTAATGTATATCAAAAGTATATCACACTCTCTTCCATGTTTCTCTGCAGAACGCTGATCAAAATAAGTATGAAACTAATTCCAAAACACTGAAAATTATATAATAGATTTATATAATGTGATTTCTTTCTATGCCAATTTAGATTACCACTTTTTTTTTGGGTGGCACCGACTATTGTTATTATAAGTTCAAGATTTACGGCCAGTTATTCTCAATTATTTGTATTAGTTTTGCACATGAAGATTCTAAAAGAAGATTTAGACCACTTCAGTTCCAAAGATAACTCTTTTATTAAAATTCATCTTTTGTCTTTGTGATTCCTTAAAAGTGGGCTGGAGATAGATATTTAAAGGCTAGTTTACCAATAGTATCATCAATATTTAGTTTAAATTTGAGGTTTTTAGAAATTCGATCTGATTCCCGTTTAATTAGCAGCTTGGGATTCATTAACATATCTACTAAGAAAAAATCATAGAAAATATATGGTGACTTCTTCGAACACTAATGATGTTGACTCTTTCTTTTGGTCCACCCCCTATTGTTGTCATCATTTCAAGATTTACGGCAAAATGTTCCTCGTTACCCACTTTTTTGTTGTTGCTAAGTTTGCAAATTGCGCATTTGACACCGCAAATTAATCTGAAATCCATGATGATTACATCGTATTTCAAAATAAATTTCTTTACCCTCTTGCAGACCATTGTAGATCCACATCTCATCTTCATAATTCAAATTCATCTATCCACCACTCCCTTCATACATTAACAATCTTGCAACAACTGGATAGCCATCTTTTACATGTTATAGTGTCCTCTATCCTTTTATAATGAAAAATATCAGTAATCTTGTACAATGTCTCTTCATTGTTAGGAGCAAATTGCTACACCTCATAACATATTACTTTTTCTCTTAGTCTTTCTCTTCTCGTTTCGAATCTAAAAAAAAATTATTTTATCTCAATTAACAAAATGTTAAAAAATTAATAATACGAACTAGTAGAAATCGATCATATAATGTGAAACAATTAACAAAATGTAAAAAAAAATAGCAACAATTAATTGTGTGAGGAATGAACAGTGCACCTTGGTGTTTGAAACCAACCCATATCATGATTATATTAACTGTTTGATTCTTATGGATGCATGTTTCTTCATTTGTCAACAAAAAAATTCGAAAACCGAATGAAATAAAACCCTAAAAAATTGAAATTTGTTTAAAATTCAATTCGAGACCAACTTAGTAATTTAATCTGTTGAGCTTATGTGATTTGTGACTTCATCAGTTCAACTAGGTATTTGAATGGACTAGATAAAGAGTATATCAAACTCTCCCCATGTTTCCCTCCAGCAATGCCTATCAATAGAAGTATGAAGTTAGTTCCAAAACACAGAAAATTATATAATAGATATAATGTGGTTTGTTATCATCGGTTCAAGATTTAAAGCTAGTTATTCTCAATTATCCAATGTATTTGTTTTGCACATTTTTCTCGATCTTATAGCAACCAATTCTATTTCAGCTTACATTGTATTTAGGCCACTTTAGTTCCTAATAGAAGATTTAGGCCACTTTAGTTCCAAACACAACTCTTTTACTATATAATGTTTTCATTCGAGTGAGTATAAGAAAACTTGTAGACGATAAAGACACTAGACTAAGCCATTAGACAGTTCTTAAGAGAGCCACTAGATTCATTGAACAACGAAAGATCATGCCCAAAATTTCATTACAAAGTGTTACAAACTGAAACGTAAAAAAAAACATCAACATCGAATTGCTCTAATCACATATTATTTACGAGACTCTCTTGAGGAGATAATAGAAAGAGAATTTGTCATGGTCCCATGCCCAATTATTTCGTTGAAGACAAACGTCATTCATTTCTAACACAAACGTCTATCTTTGGAGATACTTTGTCAGTGTCAAATCGTGGTTACGCATTCTTGAAGCTAGTTACGTTTTCATGCAACGTCATTCATTTCTGCTATTCAGAGCAAATACGTTATGATACGTACTGTTGTAAGCGATTTGACTAGCCTTCTCTCAATGATTTGATTCTTTTGCAGTTATATATAATATGTAGCGAGTTATTCTCTCTAATCAATTTGTTTGATTGGTTATTTATTTTAAAACACACAGTGTAATAATGGTAGTCAAATAGAGGAATAAGCATTAAAAATATCCCATGAACATCCCACTACTAGTACTCCAAATCTGATAAATCATGTGGGATGTTCATGACTTGCGCGAGGCTCGGCTTGTTAGATACTCCCATCGCATTGCCATTGTTAGAAGATAATTTGATGAGGATGAAGGAAGCTTCAGTCTCGTGGGTGAGACTCGGAGTTTAGAAAGTATACCACAAGTTTGCTGATACGTATGCTTCAGTCTCGAGGGTCAGAAATTATACAGTTTTGGCTGTGCTCTAGGCGAATCAAGTAAAGTTAAATGTGACCGGACTAGCTCCAAAACGGATCATGAAGCGGCAAATCAGATGATTATTTTGATTCTTTTGCAATTATATAATGTGTAGTAGATAGAGGAATAAGTAATAAAAAAATATCCCATGAACGAACATTCCACAACTACAAGTAAATCATGTGACAAAGTGATCCATCAAAAGGCATCTTCTGCTCCGAGATCAATCCCCGTGGACCGTGTACCGCTCCCACTTCTTTGTCGGATCGTAAATCTGCTCAAATAATATTTAAATCAGATGGTTCAAACTCTGGATCATTAGCTGAGAGAATTAATGAATTGTGGAGAGAAAGGGTGATTTATATGTACCTCCCACCTGGAAGCAGGGAATATATGTTTGTTCTTCTCGTACCAATGTCTTTCCACAACTTTACCAGCATGCGACTTCATCAACAACAAAAACACATTTTCACAAAAGCTTTAGAAACCATACACTTGTCATCATCATCGAGCTACTACTACTCTGTTTCCCGATGAAACTATATCATACCTCGTCTTTCTCGATTGTTGCATCTGCAATGGTTCTCACGTCTTCATGCACATCAAAGTGAAACAGCTGTTAAGAAAGAACAGTGCAGGAGAAGTCTCAGCAAGGATTTCTAATATAAAACTTCACTATGTACATAAGTTACGAAATGTCAAGAACGCATACCGGGCCACTCTTCCCCCTAGCCTTGTTGATGATAAGCTCGTAGAAACTGTGTTGCTGCATTCGCAAAGAACACCAACAAAAGAAAGGTTAGTGTTACATTCGAGATACTCAATGGAAATAACTTGATTGGTGTTTTGTGTGTGTGTGTGTGTGTGTGTTAAGGGCTCCTACATGTGGGATGATAAGATCTTCCTTTACATAGAGGAGATTCTCAACTGACGCAGTCCGTATCTCCCGGAAGTCAGGTGCAAGCTGCTGCTGCACAGACCTTAGGAAATTCCCAATTGGGTCACCCTTCCGCACCTGTTAAAGAACATCTCATAAAGGTAAGTATATGACTGACTTAAGCTTAAACAGCAAGACAAAGATGTCGCATGTGCTTGCCTGGATAACTCGTCTATGCCCGGTCCCATCCCAGTAACTGTAAGTAATCTGAAGAGGCTCGTCTGAAAAAACGTAAAGGAAATTTAGACAATCTTCCTTGGATCATCAAGTATTACTTACTGAAATTAGAAGCAACTGGAGAATGGACAAACTTTTAATCTGCTCTTGTTCACGAAGCCACTGCTTCTTCAGCCTTTCACGCTCGGCTTGTTCCTCCGCCTCCCGCTCACTGAAACAGCAGCCTCAAAACACCACAGCTCAAGTTAAGACTTGCTGCAAAAGCAGAGAGTGAAGATAATGGTAAAACAAGAGAGCAAGAGATCACCTGTCAGGCAGGAAATTAGTTTCCACTGAGGGGTCCTTGCCAAGTTTACTGCTGCGTAAGTTCGTTGTCCCAGAAGTCTCTGCGTAAATAGTGTACATGATACAAGTTACCAAACATGCGAACTCAATAGCACACAATAAGATGAGTTTTGTCTGAAATGTCCTATGCCCGCAAGCTAATTGCGTTTCAAAACAACCAAGGAAAACTCCAATCTACGACTGTAAGAATTGATCTCTCTAATACGTGATAGTGGTTTAATTGAACAACAGTCAACAGCAAGTATCACACCTAATCCGACCAACACCAAGATGCACCACTGATGTAACAAAAGCATACTCGAGGGAAAACCTTAAAAAGATCTAATATTAAATCCACTTACTGTTTTCTCCGTCATCTTCATCACTGCCATTCTCAAAATCTTCAGCAAAGGATAAGCGGGAGCTTCCCTTAATCTTTCTCTTCTTGCTACGCTTCTGTTGTTGAAGCTCTTCTTCCTCTTGCTGTAGCTTCTGCAGTTTCTCCTTCTCTTCTTCCTCGAACTTGTTACGAATATTAACCCTCTACAGATGTCACGGACACAATCAACACCATAATCTAGATGACTGTTAAATATTTGAACGATAAGTGGAGACTGGAGGAGAGAAGCCATTACCTTCTCCACATACTCCTCTCTTGTAACTAAACCGACCGTTTCCTTCTTGAAGGCAGTGTCAAGAATCTGAAGAAAGAATTAAGAAAAACGAAATATGTTAAACAACCAAAGTAGTCACAGCCAAAGATCACACAACGAAAACAGTTGCTATATAATTTGTAAAACAGCAAAGCAGCGTAATGATTTTCTAAATTTGTTCTGAGAATCATCAACATACTGATCGTTGTAATCATGCTAAACCTTAATATTCCGAGCCAGCATAAGTTCTAAATACAGTTCAGACGAAATCAAAGTAACCTAGAAATCTCAAGTCTATGATTCGTGGTCACAATAGATCTCGAGAGAGAAAAATGAAAGAAGATTAGTGGGGGAACCTCGCAAGAGCTGGCGCCGAATTGGAGAAGACCTGATTGCTCCTGGCCGGAGGCAGTCTTGCTCTTCAGCTCCTGGATTTTACGGCGTTCAGCCTCTCTTTGCTTCTGCAGCCGCCGTATCCTCACCGCATCTTGAGCTGTACCCACGTACCCATCCCCCATACCCGACATCCTTCTCCCGCTTGTTTCTCTATCGCTTCTTCCGCTCCAAATCGGAATGTAATTGGCAAAGATGATGCTTCCCGGTTCCGACCGCTTATTGTTGAATGTGTGAGATATATGCCAACCAAAAAAGTCTTTGCCTCTTTTTGGGCTTTTATTTTTCCATATGGGCCTTCAATTAAGCCGGCCATTTATTGGGCTTGTCTCAACAACAACAAAAAGAGCCGGAAACATAACAAATGATAACACATAATGTAGAAGATGCGGTGTATGCAAAATGTATAAATGGACGTGAATGTGAAGTAGTTGAGAGAAAATGTAGGTGGAAGAAGAAGAACAGTATTTCTTCTAGACTTCTAACCAATAACCATATATTATTCATTTATTACATATTTATGTACATTTTGAAACTATATATGTTTGTTATTTATTTCTGCATTAATTTTGTTCCCTTTGTTACTTAAGATCATGCGCTCTGCATGCCGTTCTTTTAGCCATAGTGGTAAATACATGACTTTTTCATTCAAGCATTTGAGATATGGACGTACTTCCAACTACACTATTAGCATTTCATATCTCGAATCCCAATGTAAACTTTCTAATTTTATTTCGTATATTGTATGGTCGAATCTTCTGATCGACCGACTACTTAATACACACAATTTCTCTATAAACTATCTTAATCACTATTAACCATATAATTTTATCTTTTTAATTTCTTTACATTTTTTTGGTAATGAGGATTAAAAGGGATGCGGAGACATGCGTGAACTCTCCTCCCTATCTGTTTATTGGGCAAACATATATACTAAATGTAAACATTTCCTGTGATACGGTTTAATGGGTCGGTGGTACGTATGAACAGTCATATGTATAGAATAATGAAAACACTAAAGCTTACTTAGAAGAAAAAAAGAAAAACAAACTCGTGCATTTACGTGGCTACGGTATAGACAACAAGTATTTGAATCGTGACTTTTAGAATAAACAAAATCGAATTAATACATCAAGGAATTCAGTGTCATCAAGAGACCTACTATAAATAGAGACACGAGACGAGATGTCATAGAATCATAATAACATATCTCTTTCAATACGAACCGATCATGAGGATATTACCGGAAAATGGAAGAGGTGTTTTCTGCCTCCTCCTTGTGTGTGTTCTCTGTTCGGCAGCTCATTCTCTTGGCAGTAACATCGAGGTCGTTGGCTACGCCGAAAGCAACACCATCAAGAGTCCCCATGCATACTCAGGTCTAGTTCTATAAAACGTGATTGATATGCCTATGTTTACACGTAATGGAATATATGTGCTACTAATGTCCCGGTCCATATATATATATGATTGCTTGACTATGCATGGAAATGGAAAATGGAAAATATATAACACCATTCTTTTTCTTTTTATACTGTGGATATATATATAAACTCTCCTTATATAATATCTTAATCATTTTTTTTAGTTTTATTGCGAATCCTCTGACTCTTCATCTAACGCTTTTGTGGTAATCAGGAATCCGAGTAACGATAGAATGCAAAACGGATGAGTCAAAAGGGCATTTTGTTACAAGAGGAAGCGGAGAAGTTGACGAAACAGGAAAGTTTAGTCTCGACATTGATCATGACATCGTTGGTGACGATGGAACCATCAAAGAAGCTTGCTATGCTCAGCTTCACAGCGCTTCCGGAAGCCCTTGCCCGGCCAACGACGGCCTCGAGGCCTCTAAGATCGTGTTTTTATCGAAAACAGGAGAAAAACACGTTTTGGGTCCAAAGCAAAACCTTAAATTCTCACCGGAAGTTTGTGTCTCAAAGTTCTTTTGGCAAATGCCTAAGTTCCCTTTGCCTCCACCGCTTGATCTTCCTCCGTTTCCAAAGATCAAGAAGCCTTGTCCTCCTAAGATAGAGCTCCCACCACTGGTCCCAATTTACAAGCCACCGGCAGTGATCCCCAAGAAGCCGTGTCCACCAAAGATCGCACACAAGCCCACAGTTCCTATTTACGAGCCGCCGGTTCCTATTTACAAGCCCCCAGTTCCTATTTACAAGCCGCCGGTTCCTATTTACATGCCGCCGGTGGTGATCCCAAAGAAGCCATGCCCGCCACTTCCCAAGCCGATCTACAAGCCCCCGGTGCCTATCTACAAGCCGCCGACGCCTATCTACAAACCGCCGGTGCCCATCTACAAACCAATATACAAGCCACCGGTACCTATCTACAAACCGCCGGTGCCCATCTACAAACCGATCTACAAGCCACCGGTGCCTATCTACAAACCGCCGGTGCCCATCTACAAACCGATCTACAAGCCACCGGTGCCTATCTACAAACCGCCGGTGCCCATATACAAACCAATATACAAGCCACCGGTGCCCATATACAAACCGATCTACAAGCCACCGGTGGAGTTTCCAAAGAAGCCGTGTCCTCCTAAAGCTCCGGTGCCAATTTACATACCGCCGGTGGTGATTCCGAAGAAGCCATGTCCACCACTTTCCAAGCTTCCGCCATTCCCACCAAAATACTTTCCACACCCTAAGTTCGGGAAATGGCCTCCTTTTCCTTCTCATTCCACACCCTAAGTTAGTTCGGGAAGACGAATTTACTCTTTTTTATTTGAACTATATGTGTTCATTTAAGCAAGTGAGTGACTTCAAAATCGAAAAAAATATTATTTCTTTGTTGCTTTGTTCTGTGTAGATGTTTAATGTTTCTGTATCAAATAATATTTGTAAAAAAACATTATCAAATAAAATATGTACTCTGTTGAAAATTTTTAAAAGCAATTTATTAATTTGTTTAGTTTTTATTTTTACCCATTTAATATTAAAAAGAAATACAACCAAAAAGGTTCGAACAATCTAAACAAAACAGAGGAAATGGAAACGTTCTTTTTCAGAAATATTGGTTTCATGTATTTCGAAATCATTGTGGATGAACTATGGTATTGATTCGTCTTAATCCATCTTATAACAATAAATTCTCTGTACACGAGCTAAAGCTATATTTATGTGCAAATGCAATAGATATTCATCGTAGAGATTGTCATGCAGAGAGAGGTACGTGGAGTACATGCTTTATATAAACGTGGTCAAACGGGCCATAATTAGGCCCATTAGACCAACCCCAATAGAGACCTTGAAGGGTCTAAACAAATATTCTTAACAATAAAACTGAATAAAAAAATAAATCATGATGTCTTATATTTTAGACCAGTATCTAAAATAAGACACCAGTGTCTAAATTAAGAACGCACACGTGGCAAGATGTGAGTGGATGATGAAAAATTTCAATTTCTAAATTGCATATTTATAATTTATATGCTTTCATATACAGTAGAAACTTTATAAATTAATAATATTGGGACTTCGATATTTTATTAATCTCTAGAGTTATTGATTTATCAGTTTTGGATAAAATAAATTATTTATTAATAATTAATTAAAATAATATTTTCTTTTAAATTTATAATATTTTCAAAAATTTTATTATAAAATTAGAGATAAATGATAAAAATATTTTAACTTTAGTTAAAAAAAACAACAATATACTTATATTTAATAGATTATCATTACTATATAATTATGTAAAATTATTTTATATGATATTTATTAATTTATGATATAATTAGGACTATATTTTACATAAAGTTTCAAAAAATATTATCTTATTAATTTATTAATTTATATTAAATTTTGGATCGGCCTACTTGGGACCAAACAAAAATATTGATTTATCAAATTTATTAATTTATTAAATATTAATTTATAAAAATTTCTACTGTATTATATTTTTGAAAATGTAATATGTTTTAAAAGTTGTTAACAAAAGTTTTTATTTAAATTTATTAAAATATATATATATATATATATATATATTTTTTTTTTTTCAAGACACCCATCAAAAAGTATCTTCATTGTATGCTTTAAAAACAACAAAATATTACAAAGTGTCTTATATACAAAAAACACACAAAATATTAATAATTAATTAATAAGACACCCACCAATAATATCTCCATTGGGCTTGCTCTTAGTAAAATTGTACTGACGAATTCCGTATTTTACTCATAATACGCGATAAAATTCTGAATTTTGGAGTGGAAACGGCAAAGACACACGTGTCGCGTTTTGGTATGGATATGGAGAAGCATTTACCGTGGTCAAACTCAACCTAACCACGGTTAAATCATTCAAAGCCGTGGGGGGATGTCGACACGTGTCCCAATCTAAATGGCCTGCTCACGGATATTCGCATGCTCCCAATATTGTCGCTATAAAGTATCATCTTCGTCCTCTAAACTGTTTTACAGAAATTTTAGGTCACTCACACACTTTTGATTAACAGATCATCGACAATGGCGCATCCTAAGGTTTTCTTCGACATGACCATCGGTGGACAGCCGGCGGGACGGATCCTGATAGAGTTGTACACCGACAAGACTCCCAAGACGGCTGAGAATTTCCGAGCTCTGTGCACCGGTGAGAAAGGCGTCGGACGCAGCGGCAAGCCGCTCCACTTCAAGGGGTCTTCGTTTCACCGCGTGATCCCTAATTTCATGTGCCAGGGAGGAGATTTCACCGCCGGGAACGGAACGGGTGGGGAATCGATCTACGGAGCCAAGTTCGAGGACGAGAATTTCGAGAGGAAGCACACCGGAGCTGGGATTCTGTCGATGGCGAACGCGGGACCCAACACCAACGGATCTCAGTTCTTCATCTGCACCGTGAAGACCGAGTGGCTCGACGGGAAGCACGTGGTTTTTGGTCAGGTGACCGAAGGCTTGGACGTTGTGAAGGCGATCGAGAAGATAGGATCTTCCTCTGGAAAGCCGGCGAAGCCAGTGGTTATCGCCGATTGTGGTCAGATATCTTAAGATTCCGGTGGTTTTAGTTGCGGTGGTGGTTTCGTCATTAGTGTGTTGCTGGTGTCTCTAATTAATCTCTTTTGGGCCCTGTGGGCCTTTTGTTTCCTAGCTTTGGACTGTTGTTTTCTGTTTCTGCCTTTTGATATTATCATAATTAGCCACCCATTAATAACAAAGTTTTATTGCCCAATAGGCCTTAATAAAAACAAAACCACCAGTGGGATATTTGTTTAGAGTAGGCATAATAGGCCCTTGCACAAAAACTTATATGGGCTTTATGGATCTATTTGTAATTTCGGAGTAAATGCCGCCTAATTTGTCCATTTCTGTTCATACACGAATGTTTAGGTCAACCGTTATACAGGCAATTCAAAACGGGTATCAAAATATTAAGAACAGGTCTTATTTTCGCAATTTTTATAAATTTGGTAGACTATGTATTATACATATTTATGGTTTCATCAAGAAAATCGTATGTGTCGGCTATTAAAAATTAGTAACATGCTTATAAAAATCAATTAAGAAATTCCGAGAAATGTTGCAGCCCTTAAGATACGCATGTGCTTATGTTGTATGATACAATAAATTGAGACAGGCAAAACCCAAGACTGACTATACACGTGTGAAAGTCGATTGGACCCAGCTCCCCCCTAAAATTATTTTATTTTGTTTGAATCGTTAAAATTGTTTTTCTGTAATTAAATCCAACTAAGGTGAGAAATGGTTAATATACGAGACAAGAAAAAAAAAAGAAAAAAAAAGAGAATTAGCAAATGAAGCTGCGAGTGTGCCGATGGCTATAAGGAAAGTGAAAAGCAACTCTTGAAACTAAACCTAACACGTACCGGACCCGGTTTAGCCCCGGCAAGGCGACGAAGTTTCGTGAGCTGTCGTCTCCCGAGAGGGAAAAGAGTTCGAACCAGATCTCTCTCTCTCTCTTCTCTCTCTCTCTCTCTCTCTCTTATTCCATTTTTGAATTCAGCAAAGCAAATCGCAGAAGTCGTGTGAGACGGCCGCGTTGCATCGGACCACTTGTGCGATTATCTTTCGTCATCCACTCTCTCCCCCTCCTTCTAGCTCTCTCTTTATTACCAAAGTTCTTTTTTTTCAATTTCCGCCGGAAAATCGCGATTGGTTCTGATCGGAACGATCGGAGAACATCCCTGAGAAAGAGTGGGGGAAACAGGTTCAACGGAGGGCTGTTTGTGAGCGACGTTGACTATACATATAATTCTCTTCCGATTGCGTAGATAATTTTAGGGTTATTCTTGTTGCGATAGAATGGAGACGGACAATGGGAAAGGGTTGATACTAGCTGTGGCGTCTAGTGTTTTCATTGGTTCGAGCTTCATCTTGAAGAAGAAAGGTCTCAAGCGAGCTGGTGCTAATGGAACCCGAGCAGGTCCTTCTTCTTCTTCTTCTTCTCTTTAATTAGAGTGCTTTGTTCCTCAATACTGATACTTGTTATCGATTTCCTTCGAGATCTCTATAGCCTTTTAAAGTGCTTAACTTTGGAGGCCTTTGAATCTTTTTTGAAGTACCCATTTGTTCCATATACTGTCTTTCGTTACTTTTTATCCAGAAATGTAACATCTTCCATCAAATTTTCCTTATTTTGACTCGTAGCTTTGGTGGATGACACTTTGTTCAATTGCAGTTACTATTAGTTTTATAGCTTTATCTATAACTTTGATTAGAAGCAATGAATCACATAACTTACATATGGGATTGGGATTGGATGATGCAGGATATGGAGGTTATACATACTTATTAGAGCCTCTTTGGTGGGCGGGCATGGTGACAAGTGAGTTAAATTTATGTTGATTGTTTTCTCCATGCGAGATCGCACATTCTAATTTCTGAACAAGATTCTCCAAAACCTTCAAAAATGTGTAGTGATTGTTGGAGAAGCTGCCAACTTCGTGGCCTACATCTATGCACCGGCTGTTCTCGTCACTCCACTCGGTGCATTAAGTATAATCATCAGGTACGCTTCCGATGACAACGCTATGTTACTCACTTCTGTGAATGATATTCTCTTGACTATTTTTTTCCAACTCGTTTCTGTAGTGCTGTCTTGGCACATTTCCTTTTAAAGGAGAAACTTAAGAAAATGGGGGTTCTGGGATGTGTGTCTTGCATCGTGGGCTCCGTTGTTATCGTCATACACGCACCAAAGGAGCAGACTCCAAACTCCGTTGAAGAAATATGGAATCTGGCAACTCAGCCAGGTATCTCTCTCTCTCTCTCTCTCTCGTGCACACACACACACACACACACACACACACAATAAGCCTTCTGTGCCGTTTTTTTTATCTGAGAAATACAATTATTTTCCTTTTCTTGTGTATGAAACAGCTTTTCTAGTTTACGTGGCCATTACCATGTCGATTGTCCTTGCTTTGATTCTGCACTTTGAACCTCTGTGCGGCCAAACAAATATTCTGGTTTACATCGGAATCTGTTCATTGATGGGTGCTCTCACTGTAAGTTGCTTCATCTTAAGGCGTACTTTTGAGCTGTGTTTCTATTTTTTTTTCTCATAGCTCGAGTAGTTTCTCGTTGTTGGTGTCTCTAAAGTTTGCAGTTTTTAAACAGGTTATGAGCATAAAGGCTATTGGAATTGCGATAAAACTAACAATGGAGGGAGTAAGCCAGATCGGGTATCCGCAGACATGGCTTTTTGTCATGGTTGCAGCGACATGTGTCGTTACACAATTGATTTATCTGAACAAGGTAAGCTCACGTTCTCACATAAGTTTTTTCTTCTAGACAGTTAAGACTTGCTGAAACTTTTGACCTATGATTGATCCGAGAATATGTATGTATTCTTTCGCAGGCTTTGGACACATTCAACGCAGCAATTGTTTCTCCAGTGTACTATGTAATGTTCACAACCCTCACAATTGTTGCTAGTGCGATAATGTTCAAGGTAGGGTTTAACTAACTACACAGCATCTCGATCAGAAATTGGTACACTAGGAAAACGCACTTATTACATCCGATGGTTCTGACAGGACTGGTCTGGGCAAGACGCAGCCAGCGTAGCCTCTGAGATATGTGGGTTCATCACTGTGCTCACAGGCACAATGATACTTCATGGCACAAAGGAAGAGGAACAGCAGCAAGCTTCTTCAGGTAAAGGAAAAAAAAACTCATAATTTTACTAATACGGCCAATCATATCTGTTTTGGCATTAAACGCAATGCAGATTTGATGTTTGGGTCTTCAGAAACAGTAAGATGGTACGAGTCAAGAAAGAGCACGAACGAAGAACATCTGATAAGCCTGTACAGCCCAGAATACTAGGAAGAAAGGTGGTGGCATCTCTAGATTTGAAATGTGCCAAGAACAAGCCTCGTGGAATGATGTCTGGGTTCCTTGTGGTGGCTTGTTATTTTTTGTATTGATTCTCTTGTGGTTCCTCTCTCTCTCTGTACAGACAAAAAGTTTGTCTAATTTAAACTCCACACATTCTTTAGTTCTGAGCTTTTGTATCTCTTGTTAGTACACAGTACAGGTTCTTCTTCTTCTTCTTCTTGTTGTCCCAATATATATGTATCTTCATTTTTCCTTTAATTGTACTCAATTTGAAAGAAAGAAAAATAAGTTAGTTTGATCAGAAAGACCAGAAATAACTTTGTTTTGTGCAATTGATGCGAATGATTCGAGTTTGACTTGTCTATAACGGCTAAACTGAAAAGGCTTTTATTTGTATTAAAGAGTTCTATATACTTGCATAGACTGCATATGGAAGCAGATAACAATTGCAGATTTGATTCCCATACAAGCCCAAAATCTGACCTTTTTTTTTAATATTTGCAGATTTGTTGGCTCTTTATCTATATATATTTACATTACATAATGATTCAAAAAGGATCATATTATAGAGAGAGATTGGTACAGGCTTAAAGGTTTGTAGTGTTGTCATGGAGAAGCAAATAGGAACGCTAGTGTTTAGTCTTTATCTCTGCATCATCAGCTTCGCCGCCTGCGAATATTACTCAGAAACTATTCCGGTCTCACCGAAACAACAAGTCGTCACCAATCTCCATTTCTTCTTTCACGACACTCTCAGCGGGACGGACCCTTCAGCGGTCTTCATCGCCAAGCCTAATGTCACCGACCACGCCAAGTTTTCTCCGACACCATTCGGCTCTCTTTTCGCCGTCGACGACCCTCTCACCCTCTGCCCCGACCCTAAATCCGAGCAGATCGGGAACGCAAGAGGGATGTACGTCTCCTCCGGGAAACAGGTCCTCACCTTGACCATGTACGTCGACTTCGGCTTCACCTCCGGGAGGTTTAACGGCAGTTCATTCACCGTGTTTTCGAGGAACACGATAACGGAGAAGGAGAGGGAGCTTGCGGTTGTGGGAGGTCGAGGAAAGTTTAGGATGGCGTCAGGAGTGGCCCAACTCAACACATACTCGGTTAACTTGAAAAATGGTGATGCTGTTGTTGAGTACAATGTCACTCTCTATCATTATTAAACAAAAACCATGCATACACATACATATTCCATTTTATTTTGCTTGTTATCATTTAACGTTCATTGGGTCTAGCTTTTTATTGTTGTTAATGTTAATGTGTGGAATAAGCTGCATTTAAATGTGATATCGGTCTCACTTGAATTTATTAATAAACTTTGTTTGAACTGAATAAATTTTTGAAGGAAAACAAAAACCAAAAAGAAAAGATATACATAACTAAATAAGAAAAAAAAAAATTCTATTCAAATTAGTAAATCCTATTGATGAAAGGGTCGTAATATGTATGTGATTCATGTACAAACAACTAATGAGATACAATATAGATATGGAACACTAGCTTGGTAGGAAGACTATAATACACGTCAAAATCTAATTAGGAATGATATATTTGCAAACGTATCAATACTTATGATTAAGAGTAGTTGTTTACGTTCACCAATGTGATTATAGATTCACTCTCTTTTTTTTGACAGCATATTATAGATTCACTTAATACAAACAATTAGATAATTAGGTGAACCATTACGCCACCACATTACTGACTTTGTCGTATTTTCAACTGTCTTTTTTATTTAGTATTGTTGAACTAACTTGGACTGTGAATGAATCGTGAAAATATCACATTGCGTATAAATAAACTTATTCCAACGCACCAGGAACTCATGTTACTTGCACAATACACAACATCATAAGGTAAAAGGAACTTATACTCAAATATGGCAAAAGCAGAAGATGTAATACGAATGCTGGTTGTGCTAATAACGGTAATGCCACTGGTTGCTCAAGGATCATCAAGATTGTACAGCTGGGCTAACCGGCTGGAGGAATCAGGGAAGGAAAAGGTAACGAACCTTCAGTTCTATTTCCACGACACCTTGAGCGGCAAGAATCCGACCGCCGTTAAGGTGGCTCAGGCCGCCGACACAGAAAAATCCCCGACGCTGTTCGGCGCCACGTTCATGGTCGATGATGCTCTCACCGAGACCGCCGATCCCAAATCCAAACTCGTGGGCAGGGCACAAGGCCTTTACGGTTCTTCATGTACATACATACATATATATCTTGTTTTGTACCACAATAATTAACCGGTTTGTTTGATACAAACCAGTTTTGATGGGTTTATCTTTGGACAGGTGAAGAAGAGATCGGTCTGATAATGGCGATGAGCTTCTCTTTTGAGGACGGTCCTTACAAGGACAGCACCCTAAGCATGATCGGGAAGAACTCGGTGATGAACCCAATCCGGGAAATGCCTATCGTCGGAGGCACTGGATTGTTCCGGATGGCTCGTGGCTACGCTATTGCCCAGACCAATTGGTTCGATCCCAAGACCGGTGATGCGGTCGTTGGCTATAACGTTACCGTTTATCATTAGAAAGGCTTTTTTTTTTTTTTTTTCCTTTTCTAAGTTATACGGTCGTTTTTAGCCTTGTCTACACGTAATATTTCCGTTTTATCTTGACGACGAGATCAATAAATACGTATTTTGATTTTTTCCATCAAACCAAAATACATTTACACGCCTTTACAAAGCCGAATATTCAAAAATAGGTGTAATGAAAATATAATGAAGAAGGAGGCCCATGGGTTGAAAATCTAAGCCCAAAGGTGAAAATGGATTATCTTTGATTGTAGATCCAATAACAAAACCAGATCCGGTTTTCTAACCGATCCGACGGCGGAACAAGTGTCATATGATTTCGTACCGGCGAATCTCGCCGGCGTTAAACCTTTCAGACATATTTTCGCCGGGATCGGGAAATAATAGCAAGAGGGTGGACGTACAAGCAGTGCAGTCTCAGTCTCCTCCCATGGTGGTTTCTCCCTCCAATGCCCATCAGTAACCCTAGGAAACGGCCAATCTGTGTCGCTCGATCGTTTCTCAGCAGATACGCAAGCAAAGAAGAGCTTTCTCAGGCGGTGTCTCGTCTCGAGTCCCTGACAGAGCAAGGGATTCGCTTACCGTTTGAAGTCGTAGCGTCGCTGCTCCAGCGTTGCGGAGATACGAGGTCTTTGAAACAAGGCAAATGGATTCATCGTCACCTGAAGATTACTGGATTCAACAGACCCAACACGCTTTTGTCCAATCATTTAATCGGAATGTACATGAAATGCGGTAAACCCATCGATGCGTGTAAAGTGTTCGATAAAATGCATTCCAAGAACTTGTATTCGTGGAACAATATGATCTCTGGGTATGTCAAATCAGGGATGCTGGTTCGTGCACGAGCTGTGTTCGACAGTATGCCCCAGAAGGATGTTGTTTCCTGGAACACGATGGTGTTTGGGTACGCTCAGAGTGGGAATCTACACGAAGCTCTGTGGTTTTACAGAGCACTGAGGAGATCTGAGATAAAGTACAACGAGTTCAGCTTCGCCGGAATTTTGACGGCATGTGTGAAATCGAGGGAGCTCCAGCTGAACCGGCAAGCTCACGGGCAGGTTCTGGTTGCTGGGTTCCTGTCAAATGTGGTGCTTTCTTGTTCAATCATCGATGCGTATGCAAAGTGTGGTCAGATGGAGAGCGCTAAAAGGTGTTTTGATGAGATGGCGGTGAAGGATGTTCATATTTGGACCACTCTCATCTCCGGATATGCCAAACTTGGGGATATGGAAGCTGCTGACAAGTTGTTCTGTGAGATGCCAGAGAAGAATCCAGTCTCTTGGACCGCATTAATTGCTGGGTATGTTAGGCAAGGTTCAGGGGACCAAGCGCTCCAATTGTTCAGAAACATGATTGCCTTGAGGGTTAAACCAGAGCAATTTACTTTCAGCAGCTGTCTCTGCGCCTCTGCGAGCATTGCATCTCTTAGACACGGGAAGCAAATTCATGGCTACATGATCCGCACCAATGTTAGTCCCAATGCGATTGTTATTAGTTCTTTGATCGATATGTACTCCAAATCAGGGAGCTTAGAAGCCGGCGAGCGGGTTTTTGGTCTCTGTGGTGACACGCAAGACTGCGTTTTGTGGAATACCATGATTTCGGCATTGGCACAACACGGGCTTGGCCACAAGGCCTTGCGCGTGCTTGATGACATGATCAGAACCAGAGTCCATCCAAACCGGACGACTCTGGTTGTGATTCTCAGTGCCTGCAGTCACTCAGGTCTGGTGGAGGAAGGAGTCAGGTGGTTTGAGTCAATGACTGTTGAGCACGGGATCGCTCCCGACCAAGAACATTACGCATGTCTGATAGATCTCCTAGGCCGTGCCGGTTGTTTCAAAGAATTGATGAGCAGGATCGAGAAAATGCCTTTTAAACCCGACGAGCATATCTGGAATGCAATCCTAGGAGTATCCAGAATCCATGGAAATGCAGAACTGGGAAAGAAAGCGGCGGAAGAGCTGATGAAACTGGACCAAGAGTCGTCTGCGCCATACATATTGCTCTCGAGCATTTACGCAGATCAGGGGAAGTGGGAGTCAGTAGAGAAGCTGAGAGGGATCATGAAGAAGAGAAGGGTGAAGAAAGAAAAAGCTCTTAGTTGGATTGAAATCGAGAAGAAAGTTCAAACTTTCGCAGTCTCAGATTGGTTGCATCCTCGTAAAGAAGAGATCTACTCAGTTCTGCATAATCTGGCTGCACTTATGGAAGAAGAAGCTTCAAGAACATGATCCTCATACATGAAGTTGCATCATCAAATGCCTTCCTGCAAATTTTCTTCCCAGGCTGCAAAAAGCAGGGATTTATACGTGTTGTGATGATTTCGTTTTTTAGCTTCACAAGTTTTGTAAGTCTAGCAGAGCTAACAACTACAGTGTTCGAATTCTTTCTTCTCCAAGAGTTATTGTTTAATAAAGAATCAAAATGGAATCGAATTTCGTTCCTGCAGGCAGTTTTTTTCTGGCATTTGAATGCAAAGCAATGAAGATGGCAGGTAAGAAAGAAATAGACAAAAGATGGATTTTCCTGGTTTGATTCGTATTGGCTGAGTTATTTATCAGTGATTACAAAACAATGGACCAATATTTATGATGTCTCCATCAAATATAGATGGCAGGTGAGAAAGAAATGGACAAATACAAAATGAAGACAAGCGACCAATATTTACGATGTCTCCATCGAAATGATGGCTCCGCCCAACAAACGGCAACCAAACAACGCCACGAGCCAATAACAAGGTTTTTGTCTAGACCGGTGACTAAGTTTTGTGCATCAATCAGTTCCTGTATAGATTGTCTTGCATGGATCTTTGGAAATAGAGGGAAATTCTACAGGTAAAAGGCTTCAAGAAGAAGTTTGTCCAATGGTTTACAAAATGAAAGAAGAACCTTTAATTGAAGCTTTCTGCGTCTAATATATTAGGGTGAGTGGCTAAGATAGAACCACGACCTTGCTCAGAATCCACATCACCAGAGAGAACTCAAATGCAAAGAGTGTATGGAGCAATCCTCTATCGAGTGCATATCCATAGAGCGTAATACCCTTGTTGTTATGTCGCAGGTACTCCACTGCAATGAAACCTCCGTCAGTTTTGAAAGTTTTTGTTTTGAGAAAAGAAGAAGAGAATGCAATCTGAATGTAACTCACCTAGAGCTTGCCTAGCCTGGAAAAAGGAAGATAAGTCCAGTGACGGCGACACATTGATGTATACGTTGTCGGATGAATCAGTGTCACTCTCGGGTGAGGCAGCTTCAGAAGCACATGTCAAAGTCATGTGCCACCTCGTTGCAATGCACACTACTCCTTGAGCTCTGTGTGTGATTCTCGCAGCACCCAACAAGCACAAGAATATTCCGCAAAGCTGAACAGCAGAACATACCTTGAGATAGAAGAATACATTAACGCAGAGTGCTGAAAGTAGAGAAATATCACAGCCAAAAAAATTAGAGTATTACCACCAAATCACCAGAGTTGAGGAAACTCTTGTCAGACTTTGAGGCAAAAACCAACAGTAAGGCCACAAACTGACTGGAACTTATCACAACAAAGGACGCGATGATGAAAAACCTGTACCTGTGACTTGTAATCGACAGCTGTTTCTTGATCCTTACGTGCTCCTTACATACATCTTCTATGGTGTCCGATCCACATCTATCGAACATCTTGTGAAGCCCTCGAAACCTCAGTATCAGCAGCTCACAGGTCAACCGGAACAGGACACAGACAAGCAAGAACACTCCTGTCCGGTAAACCCATGAAAACAAGACGAGCACGAACATCACAAAGTTCAATGCAGCACAAGATGACTCTATGAACGGAAATGATACTTCTGCTGAGGAGAAAAATATGCTCTTGTGCACAAGTTCTAGAAGGAAAGAAGGCAAGAGTATGCAGGCCAGGCAACGTAAGGCCTTGTCAAGTTCGCGCGAAAAGCCAAGCATCACCAAGACAAAATCATCAAGAAACAGAAGCTGCCTGAGACTATATATCCTAAAGAAACATAGTAGAGTCAAGAAAGCGATCAGGGCCAGTCCAGACTCTGGGAATTGGACAAGCACATTGAATGACTTGGTGTCCACAACTGGTGAAGGCGGGGTTTCAGACGTTTTGATGGACAGACAACTTAGGAGGGGGACAAGTAAGGTGAAGACTACAAACACCAAGTAGGACACAGCTTTACCGGAAGAGGAGGAGTGATCCAAAGCGCACCACTTGAGGAGAAGACGGAAGTTGCGCAGATCATCAGACAGCAATGATTCTGACGGTAGTTGTAAGGGTGTGTTTGAGTGGATGGACAGGTGATCGAGAAAATATTCGTCTTCACAAGGATTCATATTTCTCCAGATGAATCAAATTGTTAAGAGATCACCAAAGTTATATATAAAAGGCCACTGCGAAGAAAGAAAGTGACAACTCAAAATAACTATACCCACGTGCAATGGAAGATATATACAGGTATCTGGTATAGGTCTTACATTTTTCATCACAAGCGACGGTTGATCAAGAAAACGAGAAACTGGAGAGAAAAGCAAAAGTAGCTTGCGTTATCCCGTGACGGGAAGAACCCCTTCTCTCTCTTCAACTTCTTTTGGGTAATCCAACTTGGCTCTGTGTAGCGTTCCCCGTAAGGTAGGTCTTTTCAAGTCTTGGTTCTAGTTAATATATGCAGTTGAGAAACACGAGCAGTCTACTTTGCAACACTCCTCATCCTTTCTTCCAAAATTTGGAGTTGAATACAGTTGCTTGGGACTGGTTACTTACAAAATTTGGACTTCATGCTTTCTTCCAACGAACCGAAAACCACTGAGAACAATCCTGCAGATATAAAATTAAATACAATTCAGTTGTCTTCACGTTGTTAACTTACAGCAAAAGATTTGGTACTTCACAATTTTGGTGAGACAAGAAGAATAGAACCAAAGCGTTGGCAGATTCATGAATAAAGAAGTAAACACTCTGCTAGCAATTTCGGGAAACCGAGCAAATTGACTAACCTGAGAGGGGACAATCTTTATGCTGTAATGATCCTTTTATAAGCAACGTTCCTGGCATCTGCTGGAACACCTGTAACAGAGATTTCTCCATCATACACCAATGGATAAGGGGAAGGCAATTGCTAAGGATATATTGAATCAAATCTAAACAAACCAAGATGCGGAATGATAGGTTATCTTGAGGGACTTGCAAACTGGAGCAATCCAGTGACTGTTTTTCATATCCGTGGCCTCTTACACTATCCACATCTCCAGTGCCATTCTTTGTTATTGTGTTGCACTGGTCACTGGACGCAACAATCTGCATAACAATACAAGGGAACTCCGTTGAGCTCGAGATAGTGTAGAAACAGGAATGGATGGTAAAACAAAACGATAGGTGTAGTGAACTTACGTCAACAGAAAATGTAGAAGCGTTTAATTTGCACGAGGCACCACAGCTCTTGAAGAATTCTTCAGCTGATTGCAGCACATCTGCAGCACTGTACTGCCGTTTAATGCCCTATAAACACACAAATTAATGTTAGGCTCGACAAAAGCCCGAGACTTTTTATATAGTCACCAAAGAAAAAACATGTTACCGGAGCGTGCATAAGGTGACAAAAATTAAAGATGTAATATACCTCAAGCATAAAAGAAGAAGCGCTCTTTTTGGCTACAGGAGGTGCTACAATAATCTTCCTAGCTGTGGGCATGAAGGACCAAGCGAGCCCCCAACGGGATGTTTGGCCTTGGACAAATTCAGTGGTCTTTACAACTGTAACCCCTACGTCCCAGAGCTTAGATATCAAGAGTTTGAGGTTAACCTTCTTTCCAAGCATCGAAGTGTACCACCTAATACAAAACATGATCGCAAAAGATAAGTTCCGGTGGAGGATGAAAACAAAGAACGTGAAAAGATCCAACTGTTTATTTTGGGTGCAGTCACCTGAATCTTTGCCTCAGTACAGTGCTATCTTCGATAATACGGGTCACAAAAGCTAGCTCCCCACCGTTGCAAACCATCTCCTCATGAGTTCCACCGCATGAAGTTTTAGGGTTAAGGCCTGCTTCCTCAAAGGTCTCGAAAAATGGAGGATTGGACATACAGAAGTCGAAGGTTTCATTTTCCTTGACAACGCCGAGGAGTATGGCTGGTCCCATAGAGCTCTTGCTGCCATCTTCAAGACACTCAGACTGAGGCGTGGGGGACAAATACAATGTGGTTTCTGATTGACTAGGGTGCTTCTCACTCTCTCTATCTACAGCTTCCGGGACAGGGGACTCAGAGGAACAATCTGGAACAAGTTTAGAGTCTCTGATCTCGATTAGGTCAGAAATATGGGGGTTGCTTTGAACATTCTTCGCAGCCCATTCAAGAGCTACAACAGTAAAATCTGCGTACAATAAACAACAATGGGAGTGTATTTAACATAGAGCTAGCCAGCTACTGAAGAAGCTTGACAAAATATATACTGCAAATGGAAATATGATAAAGAAAGAAAGAAGAAGGAAGGAACCTGAGGCAACAAAACTCCAACCGAAGAGGGAAGCACCGAGGAGAGGATAGATGCAATTGGCTCCTGTACCAATGTCAAAGCCCTTTACTTTGCTACCAGAACTCTGAATGATCTCAGAGGACAAAAGATCATTGATCCAATGGATGTAGTTCGATCTATTGGGAACAGTTGGGCAGAGCTGCCCGTCCGGAATCCACCTATAGAGAAGGAAAAATAAACACTGAATCGTAAAGGAAAAGCATTGAATAGCTTGAGAGAAAGGTTCGAAATTACCAGTTGAGGGAATGGTCGTGTAGAAGGAGGGTGCGAGTGAGCTCTCGGGTGGCGTTGTAATCGGTCCAGTCGATGCGGGGACGAGCACCGGAGAAGAAAACAAAGGGCTTGAAAGAAGGGTAGAGAGAGGCCAACAAAGCGAAATCCGGTGGGTTGTCGGAGTATCGGTTCCTGGGATGGTTTGTGGAACCAGGCTCTGACCTACCTCTCTTCTTCCCGCTCCGCATCCCGTGGAACACAACAACGGCGGTGACGACGTGAAGACTCAGGGAGAATTAGCGGGGTTGATCAGAAGCCGGCGATGGTTATTGTGGGTTTAGTTTTCGGAATTGCGTCGGAAAAGGGATGTGAGGGCAATTAAGGGAGACAAAGGGAAAATTGGGCTGGGCCGAATGAAGCAATGGAGTTTGTGGGTTTAGATTTCCTTCATTATTGAGCTTGGGCATCATATTGGGCCAAAGCTTATATCAAGCCCATAATTGCAATGAAGCTGGAACTAAAAAGAAATTACGTTTAAAGCTCTAAGATCATCCCCATCAATATCGAAGTGGGGATCGATTCTCGTTCTCCTTTGAGATGTTCGGTTTTTTATCTTTCACCGTCGGGAGAGAATCATGAGGCAATTGAGGGAGACAAAGGGAAAATTGGGCTGGGCCGAATGGAGCAGTGGAGTTTATGGGTTTAGTTTTCCTTCATTCTTTTTGTTACATTAAAATTAGCTAATCCAATATCCAATAATCCATTAGCTAAGATTTTAGCCATCTTTATGAAAACTCTTTTGATTTAATTTTCATTTGCACAACGCATTCCATACATACTCATCTTAAATTTTTCGAGCAACATTTAATAAGTTCAATCTCTTCTTCTTAATGATATATAGGTAGTTGGAATCATAATTGATTCAAATAAACTTATTGGGTACAGCTACTGAGACAGTAAATGAACAACGCATTAACTAATCCATAGTATCTTCTTCTCATTGAAATAAAATGTTTTGGGTCAAAGAAAATCAAAAATCAGAATGAATGTAAATGTTTCGAGAGTGGGATATAAAAGAAGCATTGACATGTCCCATCGTCATGTCATATGGAATATGGACGTTATCATATTGATTACTGACCACTCTTTGGAGGCTTTGACTGAAAATATAGAAAACTTTTGGGATAATCTGTAAATTTACAATTTCTTGGTACAGAAAGCGAAATATATTTTTTAAAAATGAAACAAACGGCACGCAGTTTGCGTTCCCAAAATTGTGGGGCTAGTCAAAAATATCTGATTACGTCCGTCAACTTTTAATGTTGACTGGACCAAAAAATAAAAAGGAAATATTATTAAAGAGTTTGTATTTCCCATAGTACCCCTTCACTCTGTTAGATCTTTTCGGGAGAAGAGGATAAGCTTTAAAAAAGATTTTCTATTTTATTAATAAAAATTATAACTATAATTCAACAACTTAAGATGTGAATCTGACGGCTGAGAACCGTCCTGCAAAGCATCCCCAACCGTCCAGATCGAAGAAGCTGGGCCAGTGCTCCCTTTAGTTTCCCAAAAAGGAAAAATAATACAGTCTCGAACATTAAGGCTGGCCCATTTTTAAGACCATCCATTTCAATGAATATTTTTTTATTTACTACTCACAAATTCGTTTCTTTTTGAAGAAGTAAAATTTCTTTATTGTTGTATTTTGGTCATATGGTTTCTAAAATTTTAATAGTTTTCCTGTTTAAAAAAAGTCAAGAAATTGAGGAGAAAAATAGAAAAATATTAATAACGAATGAAAAATGGGAATACGAGAAGAGAAAAAAAAAAGAAAATGAAAGTAATTGGGAATTAAAAAAATGCAGACGTGGCACTGATACCCTTTCCACACCTCTCTGCTGCAGATATAAACAGCGTCCGCCTCACGCCAAGTGAGGGAGAGAGAGAGAGAGAGAGAGAGATCTGATCGGTGATTTTGTTATTCCGAGAGAGAGAGATTTGATCAGAATGAGTGGCGACGGAAACAGCGGTGGGGAGATACGCAAAGGGACGGTGAAGTGGTTCGACACCCAGAAGGGTTACGGCTTCATCACTCCCGTCGACGGTGGCGAAGATCTCTTCGTTCACCAGTCCTCCATCAGATCTGAGGGGTTTCGTAGCCTTGCCACTGACGAATCCGTCGAGTTCCAGGTTGAGTCCGACAACAACGGCCGTGCCAAGGCTGTCGAAGTGACTGGACCCGACGGCGCTCCCGTTCAGGGAAATAGCGGCGGCGGCTCGTCTGAGGGACGCGGTGGTTTTGGCGGCGGTGGAAGAGGCGGGGGACGTGGTGGTGGAGGCCGCGGATACAGCAGTGGTGGTGGCGGTTACGGAGGAGGAGGATACAGCAGTGGTGGTGGCGGTTACGGAGGAGGATACAGTGGTGGTGGCCGTGGAGGAGGTGGTGGTGATGGCGCGTGTTACAAGTGCGGAGAACCAGGTCACATGGCGAGAGACTGTTCTCAAGGTGGAGGAGGATACGGAGGAGGAGGATACGGAGGAGGCGGAGGCGGTAGGTTCGGCGGTGGAGGCGGAGGAGGCGGTGGTGGCTGCTACAGCTGTGGAGAGGCAGGTCATTTCGCAAGGGACTGCACAAGCGGCGGTCGTTGAAGGAAAACAACTTGAAGGCGGCGGTGTACAAGGGTAAATCAGTCATCGATCCTCTTCTCGCCGCCTGCTATTGATCTATCTTTTACCTTTTTTGTTATTTAAATCTTCTTTGTGTCGATGTTTTCGGATAATTAGAACTTCGTGGTTATGGTTATGGTTATTGTGATGGGTTTTTTAGAAGCTGGATTGTTATTGCATGTTTATCAAACTCTTGCTCGTTCTCTCTATTAGTATATTCCAAGCTTTGTTACTTGTCCTTTTAAACAATCGTTGAATCGTTGCAAATTTTTGGCGTTGTTAAATATGCCAAACGGATAAAAACATTTTGTTCTTTAGGAAGAATACACGGATTTGTTTTGTTGATGAAAGAAAGATTTGGCGGTATTCCTAAAACTCGGACTTTAATATCCAAAGGATAAAAATTGACAAGCAAAACCAACACTAGGGAACTTGTGGGTAGGATCTAAACGAACCCAAATCCTCGAAAATCTTGTGATCCGTGGGAAACGCCAACTTTCAAGAGTCAGGTTCAAAGGCGGCGAGTGTGATTGAGGTGAGGAGGATGGCTGATCGGAGGAGGCGCGGCCATAACCGGCAGAGGGCACTGGTAGCATTTGGTGAAGAGGCCGAATGTGTCAATCTGGTGTACAAAGTTGATCATACTGGCCCAGCCTCCGAACCCGAACCCGACGACGAACACCCACACCACTATGAATGCGTTTATGGTGAAGGCCCCCGTCCACCGCCCCAGAAACCTCGGCGGCTGCTCCACGGCGTTCTCCCGTGCGGCGGCGGAGCGGAAGGTGAAGACGTGAGCGAGCGCAGGGATGATGTAGACGGTGAAGCTCACCAGGAGAGACCCGACGGTTGAGTTGATGGGACCGAAGAAAGGGAATATGATGGCGAGGAACCAAATGGGTATAACGACGGGAAGCCTCGCGGCGGCTCTCTTGCACATGCTCCGGCACTCGTGCATCCCTATCAGCTTCTCCCACACGAAGTAGAGCGGCGTGCAGGCGAACCCAAAGGTGATGAACTGGTGGATGAGCATGAGCACCACTGCAAAGTCGCGGTAAAGGTTCTTGGGCAGGAGTGCGAATGCGTTTGAATGGTTTAGAAGAAGATCCCCGAACGCCCAGTAAACCGCAGACGCAGAAGGCAGCGTCAGCGTCAGCACGTAGATTGTCGCAAACAGGTAAATGGACTTGAACTTCTGCGGCTTCCACATCGCATGCATTATCTCTCTGCCAACAACAAAACAACCAAAGGGAGTGGTCTTTTTCATCAATAATTCCCGTTCTACCCTCATGTCACAAAAGAATTAGCAGGGTTAAAAAGGTAAAAAAGAGAAGAAGGACATACACAGTAACAGCATGTCCTCCGAATGTGTAAAGAATGTTTGTGGCCCCTGTGAAGTATAACACCAGCTTGGCTGGTCCCGAATGCTTCACTCCTTCTACCTATAAAAATATATATAAACCAAACAATGTTATTGAATACTATATAGTATCATCTACATTTGTATTATTGTATATTAATAACGCATTCGTATAATTATCTACAAGCAAACGTATGATTTATGCATTAAGACCAAGTCTGACACCAATGTATAGGGTTGGGTAAAAGTGGTCCCAACCGCATGTTGCTTGAAACAGAAGGGCCAAAAAGACACAAGGAAGAAGACAACTTTGTTGATGTTTTTGAGTCCCCTTAAGCCACAACACCACCAGCTAAGCTAATCTAAACCCATAATAGCAATTAGACCCACAAAGAAGTAATGAATGAATGAACCTGGCCATGGAGGATGGAGGCAATGGTGAGGTACCAAGCAGTGTAAGTGGTCATCAAGAGTCCAAGAAAGGACCAGATCCTGTAGTTGTGGAAGGAAGGGATGAACACTGTGGTTGCACAACATGCCCCAAATATGTATGTCCATGTCCTCTTGTCCAGATTGTCATTTATGTAATATATGTTGCTGCCACACATTCATTCATTCATTCATCACTCTCAGTAATCAGTATGCTAATTTCATCTAGAAATAAAAAAAAGAGTTCTATTTTGGGATAATGAATGAATGAATTAGTACCTGGCGCAGGCTATGAGTTGAATGACAGATCCAAAGAGAAGGAAGGTGCAGTTAAATGCTAACCCAACATTCCTCCAGTGCTTCCCAAGCAATCCATCAAGAACCTCAAACCACTTCACATTGTGACCCAATCTCAATATTCACAAGACATAGCTATTGTAGATCACTTTTGAAACAAAAAAGTAATTGATGTTGTTACCTGAATGACATGGTTTCTGAAGTTCACTTTCTCTCTCTCCTTTCTGGTTCTGTATTCGACATAGAGGACGCTGATGAGGTAAGCTGTCCAGCTACCCAAGAGGCCATACAAGAGCTGAAACAGAATCCCTGAGAGCATCCCCAGCTGTGAGAATGAGTATGGCAGCGTCAACAGCACTTGCGCCACCTAAACAAATATACAAATTCATTCCTCATATCTTACAGAGAGACCAGTAGCAGAGCACAAGAACTTGTTCATAAAGAAACCAGTTGGTACCTGGTTAGAAGCGCAGCTGAACCAAGCATCATAGACAGAGCCGCCATGCCAAAACATGTTGGAAAGCTTTGATTTCATATCCGACGCTTTCCCTTCATTCTCCATCTCCACATAGTTCCCGGCAACAACCGTCTCCACCGCTTTCTCACCGTTCTCCATTTGCTCGCTTGCTTCTTCTCTCACTCTCTCTTTGTGTACAATATATAATATCAGTGAATGGAGAGTGTCTACAAGATATATATATATATAGAGAGAAAGTAATAGAAGAGTGTGATTGTGTGTAGACAGAGAGGGAGACACGGAAGTAGTTTTTCAAGGCAGAGGATGATGAGCAAAGCCCAAGCAAAAAAACTCCCTTTCCTTTGTTTTGTGATAGCTACTTGTGAGAGATTTTGTTTCGGGAGTGACGACATAGAATCAAATTTATACTATATACTCTACTCTCGATTAAAGCATATTTGCCAAAAATATCCTCAACTTTTAAGAATATTTATTTATTGTAACCACTTTTTTTTCATTATTAATTATCAAACCTAACAAAAATTATATTGTTACCACCACCAATATTACTGTTAATTTATTCATGAAAATTTATTACAAAATGGGTAGCTTGAAAGGGTTACTTTATAATTTAATGTATTTTAAGTCTTATCAAGAGTGATTTCTTACATATTTTCATTACTTTTTTGGTGTGGAAACTTGCAATAATTCTAGTCATTATGGAAATGGAAAAACGTGATTTACAAAATCAGGTGGTATAAATGTATAAATGTCTCCGTCGATTTTTTTCAAATGAAAACAAATAGAGGGGGAAAAAAAGAGTGATTCCATTTTAATTATTTAGATTTCGTTTTTTATAGCCGGCTAATATATTTTTTGTACTAATTTTTGCAGCATCTATGTACTGATTTGTTGTCTTTATCAACAAGTTAATAAAAACAAAATTAGCCTAATCACATGGTTTAGCGGCGAGTCACGTTTTGCTCGCACGAGTGGGCTTTGGTTTCTTGAGCAAATTATTCGTTCACTATTTTAAAGCTATACGTTAAATAAAAATGATTTCTAAAAAAACAGATTTTCACTTGGCTATAAGCTGAATATACGATAAATGCTGTACAGACCATAACTTTTCTCGTATCAATGATTATGATACTATGAAAGAAAATTGTATTTCTTTTCCTTCAAAAAATAATTGATAAGAAGACAAAACTTCGAAAGAAAAATTTGCTAGAGAGTATACATTAATATTCTCCCATGATTCGAACAAAAATTGCAAATCTCGATGTTGCTTATAGAAGTACTTGTATTTATTGATCTAGATTTTCTTTTTCTACCCGTTTGATGATTTTAATAGGGATACTGCATCTGCACTTACAAGACTTATTACAGCTGTAAATAATGGGCTGTCAAAAACAAAAAGGACAATGTGCTTTCAATGGTAAAACAAATAACTTTTTTCTTTCTTTTTGACATTAAAGAAAAACATTATCATCCTTATTTCTACTATCGTAATTCTTGTATACATATTTTACTATATATTATATGAATCTAATGAGTAAAGTAGACGAATGTCTGCACCTTTCGGAGAATGAAGGAACATAAAAGTCTGTACGCATAAAGTTCAGTAATCTCTTTGTTAAAGTAGCATTATGTATTAACACATTAGTTTTCTGGTTTTATTTTTGGAAGAAAATGTCATGCACCATTGGTTATCACATTTTCATGCAGCCATACTATATATGCAAGATGAGAAATGTATGTTTTCCATATGATGTAACGTGTTAATCATTGTTATACTCCATCTACAAAATATAGATTAGCTATATGGTCAGTTTTAATGTATTGATAGCGGCTTAACATAACAAAATTGGCCTAAATAATTTTGTTTACTCTAGATATTTCACAACTTTCGCCAGTGATTAATATTGCAGAAAATAGATAGAGATATAGCTTACCCTACTTAGGTTTACGTAGGAGGGGAGAAAAAACAAGAAGCATAGATAATTGGGATATATTTGAAAGAAAAAAAAAGATAATTGGGATATATATTTGAGAATTTTCAGAAGGTAAATAGATAGGATAAAATAGAAAAAAAGGAGACGATTATAAGAAAGTAGACCGAATCATTGCAAGAAAACAAGCGTGGTCGCTTTTATAATAACAGAGAAACTCGCTTTTATCACATGCCCATTCCCCTCTCTGAAATTTGTGCTCTCTTTCTTATTATTCTCAACTTAAATCTTTTTAATATGTTTTCCGAAAACTAAACCCTATATGCATAGATCTCACAAATCTGAATCGTTTTGATATATAGTGCACATAACAGATACTTCAACTGGATTATTTGCTAACTTGACGTTTATAGACACATATTGAAGTGCGTAAATAGATAGTACTTGATCTGGATGATTTAGATAATATAGTGAAGTGACTAATTATCCCATTTTAGATTTTTTTTTTAAGTCGAACAATTAAAAATATTGATAACTGAAATGAAAATAAAATCCCAAGCTCATCATGTTACAGTTATATGGCGTTATAGCTAATTTTTTTTATACTTAATGTGGATTCGATTGATATCATAAGAGATGCATGTTATGAATATGTAAAGCACATATTGTGTAATCTACGATAGGATATTAGGAATGCCTTAAAGTTACAATTGATCTATTTGTCATTTCATTGACGAAAGCATATAAGCAAACTAATGCAAACGAGTAGACAATCACAAAACAAAGCCAAATGTATAGATTATTTTATAACATCACGTGGTCTCAAAAACAGACATCTTTTGTTTGTTAATGCGTATCATATTTATGTTCTCTTGCAAATGCATTGACCCCAAAACAAAATATTTACACGACAATTCAAATTTAAGTCTTTTCTGTCTTTTTCCAAGTGAACGTTGTTTCTTTCTTTAGATTCTCCTCATGAGTCTGAGTAATAAGCCTAAGAACAAATATTTTTACCTTTTGTGTGCTGTCTGTTTTGTTTATTAATTAATAGGTGTTAACCTTTTCATGACCTCATTAAGGTGCTTTTATGATGCTAATATTATGTGAGAAACTAAAAATCTGAAAATTTAAAATTTATATCTAGTAAATAATCATGATGGTGATTTATAATGCTCTGTTAATAATCATATTAGAACTCACTTGTTGCATCATATCATATACATTCAGACATAGTTATTATTTACGACCCTATCATCATGTCTCATAATGGGTTTGTCTTTCAATAAGTATAATAGAATAAAACAAAAATACCATTGTTAGAAATAATGACTAAAGAGCATGCACGAGTCTTTACCTCTTATTTTAAGTATCATAATTAATAATTAATTATTTGCAAATATTAACTATATTACTGTAAGAAAAATAATATAGTTGCTACACATTGAATGTAAGGGAAAATTCCCAAGCTAGGCACGCTTTCTTCTTTGTTTTTCTGCACGAAATTATTAATTCTTAAGAGATAGAGAAAACAATTTCAACTCAACACACTCTATTCTTCTTCTCTCTTTGTAACCTTCATCATAAATATACTTAAGACTCACTGTGTTGCCAGTTTTTTATTTACTGAGAAAGCTACACATAAAGCTGGGTATTTATTTATACTGAAAAAGAGAGAGGGAAAGCTGAGTACTAATTTTAGAGTTAATAGAACTTTTTTGTGTGTGCAGGCAATGGCAAAAAATAAGTTTGTTCTTAACAGTAAATATGAGTTTGTTCTCTTTGGTCTGAAACTGATTAGACCCGGTCAAACCAAAAGCTCCCTTTTAATCAATATTTTGAGGCCATAGATGTTAATATTGCCTCCTGTGCCACGCCTTTTAGCACTTACCATAAAGACAGAGAACAACATATGTTCCATCATAATGTAGATTCCCATTGTTTGTCATCAGCCACAATCATTTTCAATTTTCCTTGTGTCCTCTTTTTTACCAGACAATTTTCAGAGAAGATTAAACTACAAGCATTTGAAATAATAGTCTTTATTTTTTTTATTTTTATTTCATAGAGAAACACCAGTATTAGTTTGATTTATTTCACATGAAATTCAAAACAAAAATCTTGATACTTACTTAAAACATCATCTAATGTAAAACACATGTATACTATTATGATTGGGCCAAAAGTCCAAAGTATTATAATTAATTAACGGCCCATACAGTAACAACAATTGGTACCAAACTCCTTGTTTCAAAACGACGTCACAACAACACTTTATAGTGTAGTTTTTTTGTATTTGTATATAGTTTTCAGATTCGTATGAAACTAATAACTAAAAACAGATAACCAAATCTAGATCATTGGAAAATCCCAGAGGCTATATTATGGCTATGGTGCAATGTCTACTGGTCATCAATTTTCAATAGTTTACTCACACAAAGAACATGCTGTTTGGTGTATACACAACCGAATGTTTTCAAATGTCTACAACACTTTATTTCAAAAGTTTTCCTTCGTTCTTTATGCATCAAACGGAAATACATAAACGGCCGTTTTAGTAAATGACAAACCGGGCTGGTTAGTTATCGTTTGGGCGGAACTTGCAAGCAATCTTGAGCTCCTCCGGGGGTTTGTCGCCGGCAAATCCAGAGTCAACCCAAGCCGAGTAGCCTCCCCCCATGTTAGCCACATGCTGGTACCCCTGCCGAGTATAGACGTACATATCTATGCATAAGTACTGTGCATTTTTTTGTATAGATACGCCTATATATTGACTGTATACATATACGATGTACAAATACATTTACTATTAGTTGTATATATGTGCATATACATGAGTTATGACTCACCGCATTGAGAAGATCAACGCAAGCACGACTTCCTCTTCCTCCAGCGTTACAAGCCTTGGACCATGTAAATAATAGAGAATGCATGAGGAAACTTTAATTTCTAACTAAAATCTAAATCTTATCTTTGAAAATTTCTCTAATCATAGCTAAGAGAAAATAATACTAGATTCTAACCACGATCAAATGCTCATCCTTCTTGCAAACTGATGCCACTTGAGAAAGAAAGTCAGGATTCACAACCCTACCTACAAACCACTCACAGTAGTTTTTTTTTGTTGTCTATGTTTGATTGTTGATAACTTAAAAATTGGAATTACTGCAAAATAGAATCACCTTCATCTGTTTTGAACATATAAGGAATGTTCAAGGCATCCTCAAAGTGGCTCTTCGCGAATTCTTCATTAGTCCTGCAATCACCGATAAAGATCTTAATTTAATACATATATATGTCATTATGTCAGCATGTAGAAGGACTAATGCAAAATGGTATATCTTATTTATTTACCTAACATCAAGATATCGATGATCAACACTAAGCAAACCTTTTGCCGTATAAACATCAACGGTCTCAACATCTTCTGCTCTGTACAAAAAAAAAAAACGACGATATATGTATATAAGACAATTATACATTGCCGGAAAAAAAAAAAAGACAATTATACATTTGAACAAATACACATGGTATCGTTCATAAATGATACTTAGTACTTAAGATATAAAATTTTGATTGTTCTTTTTACTCACGTCTTCGTGTTTGTTTCTTCCATGAAAAAGCCTGATCTTCTTTCCTGCCTCGTGCCTTCGTCTTATGCGACGACAAAGGTTAAAGAGAAGATATGTACACAACTCATAAATATAGGAATTTATTAATTGTGGTCAAGGAAAAACTGCATACGTAATAAAAATTAACAGATAAGTTGACCAAATATTTAATTATCATTTATTGATCGTGAAACATTAATGGAATTAAAGGAAGTAATGAATTAGTCTAAAAACTCAAATCAGTTTATTAGTTCTATCAAATTTTTAAATCATAACATAGTAGTTAACCACAATTTTAAAATTATTTGGCACCTCGTGATACTTTCAATACTTATACTCCTACTATTTTTTTTTTTGTATCAAAGTATTTTTTTTTTTTTGTAATGTCAAGAAGCCAATCACACGATTGATGTAGTCACAATTTTTAGAGTTATAACTTATGACTTCAAGGTTTCAAAAGTCAAAACTAAGAGATAATGGGTTCATGTTGGTGACACGAAACTGTAAAAAAAAAAGGAAAAAAACAGAATAGTTAGAACTACTATACCTCTCTCATGGCCCGTTGACTCAGCTCATGGTGTCGTTGAACCGTTGAACCATAGACAATCAGTCCGTTCTTGTAACACTTTGGTGCGTTCCATACCGAAATTAGTCGATATATATGTAAAAAAAAACTACTATACCGCCATTGTTTTGCGATTGATATAAGTATATTAAAACTATTTACTGTATCAAAAAATAACTATTAGCCGTAAGAGGCTCAGTTCATTAGGAGGCCCGTATTTAGGCTCAGTTAACTGTTCCATCATTTTTTTTTTGTTTTTTTTTTGTTAAGGGAACTGTTCCATCATTACCTTTTTTTTGTTCTAACGTGCAAGAAAAATGAGATCAACATAACCAATTTCACCAACGTATCATCATTGTACTTATCTTCTTCCTTACATACATGTACCATATATATCCATTTACGGAAAGTTAACCACAACACTCACTCTCCACTTCTCATCAATCTTATTATAAATTAATACTTTTATCATTTCATTAAGTTGTTATTTCTTCTTCTTATCAACAATGTTTTGATCAACAATGTTTTGAAATCCGACTTGAAAAGCAAACTGGAATGCCTACCAAATCACTGGTTTCTAGTTTATATGGATTGATCTAGGTTAACTGTAGGTTAACTAATTAATAAAATTTTATATAATATATATATATATATATTATAGTTTTAAACATGGGAAAATAAATTTAAATATAAAAAACACAACTTAAACTATTCAAATTATTAAATATAAAAAACAAAACATATATGGTTCAAAACATAATATATATAAGCAACTGAAAAAAAAATTCAATAGTGATACAAATTACAAACCTTAAAACTCGACAAAAGTCACAAAGTAACAAAACTCTATAATTTAATTAGGAATTATTTATATTAAATATTTTTTATATAAAAAAATGAAATTACTGGTTTAACCGGGTCAACGGGTCACTGAATCACGGGTTACTCGCATGTTTTTCTGAGTTACTCGCATACTTTTCAGATTTTAAAAGTAGAACCGACCTAGATGAGTGATTGGATCCCAGTTTAACTAGGCAAACCAGCTGGTTCGAGTCGGGTTTCTTGCGTATCAGCAGAATTTCATTTGTTAGATGAACTATTGTGAATTTTTATTTATAATAGAAAGTATTGTGTTGAAGTCTTTAAAAACATAAAGAATTTTTTTTTTGTAAAAAAAGTAGAAAAGACGATTATATATTCCAATTCATCTATCTATTACTATTAAAAGTTGATGCTTAATGCATCCAAGAGTGTCCACATAAGATTAAAAAAATCGATATGATTGATCCACATCAACATTTTTTATTAAATAAGAAAAATATTAAGTATAATTAAAACCTTAATTTTGTTTTAATCATGGAAAAATTAAATATTTTTTTAAGTAACATATAGAAAAGAAAATTATGTTAAAAAACCAAAAATAGTATCCTCAAAAATAAAATAGATTTTTTTTTTCAAAAGAGATATACTAACCAAAAAACCAATATCATAAAAATTCAAATTTATAATATAGATTAGGAAAATTCTAACTTCTAAATTAATTGACAAGAAAATATTAAACATTGATTTTGTTTTATAAATAGAAAATTCAAAATAAAAAACTTAAGTAACAAATAGAAAAGAAAATTATGTATTACTGATAAAAGTTGATCCTAGTCAACACAACAATAACACTAAATTCTCTCCATGACTTGACAACTCAGATTTTTCAAGTTATCAAAAACTGACACATCAGCAAAATCAACAACCAATAAAAATATTTTATTAATACAAGTCATTTATTTATTTTAACTTAAAATTTAAACCCATTAAAAACCCAAATAATTTTTACTGTTAATTTTAGTTTTATTTTTTGGCCAAACCCAAGCCCAAATAATAAATAACAACAAATAAAAATTTTGTTTTAATTTATGCCAAACCCAAATCCAAATAATAAATAATAACAAATTTTTTTTTTGCCAATCTCAAACAATAAATAATAACAAATAAAAAAAAAAAATTCTAGCTACATGTTTGTTTGACACAGACGTGTATGATTGAAAAAAATGTAGGTCCAACATCAATTATACTTCAATGACAACAAAACAAAAAGCCTTATATTATAAAAAGCTCACACAGCAGCAAAAAATTTAAACTAATAAAAACATAACAATAATACATATCATCAACACAATAATAAAATCAGTTTACTATTTTGCTTACCCATTAAAAAATCCAAAGTTTACAAAAAATGAAGGTCCACAACAAAGGAGGAGAAGCTCAGACCACGACAGCTAGGAGATTCGCACTTCCGGTGGTTACCGAGAACAAATCGATAACATTTTGTTTATTCTCCGTCGCTAAGCCTCACATGAGAATTTTTCATCTCTCATGGTTTCAATTATTCTGCTGCTTTGTCTCCACTTTTGCAGCTTCGCAGCTCGGGCTTCCTCTCAGTCATTAGTGAATATCTCAATCTCAGCACCATTAACATCGGAAATGTCGGAATCACCTCTGTTTCCGGCTCGGTCTTCACTAAGTTTTTTGGGTTTTGACGTGAAAGCAAAATTTCATGGTTTGAACAGGAAAACAAAAATTCTTGGGAAATGAAAACTCTCGGTTTTGAAGAGAAAGTGAGATTTCCCGATTTTGGCGTGAAAATGAAATTTCTCGGTTTTGACGAAAAATAAAAATTTCCGGTAATGATGGGAAAACCAAATATCTCGATTTTGATTGGAATTGCGAATTTTTGGTTTTGGTGGCCAATGCAATTTTTCTGTTTTGATAAATAATGCGATTTCTTGGGTTTTCGCTGGAAAATACAATTCTAGAGTTTTTTGCGGAAAATACATTTGATGTTTTGAAAGAAAAATACAATTTTTCAGTTTTGTTAGAAAAACAAGAACAATTTTTCTCGATTATGACGGGAATAAGGGATTTCTCAGTTTTTACGGGAATAGTAGATTTCTTAGTTTTGACGAAAAAATATAATTTTCAATTTTGGTAAAAAAACATAATTTTTCAGTTATGGCAAAAAATTTTGATTTCTCAGATTTGACGGAAAAATCTGTTTTTGGGTTTTGGAGGGTAAACAAAAAATCGATTTTGAAGGAAAAACAAAATATTTTGGTTTTGAGGGAAAAATGCGATTTCTCGGTCTTGATGGGAAACACAACTTTTCGATTTTGACGGACAAATACGATTTCTCGGTTTTGATGGGAAATGAAAAATTTGAGCTGACGGATAATGCGATTTCTTGGTTTTCATGAATAAATGCTATTTCTTTGTTTTCTGGAGAAAATAAATTATGACGATTTTGGCAAAAAATGCAATTCTTCGGTTTGATGGGAAATAAAATTTCTCGGTTTTGGTGGGAATAAGCAATTCTCGGTTTTGATGGAAAATGCAATTTTTTCGTTTTTGACGGATAATGCGATTTTTAGTTTTTGTGGGAAAATGTGATTTTTTAGTTTTTGCGGGAAAACAGAATTTTTCACAAGATAATGCAATTTTCTGTTTTTGCCGAAAAATATAATTTCTCGGTTTTTGACGAGAAAATAGAATTTCTTGGTTTTGGCAGGAATAGGCGATTTTTCGGTTTTCGAGGGAAAATCCATTTTTTGATTTTGACGGGAACATATTTTTTGGTTTTTTTGTATGAAGATGAATTTTTTTGGCTTTGGTGAGAGAACGTGATTTCTCGATTTTGGCAAAAAACACAGGTTCTTGCGGGAAAATGTGATTTCTTGGTTTTTGCAGGAAAATGCATTTTTTTTTTGTTTTGGTGGGAAAATGAAATTTTTGGTTTGGTGAGAAAATAAAATTTCTTTTTTTTGGTGGGAATATGCAATTTCTTAGTTTTCATAGAAAAATGATTTTTATTTTATTTTAATGGGAAATATGATTTTTTCAGTTTTTGTAAGAAGATGAAAATTTTAGATGGTAAAATTCCAAGTTACCATATGTTTACAGTAACCAAAATTCAATTATTTAACTTCTGCTAAATTGTATTTCAACAATTCAAATAGAATTTTCTATTTAGTTCTAAAGCAATAACAATGGTTTTGATATTAATGTTATTGATTATAGTTTGGTGGCTTTAAACATATGTTTATAATAAATATTTGATAAATAAATAAATATTATAATTTAAAATAATCATTTATTAATTAATAATTTTTTTAAAAATGATATTTTAATTTATATTATTATAAAAGAGGATCAATTGGTAATTTAGTATAAAAAATAGATTATATTTGCCAATAGTATAAAAATACTTAAAAGTATATTATTTTATTTTTACATATATATTTATAGTTAGTTAATCAAATTTTATAGCAAATTAAAATTTTGAAAAATAAAAACAATAAAGACATACAATGTTTATTCAGATTTAAAACATATAAATACAAAACTTAAGGTAATAGAATAAATAAATATACTATTCATTTATATTATAAAAATAATTTTATTATATTAAAAATATATACAAAATTTAGAAAATATCCGGGAGCGTAGCACGGATAAATACCTAGTCTATTACTAATAAAAGTTGATACTAAATGATTGTAAGAGTGTTGACATAGGATTTAAAGAATCATTTCTATTGGTACACATCATCATTATATTTAGTTAATTATATATTAAAATTAATTAATTTGTTAAAAAGAAAATTTCTAAATTTTAATTAATTTTGTAATTGTTGCTAATAGGAAAGTTTCTAAATTTTAAGATAGTTATTAATAAAAAAGAGTTTTGAAAATAGATCTTATTTTTTTTATTAATAATAAGAAATAAATTAACATATAAATATATTATAAAAGAAAAAATCATATATATTGAACCAAATAATTAAAAACTGTATTTAAAACTGTAATTAAATTATTTTAATCATGATAAATAGTTAAAATCGAAACTGCTAACTTAAAATATATTAATTAGTTGTGGTCCATGTTAAAACTGTAATTAAATTATTTTCATTAACAAACACACAAGAAAATGCTAAATTTCTGAGTTTTTTTTTTTTTTAAATTTCTTGTCAAGATATATGTATTAATACACACAATAATGTTCAATTTGTGAGGTTTTTAATTTTTCTTGTCAAGATATGTGTATTAACACACACAAAAAATATTAAATTTTTGTAGTTTCTTTATTTTCTTGCCAATATGTGTGTATTAACATACACAAGAAAATGTTAAATTTTTGAGTTTTTTAATTTTTTTGCCAAGATGTGTGTGTTAGCACACACACAAGATAATTTTAAATTTTTGAGTTTTTTTAATTTTTCTTATCAAAATATGTGTACTAGCACACACAATATATGTTAAATTTTAGAGTTTTTTAATTTTCTTGCCAAAATATGTGTATTAAC